GGGCTTTGCTTCTCCACAACGTCATGCAGCGCATTGGATATTGGTGTTGCAGCATATGCAATCTGGTGCACTTTACAACTATCGCAAAGCATCGCTAGTACCTGGTCGGGTCCATTGAGGTAGTCCAAAATGTACCCTTCGAACCCTAATTGGGCCAGGCCTGTCTTGTCAACGGGGGATTTATAAGAAGAAAGCGGCTTTGGTGATGTTCGGAGATAAATATCATTGAGTCCTTGTCCGCCGTTGGCTTTCTTGGTGATAAGACGATTCTGCAGCAGCTTCTGATCCTCGTCGTGGGTAAAGGTGATGGCAATGATATCGCCTCTTCGCATTTGGTTCTCAACGGCCTGGGCATACCTGGCTTCTATGACAGAACATTCCAGTATCGGCGGGCCGTAGATTCTACCTTTTAACTGCAAAGATGCTTTGTTCTGTCGGATCCAGTCCCATGCAGCAGCTGTTTGGGGGGATAGTTTCATCAAAAGGCTCGCTTGCTTTCCGCTCTGTGTGTTCAGTCGTTCCCGGTTAGCGTTCAGCTGTGCGCTTCGCGCCGAAATGCTGCCTGCGCGGGTAGCTAGCTCTTTCATGCTACTTCTCTTGTCGGAGATAAGGCTCGTCTTAGTAGAGATCTGATCGCGAAGATCTGACTTGCGCTGCTCGTAAGATTCGGCGTCGAGTTGCGCGGGCCGGTCCTTTCGTTGTGCTTCCAGCCTAGTGATATCGCGGTTGAGACGAACCATGTCATCTGCGCGCTTTCTCTTTAGACTCAATTCGGCTTTGATTTGATTGTCGGCTTCCGCCGCTTTCGCTCTGCTGGTGTCAATCTTTGTTACGAGCTTTTCGGCCTGTGCCTTGATCATGTCGACGCGGTTCTTGCGAAGGTTTACGATTTGCTCAATATCGTTCTGATATGTTTCGACTTCTGCTTGAGCCCTTCGCGCTGGTTCTATGTCGATGTTGATCTGATCGAGTTCCAGTCTGGCGTCTCGAATCTCTGCCTTTACTGCAGTAATCTCAGTCTTGAGAATTTTTGTCTCAATGATAGGCTTGACCGACTTCAAACACTTCGACTTCCGCACAAGGCCTTCTCGTTGATGGTAGCGGTCCACGTCATCTTTTGTTGTGGTTTGTGCTTTCTCCAGCATGACTAGATGGCTCTGTTCGTTCTTCTGCTTCGTCTCCAAAGCGCGTTCCTTTGTACGCAGTTCCTTGAGCTGATCATGCCATGCTACCATATGCGGAGGCGCTGCAGCGCGTTGGGTCTCTCGTAATCTATCGACGTCGCTCATCCTCGCGAACTCCACCACACGGTCTTGCGGTAAGAACTGGCAGAGGTTGTCGATCTGAATGGAATATCGCCTGGCCATTGCTTTTACAGCATCCTTCGTCGCATGTGAGCCATCAAGGAAGAAGACGGACTTGTTGTCGCGCTTGCGTATGACACGCCTGACAATGCGATTGGGGCCGTTGCCGGGACCCGTTGCAAGCTCGATCTCGATGGTGGCTTCGGCAGCACCGTGTTTGACGAATTGCCCCACCTCTTTGGCTCGTCCCAAGTGTTCGCTGCCCCATCCTAAGCCCAGACAGATTGCGCAGACCAAGGTACTCTTTCCAGTGCCGTTGGGACCGATGACCATGTTCAGGCTTGGCCCCAGATGAACTCGGCAGGCGTGTATGTGACGAAATTGACAAGCTTGACCCTGACGAGGGAACCTGCCTTGAAGTCACCTTCAGCGTATGCGGTCGAGCCGTTCGGGTCGCCGTTCGTTTGCGCGGAACTGGAAGGCGCGTCTCGGCCATGGCGGGCGCGTTTGCCGTTTGTGGAAGGCGAGGATGAGGCATCGGAAGGCTCGTCGACGCCCTCGCTGATAGCGCGCGACGGGCGCTTTCGTCCTCGCTGAACTAGACCGGGCATCGTGGTGATGTCGTATGTAGGTTGACGTAAGGGTGGAGTGGGCTTTGCGATTGAGGGGACGAAAGGGCGGGAACTAGCACCTAGCGCGTCGCCTGGGATCCCGCGGTCAGGTGATTTCGTGTGGTCATTGAGTATACAGGTTGCATTCCACGTTCTCAGTAATCACTGCCTTCATACTTGTATACTCATCTACTGATACACGACTTCTCGAATGCATGCAACGCACTCGCCCGCCCAATAAACTATGCTGTCCCAACTAAACGCCAAATCTGATAATCATACTATGACGTGCGACCTGGCAAGCGACTACTCATGCACGCATCTCGTAACTCGTCTCAACTTCACAGCTCTTAGGCACTGCGATAATGACAAGAAGTAGATGTACACAGGAGAGAAAGCGCCAACGCAACCAGTGCTTCGGCAAACAGAGCGAAACAGATATTTTCAGAAGATCGTGCCGAAGTTCTCCTCAACCATGGGAAGTGGTTTCCTTGGACTCGATGGTTTGCCGTTCTCATCGGCTGTCTTCTTGTGGCGGAATGTGACTACAGAATCATTAGCGATTGACATGGACAAAACTGAGGATGAAGACTTACATCCAACGAATAGGCCCTTGCCCATCTGGACGTTGCGGTCCTGCATGGCCTCCAAGGCAGCCTGCTTCTCGTGTACTTCCTTGTATTTTGCCATGTCGGCTTCGCTACCGAAGTCGTCAAAGTATCCGGCATCCGTCTCACTGTCCAGTTCGGGTACAAAGGGTGCCTTCTGCTCCCTCAGCCTCGCCCAGTCAACTTCTGCGAAGTACTGATGGGCATGGATCTCGGAGATATTACGGAAGCGGGTAGACTTGGAAGCCACGAGACGGATGATGAGGTCCCATGTGCGCTTCGAGAGGAAGTAGGATGGGTCTTCATAGACGGGCTTCCGGAGCACCTTCTTCCACTGCTTCAAGTTCTGCCAGGTCTCGTCTACTGTGGCACCGGCGAATGGTGGATAGCCGGCCAGAGCCTCAAACAACATGCATCCCAAACTCCAGTAGTCAACTGTGTAGTCGTACTCGTCGCCCTTCAACACTTCAGGTGCCATGTAATCGGGGCTGCCGACGATACTCTTTGCGTAGTTGACATCTCGCTCGCGAAGAGAGCGGTAGTTCTCTCGTCGCTGGGCTGCTGATCGCTCTTCGATGGGTCGGCCGAATGGCGAAATGACATCGCTGACGGATTCGAGCTTGATGCGCATAGACTCAATCTTGGAGGGTGCAAGGATACCAGCTGCAAGACCAAAGTCGGTCAACTTCACATGGCCAGTACTGTCGATCAGGAAGTTTTCGGGCTTTAGGTCGCGATGGATGTAACCCAACTGATGTAGCGAGTCGATACACGAGAACATTTCGGCGATGTAAAAACGCGCATGCCGGTTGTGCAGGACACCAGTGTTGTTGAGAAGGGTTCGGAAGTCGCCTCCAGGGACGTATTCCTAGCAAATGTCAGTACACTGTTCAATGCCGGCTGTTGATGCGGCTCACCATCGCAAGGTAGATGCTCTTGTCGTCTTGAAAGGCGTAGAGCAAGCGGACCAGCCACTCGCTCTTAGCAGTGGTAAGGATATCGCGCTCTGTCAAGACGTGGCGAACCTCGTCCAGCTTGAACAGCAGCTTCTTGCTCATGACCTTTAGAGCGCACACTTCACGCGAATCCTTCTTCTGGGCCAAATAGACCTGTCCATAGCCACCCTGGCCGACCTGTGTGAGAATCTGGAAGTCACCCTGCCTTAACCGAGTGCGTCGCTTGCGGAGGTTGGCACGCTCACGGCCGAGGTATTGTGTGAGGGCATCGTTGTACTCTTCTTCGGGTGTGTCTGGAGGGGGAGGGTTCTGAGCCTTGAACTGGGAGAGACGGCTCTGGCGGCTGTGTACGTAGGTGAGGAGGTCGTAGTAGTAGTCGAGGAAGTCTAGATAGCCATTAGCACTGGATAGCCGTGGTGCAAGGCAGGCAGCTTACACAGCTGGGTCACGTTTGCCAGGCGCTTCACGGCTGGCTTTCGCGCCTTCTCGAGTTCTTCTGGGGAAAGACGCTGGGGGCCATTGATGTAGCGTGTCGATTGGCCGTCCTCGCGCGTCCTGTAGGGCTCCTGGCGCGACTGCGCTGCGTGTGTGAGGTAGCTCGACTCCTTCTGCAGGCCCGGGCGGCCACTCGGGGGGGTGTTCTCCTGATTTGACTTGCGTGTGGGGCTGCCCGGTGCGAGACTGGGACTATCCATGGTGCTGTAGTCAGCGCCATTGCTGCCGATCTGCAGTTTGTTGGGTGATGTGGGCGATCCGGGCTTCGTCTTGGAGGGCGAGCCCATGGTGGGCAGCAGCCGCATGGCATTTTCGAAGACGTGCGGCAGATCGAACGCGCCGGGCGGTTGGTGGTGTTTGCTTGGGCTGCCCTGGGGCGTCTGCTGCGGGCTCATGAAAGCCTCGCCCGTCGGGGTGCCTGGGCGATCCATTGCGTTGTCGCGGGTCTGGAGTGGAGGGGGAGGGGCGGGCAGTTGGAAGCTGTCTCTGTTGCTGTCCTCCATGGCGCGATGGCAACTAGGCGACGGAGAAGGAGCGGTGGATGGCAGCAGCTAAGAGCAGTGGGGCGCGAGCAGGCACGAAGAAGCAAAGAGTCGGCAGTGGGGGCGCAAGCAATCGGCGACAGTGGTTATGCAGTCCAGTATCTCACACGACGTTGCAGTCTGACGGGTGCAGGGCGAAGAGGGTCAAGGTTGTGTTGATGGCGGGGTGCATGTTTGGGGCTAGGTGGGCTCCGGGCAACGATGAATTCCAGGCATCCCGGGAAGTGGAGCCCAGATCGACGCAAGGGCTGCACATGCAAAAGTGCTATCCACAAAGATGCTGATGTTTATATGCCCCTCCCTACCATGCTATGTACATGTCCAGTCTGATTCCTCTTCACCCTAATTACGCACTTGTTGTGCAACACTCACCAAAACACCCTACCCATCTGCAACGCCTCGATCGCCCTGCCAAGGCCATCTGTGTAAAACAATGATATCATAGCTTCGAAAATCACATCCTGAGTCGAATCCCTCGCATCGCTCACGCCTGCGGAAAGTGGCTGTAGAGATCAGTGACGTGCATATTCTGGCGAGCGAGTAGATCAAGAAACGCTTGCCCCTGCATCATGCTCGGCATAAATCGTGGTGTTTCGATGAGCTGCTTCCGACACATGGGGCAGGTGACTTTGTTCTTGTGTGTTCTGCACGTCTCAAACTAGGTCATGTGAGCAGGCATCTGCTATCTCCAAGGGACTACCACTTACCCATTGACCTATGCAGAACTCTCCGAAGGTGTGTCCGCACGAGAGTTCAATGGCGATTTCTTCCTCTTCTGTAGGTGACACATGTGTAGCGGCATAGTCCTTCTGGCATATGTCACAAGCCTTGGACGCTTTCTCTGGAAGCGCACTTGGTAGATGCCGTTGGAGGCTGTTTTTCAATTGATCGATTTGGCGAGCAGTAGCGATATTAGGATCGAATTGAGGCGGGTAGCGGCCCGCGATACGCGGCCGCACCTCTCTAGATCGATGCCTCATACGATTCAGTGGCGGTGCACGGGCAGCCGCTTCTTCTGCGTCAGACGACGTGCTCGAATGGGAGAGGTCAACCGAGTATCGGTCAAAGTTGCGGCGATTCGACGTGCGCGGGGATACGCTACGGTCTGAGCGGCGGTTCGGCACCTCGTGTGACGTCCACTGACGTGCAGGCAATCCAGAATACATTGGCTCACCTGGGTGGATTGCTTCTTGAAGAGGTAGTCGCGGATGCTGAAACCGGGCTTCCGGGGGTGCTACTGAATCCCGTGCTTCAGGGAAGCGTGTAATGTCAGTAGGTATACTACCTGTCACCGCTCCGGCACTCATTCTGTGATCGTGTCGTCTGTAATCATGTCGATGTCGGGGATTTGAAGGAGGCGCTGCATGTGGTGACCCTAGTAGCGGAAAGTCGTGCCTCGGTGCTCCTGGGTGATGGCGTAGCTGGTCACCCTGGGAAATGACGCTAGGGTCATAGAATGCCTGGTCAGGATGTAGGTGCGGAGGCCCGCTCCAGGTTTGCGATGGTCTTTGAGGGTTTGTGAACTGGTACGAGTGTGCATGAGGAGCATAGTAGTGGTGACGCATTCCAATGGGTGGCAAAGCTGGACATAATTGTGGGTGGCTGCTAGTAGACACATTCGGTGCATCCTGAGCCTGAGACATGGAAGAGCTGCTATTGGGTATGTATGGATTTCGATACAGCGTTGGAAGTTGTTGTTGGAACGGTGTATGCGCAGCGAGAAGCGGGGCAGTCAGCTCAGCATCTGAGTTTCGAGCGCCTATCCTATCGTGAACCCAGAGAGCCGCGCCGTACTCAGACTCAGCCATACGAGCAGTTCTGCAGATGTCTTGCACCTTTTTTCACAGGCTGTATCGTTTCGTAAGCTGTGTCGATCGGTGGCGAGCAAAGGTCTGGAGGGACGCGGATGTTGACGCTATCGTGTACAGATTGCGAACAGCTGTCAGAATAACTCGGCCTTGATTGAGGCAGTCGTTGGGTAGAGGGGTTCGTAGTAGAAGGCTCGATCAGCGTCATGGGAGCCTTATCTGCGGCTAAGCAAGTACGTGCGGCCCAGCTGAAGCCGTGCTTCGCGGACGGAATAATGCAAAGGTGGAGTGGGCTTGGACACACAATAGCAGGCTGCAAAAGACAGCAGACAGCAGATACAAACAGGAGTGTTTGTTGAGGCTGGAAACTGGGCCGTAGGTGAAGATGAGGGGTTATTAGCTCCATGTTACGTTGGCACGCTCGAAGGCGAGCGCCCAGCATGGATCGAAAGGATGGTGGAGACAGATCAGGTGCACTCTGACTTGACTCGCTACGTTAATCTAATATGACCAGTCGTCGGAAGACGGAAAGCGCAGGGCACATGGTTCCAAGGCGTCACGCTGCGACCTAGCTTCCAGACGTACTTGGTCGTTTGCCCTCATAGCTCTAGATCGTCAGTATCGAATGCAGGAGCCATCATCATCACCCAATAAATCGGACCCTCAGCCGTACTCAGCGGCGCGATGCAGGCAGGAGTTTGGGTAGGGACAGGCTCTCGGTACGAGGTGTGTTTCACTCAACAGGGTGTGCCCGATAATGCCGAAGCTTTTGATCGGTGGCTATGCAGAGATTCCACTAGCCCGACCGGAGCGGCCAAAGCATATATGTGCAGAAGGTGAGCCAGAATCTCCAGCAGATGGCATAGACGCGGCCTTACAAGCGTCCTGCGCGGTGTGATGTTGAGAAAAGTTGGAACAGTGGCTGGCCGGGGCTGTGGGACATGAGCGAGACGCCCCATCAGCGCAGACGAGGCGACGGAACGCTTGACGTTGCAATGCGGAAGTCATCGCGGGCTAACCTTGGAATGCTGCGACTTTGGCGCCGGAGTACGGAAGGCGAGCGGCAGGAGAACATGGTGCTGAGCGGCGGTACTCTGAGCTGGCGGTACAAGTAAGCAGAAAATTCATGCCGACCACATTCTTCCATGTTCAAGTTTGCGTTCTTGGAGCCTTCATCCACCTGGGGCTTGGCACCTGACCAGTCATGTGATGACGAGTTATGCCGCGGGAGAGACCGGAGGCAATTCCCGCGAGCATGAGGTCAGAGCTCGGAACGGCAGCATTTTGCGTTGCAGCAATTGTCCATCTTCTGTCTTGCGACTTGCGACTTGCGCTCTAGTCTTCGCTGCGCACACCATTAGCCAATTCGGCGTCTTCTCCACCCTCTCCCCCCCATCCTGCCCCCCGCCAGCAGCTGCTGCTACCATGTTCCGAAGCGCAACGAAGCTCCGCGCCGCCGAGGCCGGAGCATTACGATCACTCGCACATGCGAAGGCCAGCCCCTCCTTCTGCTGTGCCCGCAGCACGCGTCCCCTCTCCACCACTCGCCATACCCCGCTGAAGACGCAGAGCCTCTTCCAGCGCCGCCAATTCAGCGTCACCAGCACCATGGCCAACACGCGCACCGAAAGCGATGCCTTTGGCGAGATCCAGGTCCCTTCGGACAAGTACTGGGGCGCCCAGACGGAGCGCTCGCTCGAGAACTTCAAGATCAACCAGCCCCAGGACCGCATGCCGCCGCCCATTGTGCGCGCCTTCGGCATCCTCAAGGGCGCGGCTGCGACGGTCAACATGAAGTTTGGGCTGGATCCCAAGCTCGGCCAAGCTATCCAGCAGGCCGCTGAGGAGGTGGCCTCTCTGAAGCTCATCGACCACTTCCCCCTAGTTGTCTGGCAGACGGGCTCTGGCACCCAGTCCAACATGAACGCGAACGAAGTCATCTCCAACCGTGCCATTGAAATCCTCGGCGGCACCATGGGCACCAAGAAGCCAGTCCACCCCAACGACCACGTCAACATGTCCGCCTCGTCTAACGACACCTTTCCCACCGTCATGCACATCGCTGCCGTTCTCGACTTCGAGGAGTCGCTCCTGCCTGCCCTCAGCAGCCTGAGGGACGCGCTGAAGAAGAAGGCCGACCAATGGGAGAGCTTAATCAAGATTGGCAGGACACACTTGCAGGATGCCACGCCCTTGACCCTCGGCCAGGAGTTCTCTGGCTACGTACAACAGCTCGACTTTGGCATCGAGCGTATAAAGACCTGTCTCCCACGCCTCAAGATGCTGGCCCAGGGCGGAACAGCCGTCGGAACCGGTATCAACACATTCAAGGGTTTCGCAGAGGACATTGCTTCGGAAGTCAGCAAGATGACCGGCAAGGACTTCGTCACCGCACCCAACAAGTTCGAGGCCCTCGCTGCCCACGACGCCATTGTCGAGGCCCACGGCCAGCTCAACACCCTCGCAACCTCCCTGTTCAAGATCGCCCAAGACATCCGTTTCCTCGGCTCTGGCCCGCGATGCGGTCTTGGTGAGCTGAAGCTGCCCGAGAACGAGCCCGGTTCCTCCATCATGCCCGGCAAGGTCAATCCCACACAGTGCGAGTCCCTCACCATGGTCTGCGCCCAGGTCTTCGGTAACCAGGCCGCTACCACCTTCGCTGGCTCCCAGGGTAACTTTGAGCTCAACGTCTTCAAGCCCGTCATGATCCGCAATCTGCTCCACAGCTCGCGTCTGCTCGCCGACGGCATGAGGAGCTTTGAGAAGAACCTCGTTGCCGGTCTTGAGGCGGATGAGAAGCGCATCAGCTCGATTATGAGCGAGAGGTGAGTTATTTCTCCCAAGTATTTGTTCGTTACATAACTAACCACACGCAGTCTTATGCTCGTCACCTGCCTCAACCCCGTCATCGGCTACGACGCCGCTAGCAAGACCGCCAAGTACGCTCACAAGAACAACCTCACGCTCAAGGAGGCTGCGCTCAAGCTCGAGGTCATCAGCGAGTCTGACTTTGACAAGTACGTCAGGCCCGAGCTTATGATCAATCCTTCCGAGTACAAGCCCAAGAACTAGGCGCCGTCATGGAAAATAAATAGTAAAAATGTAAAATACAATACAACACAGTAGCCGTTGGAGCGGCGTCAAGACCTCAGCGCTATTCAAAATACTTCGTCAACATCATCCTCATAGTATGAATATCGAGATTGTGATGCCGGCGCAATAGGACACTCGGGCGCAGTGCCAAGAACCTTATTGCAGAGATTTGTGAGGTGGGTTCTGACAGTCTTTGACGCACCTTGAAGCTATGAGCAGATGTAGAAGCATGGCATGCCATATCAAGTCAGCACTTTTGAAGATCCAAAGATATATTTACCAATACACATTAACTTCAACCAGCAAACGTATCCTCCATAGGAGAGTGTGAGTCATCCAGGATCAAATCAACATAACCCAAAACACCTTCGCAACCGTTCTCCGTATGCCTGGCCCCCCAACATATCGCCCAATATCAGATCTGGGTGCTGTTTCCACACCTCCGATTGAACCTTGTCACACTTAGAATTTCTACCCATGCCCTCTACCCAGATCCCATCATTTCCAGTGCTGGATTTATGCATCCATGTCCATGGCATCACTCCCCGCCTATTGCAACTGCCGTCCCATGGGCAATCGCACATCGGGGTGCCTTTCGGTTGACCATTACGTCGGCCTTCCCGGTTCTGGCCTCTGCTGCACCGCGCCCGTTGCCGCCCACAGAGTATGCTGCTCCTTGTTCTGTCTTTGTGCTTGTTGTTGAGCTTGTTGCTGCTCTTGCTGTGGCGCTTGCTGTGCTTGACGCTGTGCCTGCTGTTGTGCTTGCCGTTGCGTCGATTGCTGAACCTGCTTCTGCACCGATCGCTCAATTCGTTGTCATTTCTCAGGCACTCGTCGAAAGAACGTGGGTTGTCCAGGTGCGGTGAGGTCAATGATATCGGAGACTGGTTGGGTTCCTTGCCGAGCATCAGACGCAGCACCCCCTGCAAGCACCAGTGCGTGCTTCATGTGCATGGCCTGTTGGAATGCCACCGAAGTGGCAGCTGTATTTAGTGACCAAGTATCACGCATCGGACCAGGGTGTGTCAGACTCATCGCTGGTGGTGATGGATACGCAGACTGCGGTGCTGGTTCTGGAGAAGGCTGTGCGCCTTCTGGGCTTTGAAGTAGGTGCTGATCCGATTCATTAGTATAAGATCTCGAGTAGGCATCTTGAAGATGGTTTAGTAGGTACTCACGGGGAAAACGTGCTCTTGGACCAGCTTTTTGAGGGAAGTCTCTATGTTGCATAGGTGCTGGCCCCATCGCCTATTTAACAGCATGACATCACTCGCCATTCTCTGATGCAACTCGTCCAGATGTTCCTGGATGGTCTTATGGAGCGAGGAGGCGAGGAAGTTCCCAGCAGCAACAAATTGCTCCTGAGTAACACACTTGGCGAACTTGGCTGAAAGGTTGCTGCTCATCGTGTTGTAGTTGTCTTCCAATACGCTGACTCTCTTGTCAAGCTTCCAAGATGCAGCTGTACCACGGTGCTATTCCAATGCGGCGAGTCGGTCTTTGCAGTTTCCAAATGAGGCAAGTTCATTCTTCATGTGTAAGTCGATTGCATCAACCTTATTTCGAAGGTCATTGAGATCGGAAGCAGCTGTTGTGGTAGTCGGGGGTGTCAAACTCGGCGCCCGAATCGAAGAGTGGGCGACTTCCGACGCGCTCAGGCGGGCATCTAGGGAATCGAGTCTGGTATCTATGCCCTGAGAAGCTTGGAATGTCACATCATGTGATCCTGTAGCACTTTCAAGTTGCTCGACGCGCTGATTCATGCGTTCCAGTGCATGTGTCGAGGCCTTCGCAACCTCGAGCTCTTCGATACGTTTAGAGTTACGGTCCAGCACCAGAGCGGTTTTATTAAATGTTTTCGTATGCTCGAGAGTTTTTGCTTGCACGGATTCAACAGCGGTGGAGAAGTGATTTGTCGCTGTGTCGAGCTTTTCTGCCGTCTCGATTCTGAGCTTCTCTAGACCTTCGATCCAGGCAGTTCGATTGTGGCGTAAACCGTCCTGGTTATGGATCACTACTGTCTCGAAGCGGTCCTCTAAGTCCTCTCTCAGCTCTGCAATGCTCTGACTGTAGGTATTGCTGGACCGGTCCAGCCATTCAATTCGCTGTAGGAAATCTGGCACAACTCGATCTGTCCTTTTGAAGTGTGCAAAAGCAATAGTCATGTGGCCATCAAACTTGTTGGAGAGATCATTCAGCTGTTGACCGATCCGGGAGATCGACTTTCGTGAATCTTCGAGCGTAGTCTCTAGTCGCTGGTTTCGAGCCCTCTCAGCATCCAGCTCGTTTCGCAGCTGCTGATTTTGCGCTTTCAGATCACCAATATCGCTTTGCAGTCCCTCGATATCCGCTTCGAACTTCGTCTTAGCGTCTCCGACAAACTGTTTGAGATGCTTCATTTGCGCTTCCAGGTCGTCCACCCGCCCTGCTTGGAACTTGAGTCTGCCATAGACGAAGGCGAAACTCTTTTTCACGTCTCCGGTAACATTATCAGTGTTGATCCATGGATAGACGGTTGGGGCAGGTTTGCCCAAAGTCTGCTCCATGATGTTGGCTTTGGTCATCGCAAGTCCCACGGTTGTCGAGAGTTGCTTCCAGGAAAGACTCACGCTCCTCTGTAACGGGATTTTGGGTTTCTGCCTGCTGAACACCGGAATTTCTGAAGTAAACGGCTGACAACGAGAACCATTTCCCAGTCACGTGTAGAGCGCAGTAAGAAGCCGCATAATTACGGAAGAAGACGCAACGCATTGGGCCACGATCGATCCTCTCCACGGAACGTTGAAAGCGACAGCTCGACTTCTACTGTTCACCGCCACAAGCGAGCTGCAAAAGGGCGTTCGACATCTCCAGAATAGGCACTAATAGCGAGAGCACTAATGTCGCAGCGACAAGACCATTAGGTATATGGTTGGAGGGCGAGCAAACTGTGACATATCGGGCTGGAACTTTGCAGCCTGGTGGCGCCATCTGGATCTGTTTGCTTCATGACGGCGGAAATCTGCTCGTCAACTCAAAAGAAGGGCCTCAGGAACAAACGTGAGGCCGGGGACGTCGTTCTCGTCTCTGTCCACCCAATTGCGAAATACAGATGGAGGGTATGGACGCTGTTTTCCTTCCGGTAGGGTCGTAGGTAAAGACATCACTAGGCTGCAGAGCTGCAGGCGCGTATGGTTCCCAAAAGATAGGGAACTTGCTTTGACAGCCTGTCAACTTGGCCCAATTGTAATTAGGGCCTTCATGTTATTGTACGAAAGAGAAGATGGACACGATAAAGATAGAAGCGAGGCGAGCACGAAGCGGTCCGGTGCGGCGCTACTAGCACGTTAAGAAGAGCTAGCTTCGGCATTCAGTTCGCGTGCATCTCCCCCGCCGTTATAATGCCACCCACATGCTTTCAATACAGCCCGCTACACGCATGCTTGACTGTACGACCTTGCTGCAGCGATACTAAGGTTCTCGCTTTCCCTTGTTTGTCAGCCCCCAGCCGTGCCGCCGTGGCTTTTCTGTGCCATGTCGCTTGGCTTGCCGCTGCCTTGTCGGCTCAAGACGTCTGCCAATACCGTGCGTGAAAGCCGCTGGGCCATTACATGAAAACGACATGTCTCATCTATAAATGCACCGGCGATCTTCTCCAAGATCGTCTAATGAGCTTCTGTCATCGTTATGACGCGATCTGAGCTCCCCACTGGTGGGTGCGTATTGTCAGAGCGCCTTCTCATTCAGGAAGCACCTTCGTATGTGAGGGAGCTCGCATCTGTGGGACTGTACCCGGCTATAAACAATTGTGTTATACACGCTGGAATGTCGATGAACTGGATCTAATGCACGTAAAACTCAGTACACGCAGACTCGGATGTTCGGTAGGTCCATCATAGCAAACAGATCAGTCTCCAGGATCGATACCCGCGTTGGAGTATTAGTCATTGCACAGTCGTTTCACACGAAGGATTCTCGCATCGACAATGCTGCACTTGGACGGCAGCGGACAGAAAAGTCCCTGTCTTAGAGCTATGTCGCAACAGCTTTCGATATGGTAAGGCATGACTCAATGTAGCTCCAGATCTTGCTCACAGACAACCTTGCGAGCCGGGACTGAAGACCCGCGGAGCCTATGAATGCTTGGGCGGTGTCTTGCAAACAATATACCTTCGCTTGTCGGGCGAGCGTCTGTCATGACTAGGGTTAGATACTACCTGGGTGTTACATTTCCACATGAAAATGTCAACGATGGTATGCGGTCCGCTTCCTGAAAGCGGTTTACGTGCAGGAGTCTGATTCTTGGCGACCTGACTTCTAGAACGCGTGACGCACACTTATCCTGCAAAGTGCTGCGGTATTAACTACTATACGATACAAGCAGTGTCCATGGACTTAGGCCGAAGCCTGTCCACGTTACTGCACATCACTCGTCGGATCAGCGTAGTGGCTGTTACTTGTTTGCAGATTGTGTCGGCTTCAGCGTCCGTTGCTCTTTTCGCGTTGATGAATTTCTCGGCTTCTCCAACGGAGACTGCCAACGAAGAATACATGCTCCACCGACCAAGTGTATTGGATATCATACCATTGGGGATCCATAGTGCTCATGGATCCACCGACGCTTGCCCATGACTGGCCGTAGTCTCCGATGTTGGCCGCTCGTACGAGTTCATTACCGTGAAGGCAGGCGATCTTAGGTCAACCGAGCATTTGGTCTTTGGATCCGTAGTTGATACCATGCAAGGAGCTTCATGGTCCCTATGTTTTCTCTATGGGAGGTGGGACTTCGAGCTCAAGACTCGTGCAGCTGAAGCGGTAGCACCCGTGAATAAAGGTAGTGGTTGATGAAGAATTAGCAAGCCTATTACCTTCCCCGGGTCTGGTTTTGATAACCATTCGAGCGAAGTGAGATCAGAAACAAGAATTCTCCATACTTCCACGTCATTTGCAATTCGCTCCATGTGCATGGCGCACACGAGGTCTGCCGACGACGTCGATCTACTTTTCAGCCTCACTAATGTCCAACAAGAAATACTTCCGCAGGACGTGTACCGCGCAGTTTTTCTACCCACTGTTGTACGGCAAGATCACCTAAACAAGCTACAGCAGATTCCTAGTTTCCAAATTTCGCATCAATAGCAGGTCTCGATATCATGACGTTTCAGGCTAGATAGTGCTACGCGGCTCTGCTCGGACCCCGGCCTTCTCCTACCCCGGAGACCCGCCAATCAGGACCCATCAACACGACAAGCACCCTTGAAAGCTTGTCGCGGGGCCCCATGGGCTCAGGTGGGTTGATGATAGCAGGCTGTACCCACGCAGAGGTCAAATCTAGAGTGCATGGAGTATATAAGCTCTCTAAGCTCACCATGTCTGCTTGGCTTTTGGCATCGGCCTTTGCTTATTCGTTCTTCGCTATCCGTAGCGTCCAATCAACTTACACGCTAACAGAAAATGGCGGGCTTTGCCGAACCCAAGCGAGATGGTACCCTTGCGGTCGAAGAGGGAGCCCTGGAGAAGAGCCTCAGTCGTCAGGCTGAGATCTTCGAGGACAAAGAGCTCATGACAGATGCTCAGGCAGCTGAAAGCCGCGAACATGACATGGGAATGTGGGAGGCCATGAGGGACCACCCCATGGCTTGTTTTTGGGCTTTCATCTTCTGCTTTACTATCGTAAGTCATACATCCCTACTGACATCTCCAGAAAGATATCGCTGACTCCGAACAGGTCATGGAGTCTTTCGATATGTTCTTGAACGGTAACTTCGTTGCTCTTGCCGCGTTCAAGGAACGATATGGTGTCCAGGTCGCCGGCGAAATTGGCAAGACCATTCCTACGAAATGGCAGAGTTCACTGTTTCAAGCTGGCCAATGCGGTGCCTTCATAGGAGTCTTCCTCGCTGGTCCCATCACCAACCGTCTTGGTTACCGCTGGACTACTTTGCTGGCACTTATGCTGATGAATGCGACCATCTTCATTTCCTTCTTCGTGAGTATCCTAATCCCTGATCTAGATTCTGGGACTGACAGTACCCAGGCCGACTCACTCGCGGTTCTCGTCATCGGGCAAGCTTTCGAAGGTATCCCATGGGGTATGTTCATCGCCAACTCGCCAGCCTACGCTAGTGAGGTCGTTCCTCTGGTTCTTCGTGGGGCTTGCACAGCAACTCTCCAGATGTCTTGGTCCATTGGTAGCATCATCGTCGCAGCCGCGACGTACAGTTATAACAAGCGAAACGATGAGTGGGCGTGGCGAGGTCCACTAGCTCTGCAATGGGTCTTTCCTGTAAGTTATGCCTTGTTAAGAAGTTTCTCAACCTAATCGATTCAGACCCCTCTTATGGTTCTCATCTTTTTCGCACCCGAGTCGCCATGGTGGCTAGTGCGTAGAGGGCGCAAGGAACAGGCGCTGAAGTCCATCAAGCGCCTTGGTCGAAGAAACGGAACCCAGGCGGCTGCCGAAGACACGCTTGCCATGATGGAGCGCACAGTGCAGATCGAAGCTCATAAGGGTGGCGAGCCTTCTCTCCTTGATCTCGTCAAGGGAGTCGACCTCCGCCGAACACTCATCACCTGCTTGATCTACGCATCTCAGAACTTCGCTGGCAACCTCATCGCCAACCAAGCAACTTTCTTCTTCGAGCGTAAGTCAAGAATCGCCACACGTACTGTCTATGCAACGCTGACTATTCGCAGAGGCTGGAATGTCGTCTGACTTCTCTTTCAAGCTCAACTTGATCAACTCGTGCTTGCAGCTGGTAGCCAACATTTGCGCGTGGCCTCTCAGCAACTGGTTCGGCCGCCGTACAATCTACCTCGGAGGCACCGCTATCAACATCTGCCTACTCTTTATTCTCGGAATCTGCGCATCCATCCCCCAGAGCAATGCGACCAACTACGCCCAAGCTTGTCTAGGTATCGTCATTTCGTTTGTTTTCGCCGGAGCCATGGGCCCGATCTCGTACTCGATCATTGCCGAAACATCCTCCGTCCGTCTCCGCGCGCTAAGCACTGGTGTTGGACGTGCCGCATACTACGTCGCCGAGATTCCCATGATCTACCTGGCCTCGCAGATGCTCAATCCCACGGGCTGGAACATGGCTGGTAAGTGTGGATACGTGTGGGGCGGTACTGCTTGCGTCTGCTTCATCAGTGCATACTTCGGCCTCCCTGAGCTCAAGGGCCGCTCATACCGCGAGCTTGACATTCTGTTCAACCGGAAGATCTCTGCGCGCAAGTTCAAATCCACCATCATCGACGTCCGGGACAACGAGTAGATCATCAGAGTACGACGTGATTTTTGGGTTGTGTACTGTCTGGTTTTGTGGGGAAGATCGTGTCGTGGTGCAAGGGTGAGCACAGATGCGTAGACGTTCTTTTCTTCTAGCTAGTGCGCTAAGGGTCAGTGCTTGTACTAGTGTAGGGAAGCTACTCCTGAGGCAACGCGACGGCATCTTCTAATCACATCCAATGTCCGTGTTGAACACACGTGTATTCTATGTTTACTGATCGCGGTCGTGGCGCTGTATACCCAAAAAACCAATTTTTGACATATCACCAAACTTTTCGCGCAACGTCGACGCGGACAGAAACAGCTCGGCTGCATTACCCCGAGCCTCCTGACGCCGCCATCCACGAGTTCCTTTTCGTCAGCATGTACATAACATCTTACAATAAAAACTTGGGTATCTAATGTTCGACTTCTCATCGATAGACGCTTCTGATTGATGCATCGTCGCGGAGCCCGAAGACGCGTGTGTTAACCGGTCCATGCCGGGAACGAAGATTGAACGAACTTGTTTGGGATCAACCGCCGTTCCCAAGTTCTCCAACCCAGGTCATGATCACTCAAAACTTCGCTCTGTCTTCCGGTTTCCTGTTCATGACATTGACCGAACGGAAACAATGTAAGATGTCCGTGATGCTAACCCATCTGCGCAATGCGCCCGCCGCCGATGCAAAGTCGACAACGTTTACCCGGGCCTCGGCGCACCCTAGCCCAGCGTCCGAGCATGGGCATCTCAATTCCACCATTGAGACGACCTTGACATCCCCGCAATCCACGATGCATTCCATCATAGCGCGGCATTAGTGTCTTGTACGCAATTCGGGGTCGACTGGGGTACGGTACCTGCGCAGTGCTCTTATACCCTCAGCATGTCCGATACAACGGCGACCGCGCTTATTGGCCTCGACATCTTCATCCTGCATCCATCATGAAGACTCTTGTAGGGCTCTCGTGGCTCTCGGCCCTGTCTTCGCTGGCAAGTCTCCCCAATGGATCTGGTGTTAATGCTCAAAACAACACACCTAGTGCATGGCCACTACACGACAACGGTCTGAACAATTTCGTACAATGGGACCACTACTCCTTCAAGGTCAATGGAAAGCGTCTCTTCGTCTTTTCTGGAGAAATCCACTACTGGCGCATTCCCGTATACGAAGTCTGGGAAGATCTATTGGAGAAAATCAAGGCGGCGGGTTAGTTTGTCAATTCGCAGCGTTCTATGAGCCAGTGCTGACAACGATCAGGATTCACGGCTTTCGCATTCTACGGCAACTGGGCTTACCACAGTGCTAACAACCAGACTTTGGACTTTGAGAGCGGCGCACATGACTTCACGAAACTCTTTGAGATTGCCGAACGTGTTGGCCTCTATGTTATTACAAGGCCGGGTCCGTATGTCAACGCTGAGGCCAACGCTGGAGGCTTTCCACTGTGGCTCACAACAGGCGCCTATGGCAAGCTCAGAGATGACGACCCAAGATACCTCGAGGCTTTGGACCCTTACTTCGCCAAGTTCTCCGAGCTCACCTCCAAGCATCTCGTGACCAAGGGTGGCAACGCACTGGTCTACCAGATCGAAAACGAGTACGGCGAGCAATGGAAGGACCGTGAAGAGAAGATCCCCAATGATGCTGCCGGACGATACATGCAAGCGCTCGAAGACTCTGCACGAGCTAACGGCATTGATGTTCCCCTCATCCACAACGACCCTAACATGAACACCAAGAGCTGGAGCAAGGACTATGCGCCTGGTGCTGTAGGCAACGTTGATGTAGCTGGATTAGACAGCTACCCGTCTTGCTGGTCATGCAACCTGGACGAATGCACAGGTACAAACGGAGAATACGTAGCCTACCAGGTCATCGACTACTACGACCATTTCGTCGAGGTGTCTCCTACTCAGCCAAGCTTCTTCCCAGAATTTCAGGGTGGTTCTTACAACCCATGGGGTGGACCTGAAGGAGGTTGCCCTGCTGATATCGGGGCCGACTTCGCCAACCTGTTCTACCGCAACCTCATCTCGCAGCGTGTGACAGCCGTGTCGCTGTACATGATGTTCGGAGGAACGAACTGGGGTGCTCTAGCTGCTCCAGTCACAGCTACATCATACGACTACAGCAGTCCCATTAGCGAGAACCGTGAGATCGGCGCGAAGTTTTACGAGACCAAGAACTTGGCTTTGTTCACCCGCGTTGCTGATGATCTCACCGTCACCAACCGTCTCGGCAACTCAAGCTCATACTCCACAAACCCGGCGGTTGAGGCTAGCGAGCTCCGCAACCCCCTTACCAACGCTGCCTTCTACGTCACGATTCACTCCACGTCTTCGTCTGCCACCAAGGAGTCGTTCAAGCTACATGTCAGCACTTCCGTCGGAAACTTAACTATTCCTCAGCATGCCGGCTCCATTGTTCTCGACGGTCATCAGTCCAAGATTCTTGTCACCGACTTCGCCATGGGCAACAACACCCTTACTTACTCTACTGCTGAGGTTCTCACATACGCTATGGTCGATCACAAGCCAGTTGTGGTACTGTCGACTGGTGTCGGAGAGTCTGTTGAGTTCTACGTCAAGGGTGCTACGAAGGGCTCTCTGGTCAGCAGCGGTACCAGCTCGAACGCGACTTTCCATGCCGAAGCTCACGGTCTTACAACCAACATTCAGATGGTTTCCGGCATGAATGTGTATCAGTTTGACAACGGTGTCAAGGTTGTTGTCGCTGACAAGCCAACTGCCTACCTTTTCTGGGCCCCTAATCTCTCGAACGATCCCTTCGCACCGGTCGATCAATCCGTGCTGGTCCAGGGTCCATACCTCGTCCGCAGTGTAGTTCTAGATGCTGATTGTCTCGCTCTCAAGGGTGACATCATGAACAGCACGGATATCGAAGTCTTTGCCACTGGCAGTGCGAAGACACTCTCCTGGAACGGGAAAGAGCTAGCCACCTCACACACATCGTATGGTAGCTTGAAGGCACACATCGCTCCATTCAACGGCACTATCAACCTTCCTTCTCTAGAGAACTGGAAGATGAATGAAGGACTCCCAGAGAAGATGCCCAAGTACGATGACAGCGGTGCTGCGTGGGTTGTCGCTGACCACATCACCACTCCCAACCCTACCAAGCCCGATACTCTGCCGGTTCTCTACGTTGACGAGTACGGCTTTCACAACAGCTTCCACCTCTTCCGCGGTTACTTCGATGGCGCAGCCAGCGGTGTGCAGCTTTCCGTTCAGGGTGGTCTCGCTTTTGGCTGGAGCGCATGGTTGAACGGTGAGTTGGTTGGATCCTGGTTGGGCAACACTACCTTAGGCGTTGGCAACATGACTCTGTCTTTCGCCAACGCAACTCTGCACGCGAACAGCACGAACGTCTTGCTCGTCGCACAGGACAACACCGGTCACGATCTCCGCGGCGGTGCTACCGACCCCCGCGGTATCCTTCGTGCCACTCTCGAAGGCGCAGAATTCACATCCTGGAAGATCGCCGGTGAAGCCGGTGGCGAAGATGCGCTGCTCGATCCTGTACGCGGTCCTCTTGCTGAAGGCGGTCTCACGGCCGAACGTCTCGGATGGCATCTCCCCGGTTTCGACGACTCTGAATGGGCATCTGGCTCACCATCCACTGGCTTTGAAGGCGCAGACATCAAGTTCTACCGCACGACCATCCCTCTTGACGTACCTGCTGAAGTCGATGCTTCTTTCGCCTTCGTCCTCAACGCCGTAGGCTCGAAGACTATCCGTGCGCAGCTCTTTGTCAATGGTTACCAATACGCACGCTTCAACCCGTACGTCGGTAACGAGATTAAGTTCCCCGTTCCACCGGGTATTCTCAACTACTCAGGAGACAACGTGATTGGTTTGAGTGTGTGGGCACAGTCGGAGGAGGGCGCGCAGGTTGATGTGCAGCTTGTGCAGGAGTATGCTATTGAAAGTAGCTGGAGCTCGAACTTTGACTCTGAGTACTTGAGGCCGGGATGGACGGAGGAGAGGCTGGCTTATGCTTGAGCACATATCTTAGTGGCGTTGATACGACGAAGTATTTCCAAATGCGAACCCCATGACCTGCATTCCTCGTGTCATATTCTTGCGTTAACATAGATTTGGTGACATGTGGCCTTCGCGTTCTCCCTGAGTAGGTGATTAAGTTGCCTCGTAGATTGATACAAGCACTCATGTAAGCGTATGTACAGCGACTGCTGTGACTGCTTTGCTTGCTTCACTGTTGTCATCATTATTCGAATCTATACAAGCGATGAAGAATTGCCAACACACACTATCTCGTAACGGAAAGCGAGTTTCATTCAAGTACATATTCGGCCTTCTCTAGCACCGTGCGTGATCCTCGGAGCACCTCGCTGCTAGTGTCAAGCAATGATACGTTTACTCTCCATCGTAGTCCTTTCTTCGAGCATGTCTTTCTTGCCACAGCTTCAAGCACGCGACCTCCTTCCATAGGGAATCTGACATGATCCGTAAAATAAGTCTGTTTTACAGACGTAGGCGGACCCATTGTTCCAGCTTGGAAAACCTTGCGTTTTTCTTCCACTTTTTCAACCCAGCTAGCAGGGCAACAAGATGATGCATGAATCCACGGTCGATCTCTGTACAGACCCAAGAAGAACAAGTAGTCAGAGATACCGTCTAACATGAACACGAAACTGATGAAGTCGCCATCGTAAACAATATGGTCCCCCAAAGTTGAGATGAGGTCGTTCGGCTGTGGATCAGGATTCTGCTTCTCGTAGAATACGTCCTGTTGGTATCGAAACAGTTCGCAAAAGGTTCCTGTGGCGATGCGACGAATCCTTCCCGGATTCGACATGTTGTATACTCTCATCGCACCGTTTCTAGACACCGCTGACTCTGCAAGTCTTCGGCTGCGTGTCCCGAGATAGATATTTTTTGGTTTGGCTTGTTTCGCATCCCTGTGAGCGACTTCCACTAGAGGCTTGTCTAGTCTTCTGTATGTTGAGACACCAGTGGATTCCAACTCAATTCCAAAACGCTTTCCGGTCGAATCCGAACAATCCAAAAGCGCCAGAACCCCGGTCCGATGAATTATGCAAGGTATGGTAATGTTAAGTCCCTGATTGGTCATCTCGTGAGTTGCAGGCTGTTTTTCCCGAGTGGTGTTAGGCAGGAAGCCAGCCGCATTCTCGAACTGTGCAGGTGAAGGGGCGAAAATGCTCATAAACCTCATTATAGGATAAGTGAAGGACCATGCGAAGATTGTATGGTCGTTAGTCTGTTTGATGATTTCTAGTTGCAACCGGTAGAAAGCGCCCGAGCCCTCTCCGTACAACATTGGCATGTTAACCTGGACAAGACCAAGCAAGCAGTATGCCTTATCTTCTTCGCGTGTCGTTCTTCTAGCGGAGGCCCAGCTGAATTTCGTTGCTAGGCTGGCATCTTCAATAGCGGTTCTGTCGAGTAGATATTGCTTGTCAATCTTGGTCGCAGCGAAAATTCGATCTACAAGACCCGTCCTCGTGCCCAAAAACTTCCAATCCGAGTCGAAGAACTCTACAGCATCAGGTGCGAGAAGCTCTTGTAGCGTCCACCCTCTTTCGAACCACCGCGATGATTCAAGATCTGTGCGTCTGATCGAACGGTCTGAGATGAGAACATAGCAGATGGCGGCATCCCAATACCACTTATACATCGAGTTAATGGCTTCTGACAGCTCGGCACTGCTTCGCTTGTCAATGCAGCACGTGTCAACCCAGGCCCATTCAAATCCAGCCTCCAGAGCTTGAACGCAGCATCGCGATATCTTGGAATAGCCGGTCATACCTTTTGCGTAAGGCTGAGCGATGTCGACGAAGCTGACCTCACCCTCACCCCAGGTGTGGGAAAGAATCACGTAGTCGGGTATGTTGGTGATGAAGTGACGCAACTTGAGAGTTGTGGTATTGAGCAACCACATTATGCGCGGAGTTGAATGCAGGAGCCAGCATGGTGATGAAGGACTGATATCAGTGTCAACATGAGGAGGCAGTGCACCTGGGCACGTATGCAGGACTCAGCCTGGCTTGCTTACCCACCTTCACAGGCGGCAAGCGCATTGCAGCCATTCGACAGTCCGCTTCCAGCTGTTAAACCAGTTTGAGCGATGCACGAGGCGGTACTGTATTCCGTGAAAGTCTTGGCGTCATCAAAATCGACTGCGCTGCACGGCGATCTACATGCCAAGAGTTTCGCGAATCATAGCATCACATGGCGAATGCCGTACCTAGGTGACCACAACTAGTTGGTGGTAAATAATCTGCCTACAATCAAACTGAGCTTCTCAAATCAAACGGCCCATCAACCCCCCAATCCCCCAATCCCCCAATCTCCTGAAGTGCAATGCCCGACAACACATCCCCCTCCCTCTCTTCCTGTACACCCTCACTCCCCACCTGCCCACTCCCCACAAACCTAACCCCATGCGCCCTACAAGCCCCCTCCAATTTCTCCAGCCAAAGCACCAAATTCCTCACAAAACAAGTATGCAACGCCAATTGCTTCGCCTCCTGCAGTCTAAAAACCTTGAGCACCCTCCTCGTGCCAAAGCCCGGTAAATCCATCTCAGCCAGCACATCCGCGTTATCCACGAAAGGCTGACCGATGATCGCTCTGCCTTTCTCTTCTAGGCAGTCGCGCAGTGCGAGGAGGTTTTCTCGGCCGGGGGGTGGTTCCGGGATCGCGTCCTAGGTGAAAGCGGAAGGGTTGTTGGGGGACATGGGGTAGGGTGAAGCGATGTAGGGGAGGACTTGTTCCCAGTGGGTGATAATGGCTTGGAGGGTTTGGATCAGCCAGGTGGTGTATGGGGTTACTTCGGGGGAGGTTGTGAGTGCTCGGTGGGCTTTTAGCCAGTTGAGTTTGCGGATTTGCGAGTGGTAGGCGTCGTAGCATTTGTAGACTGCTTTTGCTTTCTTTAGTGGGAGGTTTGAAGGTAACTTCAGGGTGGACGGCCCACCTTCGCTGTAGCGGTCGCACGGCGTAGGTGGTTTATCACCTGTCGAGATCTCGTTGCTCTGCGTTGAGCTGTCTATTGTTGGCTCTTTTATGTCACCACAGCCAGGTAGTGGCGGTAGTAGGTAGTCGGCGCTGTTCATGGAATAATCGGTGTGGTTGGATTTTCGCAGCGCGCGAGTAGACGCATAATGCACTGATGCTTTGAGCATGAGATCGATGCTGAAGAATAGGTTGTCGTACGAGGTGATGTGGTAGCTTCCTACCGCCCAGAAGCGATGATCGGGATGAGAACGAGCTACACAAAAAGTGGAATGAACGACCAGCATTGAAATCCTTTTAATACGTGACAACAGGATACAGCGCTACAATGAACTTTTCAGACTTTGAAGTTGATTTTTGCAAAGACTCGCTTTGTGATACAAGAGACTTGCCTGTTACTTTACAATCGTTACTATCGTTCCAAACCAAGACACGATGCAACATAAAAACGTGATAGTAACACAAAACCTGGCTCACCCACCAAGAGAGCGAGGACATGACGAAATGAGATAAGGTAGGGAGAGAGACCGTTACGCCGTCGCTGAATATTCATATCGGAAACATGGGACTCGTCATTCGAGCGAGTAACTCAAAACCACTCCATATCCTGAATGGCAAGTAGTTTACTCGTCCTTGGTGATCGCCCTTGGGGTCGACAGTGGGCGACCGGCGAGAATGGCCTCGCGGTCTTGTCGCATGCCCTCCAGTACCCCGACAAGGCCGCCTTCCCGCATACGTTCCAAAACGACCTTCATGCCTTCACGCGCATTCGGCTGACTTCGCTGCGCACGGGACAAACCAATCTTCTCGATGTTTCGCTGGAGAGCCGCGGTGCCCCAACTTCGCAAGAAGCCCATCTTTTGTGGCTGTTCCTCATCCGCGGCGTCCTCCCTTGCAGCCGCACGCTTCTTCTTCCATGTCTCCCCAATGTGACTGTGTAGTGTGACAGAGCTTATGACGTCAGTAGTCTCACCCGAATCCTCGACCCTGGCACCTGCACCCTTGCCGCCAAAGTTGATGAAGCCCTGGCGTTGCGTGGCACCGTCCATGGCTTGCCGCATCTTCACGTCTTCAGGTACCAACGGCGACGGACGTATGAACTTCTGCCTCTCTACGACAGACAACACACCTGTCCATTCCAGGTTCCGTGACTCCGTGTCCATCCATCCCTCTTTAATATCTACGACCGACTTCTCGAGAATGTAGGTCTGCGATTCTCCGCTAGCTGAAGTGCCAAGTAATGACCGCGGTACGAGCTTCAGAACAGCGGAAGGCACTTTAGAGCGCTTTAGGTGGAGGCGAATAGTCGTCAGGCGTTGAGTCTCCGGATCGTAGTTACGGGCGATGGTGTCGGTGGAGAGCACGTGCGTGGAGTAAGGGTTCGGGTAGCGGAGGAAGTAGGCGAGCGAGACGGCGGGGAACGGGTACGAGTACGTCTCGTTGGATGAGTAGAACTTGACCATGGCGACGTCGTCGTGGTCAAATCGGAGTTTCTGTAGGCGTGGGTGGGCGGTAGAAGGCGGAAGATATAAAATGGTATAGGTAGGAGCTCAAGGCAGCCTGGAACGCGCGGTCGTCTATCTCCGGTGATGAAGTCGCATGGTCAAGCGCATCCAACTGCGACAATTGGACAGGCTGGGGAATCGCGTTGGAGAGGGGTAGGGCGATATACCGGGCTGGGTGGTGTGAGGATCAAGGATAGAAACGTCTGGAGCTCTCGCCATCCTGGCGCCATGACGAGATTTGCTGACCTGCATCGGCTTTCCCTCCCGTAACGCCGCTGCGGCTGAGCTGTGGCGTAGAGTGTGGCGCAGTGCGGGGCAGGTCTAGCCACAGGAACGCCAAATTGAAGTGGGGTCGTCCATGGCCGAATATCCAGTGAGTCAGCTCCAACACCAAAGAAAGATTCGCGCCACGTCATTCCCTAGGCTGGAGTCACTCCTTCATTCACAGCTTGAAACACGACGCCTTCCGAAGATACATCCGTCACCATGACCGAGCCCGAGCCACCGGCCGTCGCCGCCCTCTCACTCTCCGACACAGCGACGCAATCCGTCTCAAAAGCGACCGAGCAGGAGATCAACCCCTGGGATGTACAAGCAGGCGTGGATGAGGAGGGAAATGTCAAGCAATTTGACTATGTCGCCATCTCGCAGAAGTGGGCCACAAAACTCATAGACCAAGCGCTGCTAGAGCGATTCGAGCGCGTCACAGGCCACAAGCCGCATCGCTGGTTACGGCGTGGCCTCTTCTTCTCACACCGCGACCTTGAGCTTATCCTGGACACATACGAGCGCGGCGACGACTTCCTGCTATACACCGGCCGCGGACCCAGCAGTGATGCCATGCACATTGGTCACACAATACCTTTCGAGTTCACAAAGTGGTTGCAGGATGTCTTCGATGTTCCACTAGTCATCATGTTGACCGACGACGAAAAGTTCCTGTTCAAGGAGAAGCTCAAGCAGGAGGAAGTCTACGAGTTCTCGCGGCAGAACGCCAAGGACATTATCTCCGTCGGCTTCGACGTCAAGAAGACCTTCATGTACATCGACTCCGAGTTCTTCACATCCGGCTTCAACAGACACTTCAGTCTCAACACCACCGAGTTTGAAAAGCTAGTCACCAACAACCAAGTGCGGGGCGCGTTTGGTTTCGATGGATCAACAAACATTGGCAGCAATGCATTCGCAGCTAAGCAGTGCGTTGCCGCCTTTGCCTCATCATACCCCTTCATCTGGGGTGAAGATCACGCGACCTACAAGCGCTCGAAGAAGCTTGCTTCCATACCCTGTCTGATTCCTTGCGCTATTGATCAAGATCCCTACTTCCGTCTGGTTCGTGAGAACTGCCACAGAATGGACCTCCCCTCACCCAAACCAGCCCTCATTCATTCCAAGTTCCTCACTGCATTGCAGGGTGCTGGCGGCAAGATGAGCGCGTCCGATGCCAACTCTGCCATCTTCATGAGTGACACGCCAAAGCAAATCAAGACTAAGATCAACACCAAGGCCTTCTCTGGCGGCCAAGAAACACTAGAACTCCATCGCGAGAAGGGTGGAAACCCTGATATTGACGTACCGTACCAGTACATTGGATACTTCGAAGACGATGACGAGAAGCTCACGAAGCTAGCGGAGGACTACCGCAAAGGCGAGCTATTGACTGGCGAGATGAAGAAGGAATGCGTAGACACCATGACTGTGTACGTTAAGAAATTCCAAGAAGCAAGAGCAAAGGTCACCGACGAGATTCTCGACGAGTTCCTCCGCCCGCGGAAGCTAGAGTGGAAGGGTAATCCAAACCCCACCAAGCCCAAGCTTGAGCAACCGGCCCAAGACACCGAAAGCGGGGGTCCTTCGCTGGACGCTGACGGAAAGCCGATGACCAAGAATGCCATGAAGAAGGCAGCCAAGATGGCTGAGGTCGAGCGCAAGAAGAAGGAGAAAGAAGCCGCTGCTGCCGCGAAGCAGTGAGCATACCAAAAGTTGAATCTTCATTGGAGAGATAGATGCACGATACCAATATGACCGAGTCCACTTCACCTGCAGCCTATTCTTAGCCTTCCATGGGTATCTCGATTGCAATGTTTCAGCGCAGGGCGCTTCCCGAGCCGTCGCCTGATGTAACATCACGTATTGATTCAAGAGCTATGCTAACGCAATCTAGACATTACTAAGCATCACTGAGTGCATCAGTCGGATCATGACGTGAAACACCCCAAATGTCTCCAGTACTCCCGCTCGGCGCTTGTTAGCCTATAGGTCGAGCGATATGATGGCGGCACATGATGTGGGCCGTACCATTCTCCATACTTTACCCCAGTGGTACGCCGGTCGCGTGTTCCCGTCCGGTCCGCGACGGCCGACCACAAAGCTTGTATCTGCTTCACAGTCGACCGGTGTAGGAGTCACTTCAACCACCGATAACATGTTCTGCCTAGAGCTACCAAGTTTTCTTAGAATCGCGATGCCTTCAAGTTTTGATTGGCCTTCTCCTCCAGCTGGCTAACGTCTTAGTTCGAGGACTCGTCTTCCGCTCGCTCGCCTTTATGTGCCACCTTCCGCCGCTGCCTACCACAAGTGTCTATCTAGTGCACTCAAACTCGGGTTCTGCTGAGAACGACTCGCTCATTTGAGGTCATGGGCATGTCATCCATTCCGGTCCTTGATCAACCTGCGTCACATTCCCTCATGACCCTGCGGTCTTCTTGACTCCGCACCCCCGCGCGTGCTCTATATGTCAACTGTGACAGTCACCACCTCCATCTTTGACTGGCCTACACTTCCTTCTCTCATCACGACTCCCTCCAAGTATCGCTATCGCTCGAATTTCTGCGCAAGGCGATCCGGACCATAGCATCATGGTATCGACCATGGAGCGGAAACGATATGGTGTCGTCGACTTTGATCAGCAGTTTATGGAGCGAGGCCAATCAGATACACTAAGTTTTGACAGCTCAAACGACGCTCTCACCTCCCTACAGGCGATATCAAAGCTCGAATCGACGGATACAATAATAGACAGAAGGACGACTATTGTGGAAAGCAACAACGAAGCGGAACGATCAATGTCGCTTCGCCAAGGCATGCACCTATACCCCAAAGCGATAACATGGTCGGTGTTGTTATCGATGACACTCATTATGGAAGGATTTTCCACCAATCTCGTACCCAACCTGTTCGCAATGCAGTCGTTCCGGAAACAATTCGGTACATTACAATCAAATGGCTTGTACGAAATTAGTGCCGACTGGCAAAGCGCACTTGTGAACGGCAGCATGGCAGGGCAGATTGTGGGGCTTTTTGCTGCAGGAACACTCGCTGAGCGAATTGGCTACCGATACACGCTTATGGTAGGGTTGGTGGCAATGAGTGTATTCATACTCGTACCCTTCTTTGCCACAGGTAAGATGGTTCTGTTGATAGAACAGTGTCTACTAGGTATGCCTTGGGGCATGTTCCAGTGTATATGCACGGTGTATGCTGCGGATGTATGCCCAGTTGCCTTACGGGCGTATCTGACTACGTATGTTACGACTTGTCTTTTTCTCACGATTTTCGCACTCAGTTCAGTCAAATGAAGCTAACAACGTCAAGTTATGTCAACGCATGTTGGGTTCTCGGCCAATTAGTAGCGTCCATCGTCTTGCGCGGCATGATAAACAACACCACCACATGGGCCTACCGCATCCCCTTCGCACTACAATGGATCTTCCCAGTCCCAATCTTCTTCGCCGTTTACTTCGCGCCTGAATCGCCTTGGTGGCTCATACGACAGGATCGCTTTGTGGATGCGATGAAGACTTTGCGTCGGCTGCGCACGCAACCAGCAACCATGTCGGATGATGAGTTTGACAAAACGCTGAACGGCGCTATAGAGGCCATGGTCCAAACGAACGAGAGAGAACAACAGATGCAAAGTGGCACAAGTTACAAAGACTGCTTCAAGGGAGTAGATCGGCGTAGGACTGAGATCACGTGCATGGTTTGGATTATCCAGACGCTGTGTGGCAGCACCTTCATGGGCTTCTCCACTTACTTCTGTAAGTCGGCCAACGTCGCACGATGTAACGAACTCGGTGTAGACTAAATTCATTCAGACGAACAAGCAGGTCTCGGCTCTTCCCACGCTTTCACCCTCTCGCTGGGTCAATTCGCCCTCGGCCTTATCGGCGTCTTCATATCTTGGGCTCTCATGGCACACTTTGGGAGGCGCACACTTTATCTCTCCGGACAAGCTATGACCTTCACATTCGTGCTGCTTATCGGCATACTAGCATGCATACCACACCGCCACCACTTCGTCACCGTCCGCTCAGCGGTAGTAGGCACACCCTCCGAAGTCGTGAATGCGCACCCCACAGCACTCAACTGGTCTATCGCAGTATTACTTCTCGCATTCACACTAGCCTACGACGCAACACTTGGCCCTATCTGCTATGCCCTCGTCTCTGAGATGCCATCCACACGCTTGAGGAGCAAGACGATCGTTCTGGCGCGCAACTGCTACAATATCCCGGGTATTGTCACGAATATTATCACACCGCGCATGCTCAATCCTACTGCCTGGGGCTGGGGAGCTAAGGCAGGCTTCTTCTGGGCAGGCACAAGTGTGCTAGGTATCTTGTAGAGTTGGTGGCGGCTTCCGGAACCAAAGGGAAGGACCTTTGGTGAGCTGGATGAGCTCTTTGAGAGGAAGGTGTCTGCAAGGAAGTTCAAGACTACAGACTTTACTGTCGGTGGTGGACTTGTTGAGGGAAGGGAGAAGAGTGGGGTATAGGACTGGGGGTTATTGGAAAGGAGATGGTGGAAACTGCCAAGTGCAGCATGTAATGCGACTACGAATATTGGTTTTCTTTACTTTACTATCAAAGCAAATATGCAAAAGGCCAGGACGATGTTACTCGACGCGACGTCAGGTATATTGATCTTTCTTCTAATGTCTTTTAGTGTGACCGTAGCCTCGACGAATTCACGAACTTAATCTGAGACTTGAAGCACATCTAGCTTTCGCAACAACGCCAGAGCTAGTCTAGCACAACACTCTGTTCAGTGTGCGAGAGGTCGTCAACTGATACACTTCTCCAATGTGGATATCACAAACCTTTCAAGACACTCTACCTGCGCCACCAACTCCACCTCCAAAATCCCCTCCTCTTCACCTTCCCTCCTACATACTCAACACAAGATGCCCTCCTCAGCTCCTCTTCCGCCCTTTGTTGCTCCAATATACCCCTATTAACATTGATGCGCTTCCTTGAGATTGCTGTAGCAACCTCTAATAAGCCATACTCTTCAGCTAGGTCTTGCACCACCCGTGCTAGGTCCATGACGTGGTAGAAATCCGAGTCTGGGTCGACGTGTCCGGTGCGGGTCACTGATGAAAGGTCACGGGTGAAGTTGTAGAGGATGAATGCTTCGGCTTTTCCCATGATGTACTCTTGCACCGAGGGTGGGACTTCTTGCTGCGGAGCGGCGGTTGGTGTAGAGACAGGTGGCACTAGCATCGTGGTGTCGCTGAAAGGGGCGGTTGGGGTCTCATTCGGTGGTGACGTTTGCCCATCGGCTGAATTATCTTGCCGTTGCCGTTCTCGTGTCGCCAGCGCTTCCCTCTTCTGGTGCCTCCTTCCCTCAAATTCTTCCCTCTCACTCTTCCTCGCGTCCCTCTCCTCACAGTCCCTTACAATCATCTCCGCGAACCCACCAACCGAACTTGCTATCTTCTCAAGATCGTCGCGTCCCTGCGGATACCTATCCCGCATTTTCTGCAGCACTCCCAACGCCTCTTCAACGAGACCAGGCATCTCCTTCAGTTCTTGCGATATTCCTTCGGGATTCGTAGGGAAGAAGTCTTTGCGGCAAAGCGGACAGGTGCTTGCGGCATCAAACCAGGTTTCGATGCAAGATGCGCCGAAGATGTGGGCGCATAATGGCATTTGGAGGGCATGGTGATTTCCTATAGTAGGGACATCGATACACAGCTCGGTACATGGCTCGGTGCAGATTGGGCAGACGGGAGGTGAGGCATCTTTGGCGGAAGGAGTAATGTGAGGCGGGGTGTAAAGGGCTGTCTTGCTGAAGGTTTCGCGGGTGTTGTAGAGTGGTTCCATTTTGGAACGTTGATTCGAAGGTCGTTGGCGAAGATATTTGGGATTGTCTCTTGAGGTGAGTTTGGAAGTGGGAGTTGATGCAGATCCAGGATGTGCAAGATGAGCTTATATTCCAAAATAACGTCTTTGCATTAATCCCATGGTTCTTTGGATACGGGCTTTGGATCTGACTCATGGTTGGCAAAATCCGGGTTTGGCATTTACGAACCAAAGTTGAGGGAGTTCAAAATCACAATTTTAGGATCGGCACACAACGCGTACCAGATGTTCACCGGTTACCCTGTGAAATTAACCTTTGGGACTTGCGTGAAAATGTTAACCCAGGAAAAAACAAAGAAGGTCTACAGCCTACATCAATATAGAAACATGCAAAGTAGGTAACCTGGCATTGATTTAGGCTCTAGGCCTGCTTATAAAAATCACAAAACTTATTAACAATATGCAGACATCCAGATGTACCGCAACATAAACTATGAAAACACAGTTCTAGATACCAAATAACGTTGTATTGTTTTGTAGCGTACAAGGAATTGCAATAACGGCATCAGCTGGACCAGATGGCCGACAACTCGAACGCCGCTGAGATGTTAAAGTCCTGCCCATGAATATCCATGACGTCGTCATATTCGAGACTCTGTGAAGAGTGAAGCGTGATTGGGCCGGATTTACGAGCTGGGTTTCAGTCTTACAAGGCTAAGGACGAGAAATTCAGGAGGGCCCTCGACACTTGGCACAGAGAACGAGAGACGCGCATCAATAAAGTCAACAGACAGCTTCAGGGCTATGTAACACCTAAGGCCTACACCTATGCGTCACTGGGATACGGGCGGCCAACAGAGTTTTGTAATGGACCATCAATCGGCAAGCACGACTTGGAGACCTTGGGAAGCTTGGCTTCAAGTTAGACCTCGGAAGCAAGAAGTAGACTCTTAGCGAGCCTCACAACGGGAGGAATCCACTCCGTTGATACGAATATATAGCTTCTCACTTCCATCGAGTATTGTCTTTGGCCCCTCCCTTCACTCACCCATCGACTCACGTCTTTGGCCCTCTTCCTTATCATCGCTGCAAGTCTTTGGCCAGGTAGAATATCAGCATGTGTAGGAATATTATCTCGTGGTCTGATCTTACTTGTCGCATGTCGCGTCACACAACACTCTAATCAGTGTAGGAAAGGCCGTCCACTAACAAACCTCTTCAATATGTGCATCATGTGCCCTTCAACACTCTACACGAAGAATCCCTGCTCTTCACCTTCTCGGATCGATTCTCAGCGCAAATTGCCCTCCACTGCTCCGCCCTATGCCACCGCCGGAGAAGTTGCGCGAGTTGTTGCAGTCGGTCGCGTCACTCAGTCAGTCACATCCCCACAACTAATACGATCATAAACTAACTACTGCAGATGGAATTAAATTTGTACGACAATTAGACACCATAGCTATCTTAGACAAGATCGGCAACAAGCACTTCCGCGAGCACGAAATACCCGAGAGGGCCAAAAGCCAGATGGTAATCTTCATCAGAGAATGCCGCAGCTTCAACCCTTGGCTCGACACCACGGAAATGCACTCAAAGCTCGTTACGTGGCCACAGTCCACCATGGAGATGAAATTGGAACTTCTTGTGTCAAGCTCACACTACAAACTCGCCTTCCCGTCATCTAGCATACATTAAGACAAGAACGCCATGCGAGGTCAAACAGAAGACGGAAACGAAACTGGCGCCAAGGACAACCCAGCCGACTATCGAGTTAAAATCTGCGTCTGTCCCACGCTTTATACGTGCGTCCCGGAACCAGACCTACCAGACATTGACGACCTTACCTTCAAGGTGGAGAAGTACAAAGATGCTTTGCTCGAAAATAGAGAGTTCTTTTCTGAAAAGCCGGGAAATTATCAGGGCTGGGAAGGATCTGTCTTGGTATCGCCCGCTATCGTCTTCCTCGAGAAGTGCTCTGGACGATCTCATGACATGCCGGATCAGAGCCAATCGAGGCAGACTCTACGGATTCGATTAACCCCAGGCTTGGCAGAAGATAGTCAAGACGTGGCGGAAGGTGGCGAGGATAACAACAACCTCACTGACTGCGGTAAGGGTGAAGCGAGCGATGTCTTCATCAAAAGCCAATGTAGCGTAGATAGCAAGAGCAGCCAAGGTAGCCAAGGCAGCGAAGATGACGTCAAACTATGATATAGCCAACCACAAATCCATAGCAACCAATCCAAGGTCTACCCAACAACCCTCCCGAACCCAAACCCCCTAACACCATTACTAACCCATACCCCCTCCCCCACACTCACAGTATCAATCCCCACCGGCTCCTCCATACAGAACCCACTTCCCAACGCCCACCTCCTACTCGTCCCCCTCTGCCCTCCCGCCCCCACCTTCGCACTCCTCGTACTATGTCCCCACCTTCCCGCAAAAGGCTTCCTCAACTCGCCTTCATCAGCCCCATCATCCTTCAACGTCTTACTCGTAAACTCGCCTGACGGCACACCCACAGGCGGTGTTACCCACCTTCCCCCACGGAATAAGTACAGGGAGGTTAGTGTGCCTTCGGTTAGCTCGTTGACTTCGTTGTAGAGCATTACTTCGCGGTAAGCGGGGCCGGCAGGGTTGAGAGGTAAGGCACGTTCGCGACTTTGGTCGTACATATCGCGTTTCGTGGTTTTAAGGAGGGTGAAGGGGGAAGAGGGGGTGGGGGCTTTGTCGAGGGCTATTTTCCATTCTGGTGGGGTAGGGGGCTGTGATGAATCGCCGGCTGGGAGAGTGTCTGTGGGGCCGAGATGGAGGGCGCCGCCTGTCAGGGGAGAGGGCGTGAATGCGTTGGTGCTGGTGTTGGCTGGGTGTTGGGGTTGAGATGGTTTTGGTGGGTCTAGAGATGGAGGATAGAGGGTCGACAGAGGGACAGCTGGTATTGGAGTACATTCGACGGTCAGGTTGGCGGCTTTGTCGAACAGGAGCCGGAGCTGGGTGGTTCTTAGTAATGTATAGTAATGGTCTTTTGCAGGTCGTACCTTCATTGCTTCATCTTTTCCTGTTTTCTTGACCTCGTCTTGCACTCGCTTCAAGAGTTCTTCGTGCAATGCTTTCCCATCTTTCAGTCTTTTCTCAACTTCGAAGAAGTCAAAGTGCTGTGCGGCTTCCACCATGCGATCTCGGTGATACGCAAGCATGTAGAATGGTGACGGCTTAACGAAGTTTAAGATGGCTCTTGAGTTTTCCTCTGATTTAAGGAGTAACGGATCATATCTCAAAGAGGTGAACAGCTGGAACTCTTCTTCTGATGCCATGATGCGCCGTTCTTGATGATTAGGAGTCTCGGTCAACGCTGCAATGCCGGTCTTTCCTGTCTGTTCGATACCCGGATAGATGGCTCCGAAGTCGAATACTGGAACTCAGTTCAAACTAGAATCGAATGCGAATGTGTAATGATCTTTGTGCTGTATATTTAGGTACAACACGTGAGATGTACGACGGATGTGCTGTCATTGATGGTGGATCCGGGTTAATCGTCCAATCCCTTGCGAGCGGCGTCTGGCCCGCATTCAGTGCCGAACTCGGTTCATTGGTCGCATCGCACACCTCGAACTTTTGTGAACTACATCTTTGAAATTTCAGTACAATTACCTGCTAGTTGTTCTAGTGAAGCAACATGTCGTCTAAGTTTAATCACTCGAGATTCGCTAAGCTTGTCAAATGTTAAACCTAACAAAGCCGAACGATGGTGTACAAAATGACCAACAACGCAATAGCACATCTGGTATACGCAAAAGTATAGAACGTCAAAGAGAAAGAAGTCGACGACCAACGAGTATTGGCCCGGCGCATCTTCCGCAACGATCCACAGCATCAACTCTTACATACTCGTCTCGGAACGATCAGACCCAGCATTCTAAAGCAATTACCCTACTTGGTTAACATCCGATCAGCCTGTAGATGACTGTCAAACAACGGTCTTTACCTCTGCTCAACCATGCTTAACCTTGTTGGCTAAAAACGGTAATGATGACTGAGGCCGAGAAAGTAAGTATGTGGATCGCAGTGGAGCTTTGTACCGAAGCTGTGACCGCAGGTGGGTAAGAAGCGACATGATGTGATGATGACATGAGGCTGATCAGGGGCGCGTGCAATGAGTCTCCATGTGTCTGCGCGCAGTGCTGTCGAGTGAACGTTCATTTTCTGTTCATTCTAACCCACGACCTTTGATGATATTGTGAGCCTGTTGTAAAGTTCGGTGATTAATGTATTACTACAAACGCCAGGGTATCGCTGGCCGGCGACAGCGTAATAGGCCCTTCACCTTCAGCGATGATGCAATTCAGCAGGTCTCTACGAGCTCATTCAGCCTGGGAAGCAACAATCACCCCGTACGCGTCGCCATGCGTTTGAAGATCTGACGCGGGCGCCCTTGCGCAGCAGCAGGCGGGTTCCACGAAGGGCGAGTCTTTGCCGGCTTGGCTGAAGCGAAATCTCCAACCGCGCTCCTCGTACCGTTGGCCACAGCCTCTATGACAACGGCAGTCTCTGCGCGTACATCTACATACTTGGCCGGAATCAGAGGCGGCTGGACATGGAACCTCAAGCTACCCTTCAAATCCAGTGTCTTGCCCGCGCGCAGTACACCCATCAAATCTGGGCGAGTCTTTAGGATTTCGACATCGACAAACTTGCCGTTCTCGTCGTATCCACGGGCTTTGAGCTCCTCTGTTATCGCATTGCGCAGACGCCGTCTAGCCCATGCTCTTACACAGCTGGACTTGTTCAAGTCGGCGGCTGTAGTCGCATGCCACCATAGCCCCTCCTTTTTCTTCTCTATCTGTCTGCGGCGCTGCGTCTCGAAGAGGGGATGCGAGGGATCGGTCGCGACGTGGTTGAGGATGAAGTTCTTGTAATCGGGAGCATAGTTGACTTTGAACGTGCGCAGCGACTGTCTGGCGAGGAGCGAAAGGACGGCATTCTTCATGGCTTTCCCATGCCTTTCATCTGTATGCACGGTGACGTAGAGTGAAGGAGCAGCGAGTGGGGGTGAAAAGGCTCGTGGACCACGGATGGATTGATTTTCGGCCGGGTGAGCGACAATACGCTAGGCTCAAAGCGGGCTTAGCGCGTAATGTCGAAGGCTCCCACAGTGAGTCGGAATCCACAGTGCAAACAACCCGTGGGCCGCCACTACATAAAGACTTGCGCCCGCCGAAGCTTCTACTTTCAACACCAAACACAACTCCACTCAAACTAATACCAACTTCGACTACCGCCCACCATGCCGAAGAACAAGGGAAAGGTATGTTCAGCGCTCTTTTGGAGGGGCTGCCCCGCCACATCTCCCGGCGCCTGACGCCCAAACCTCACCACTGTGCGGCAATACCTATTTGCATGCCTGGGAGACATGGCGCACCCTCTTCGCCCCCTTATACATCACTCTGCACATACTAACGCACTTCTAGGGAGGTAAAAACCGACGTAGGGGTAAGAACGAGAACGACAACGAAAAGCGCGAACTCGTCTTCAAGGAAGAAGGCCAAGAATATGCCCAAGTCGTCAAGATGCTCGGAAACGGTCGTCTGGAAGCGCAGTGCTTCGACGGCGCCCGCCGTCTCGCCCATATCCGCGGCAAGCTGAGGAAGAAGGTCTGGATCAACCAGGGTGATATTATCCTGCTGTCGCTGCGAGACTACCAGGATGAGAAGGGTGATGTTATCATGAAGTACTCTGGTAAGTCCACTTACTCTATTCCTAACGACCCTTCGAGTACGTGATATTAACAGATGTATAGCCGACGAAGCTCGTTCATTAAAAGCCTACGGCGAACTCCCCGAAAACGCAAAGATCAACGAGACAGACACCTACGGCGACCAGGGCGACGAGGGCATCGGTTTCGAGTTCGACGAGGACCGCGACGACAGCGATTCGGATGAGGCCGACGGCACTGGCAAGAAGGAGATTGATATTGACGACATTTGAGGAGGAGGCGCGCAGATCCGCCATGCTGTCTCGGCTCTTGCTTCGCGGCTGCTGCTTTGCTGTGGCGGGAGCCGGGCTGCTCAAATGCTGCTTCTTGCGAGCGGGCGGATGGGTTGAGGGATATTGATGATACATGGATTCCTAGGAATGATCATGAGGTTATTCGGCATGCTTTTGTGTTACATGCTTCTGGACTCTTTTTGAAAGCATGATGGGATAGAGGAATGATACATGCATAATCCTGGTCCAATCCTTTAATGTCTGAGATCTTTATCCCTTCATATACTGACATCTTCGTGTCACTATCTAATGTACCAAAGTTCTAACTAAACCCCTGCCACTGCACCTCCTCATAAACACTCCGATTAAAGAACCTCCAAACCCTCCTTCCTACATCCGTCCCGACTAACCAACAAATCTCCCTCTCCTGCATATTCGCCACCTCAAACACACTCTCACTCTTCAGCATCAACGTCGTAACCACATTCTCATTTACCCCCGGCAACGCCCTTAACATGTCCTGACTCGTCTGATTGAAGCTGCGCATCTCATCCCCACTCTGATTCGGATCAAGACCCAACTGCACCGCTTTCATCGGATCAGGCTCATCCTGCTGTTTCTTGAGCTCGGAGAAGATTTCGGCCGTTTGGTACGGACTGCTACTCCAGATGATTCTCAGCCGCGGGAAAGCGAGAGTAAGCATAACGAGTTTGGATTGGAGGTCTGGCGTTGTTGCTGGCCCGTTTGCAGAGGAAGAGCTGCCGGCTGAGTAATCGGTAAAGGGTTCTAGAGTGAAAGACTTATTTTGGTCGAATTCAATAAGTAGCATGGGGTGTTTGTAGTGTTCCATCATGGATTCGACTTGGTTAAATAACCGGCCGTTGGCGAAGGATTGAATCAGATCGCGGATGGACTTTCGCTCGATGCAGATTTGGGGCGTGAGGACGTAGTCGCCGACTGTTAGCATGCAGGGGACGATTACGATGGAGCGGCCGTGGAGGAGAGAGGGTAGTGATGAGCGGAATTCTCGTACGTCGACGACGACGCGGGGGGGTTCGGTGGTGGCGGCGAGGCGGCCGCCGCCGGCTATACGTGTGTTTATTGTGCGGAGGAAGGATTCTTCGGGCGCGAGGTTGGCCGTTGAGTTCATTGTTAGGGCCATATTTGCGCGCTCTTTGATTAGTCGTGTGAAGGCGTCTTTCTCGCGGCGCACGGCGGAGAGGTATCGTTGTTCTTCCACGCTGCCGCCGTAGTACATGAAGAAGACTTTCACTGTTCGGTCTGTGTGGGATGATCGGTACACTTCTATCCGCCGGATGAACGCCGCGTCGGGCTCGTACATGATGACGTACCGTGGCTTTGTCTCGTCGAGGATGTGTTCGTCTAGGTCTCCGGAGTAAGGGTGTACGATTATCAACGAGTTCATGTCAAAGAGCTCGTAAAAGCTTTCCATGTTGTCAAGAGGGTCGAATCCTACGTCGCCAGGCTTTTGTGCTGCTTCGATCTCGGTGGGTTCCAATTCAGCCATCAAACTTGCGATGTGAGCGTCGCGGTCTCCTGCTGTCCGAACAGCTCCTGTGTCAGATCGTGAAGGTCCTGCTGCTGCGTTTCCGCCACCCCTTATGCGGCGCCGCTTGTTAGGCGGAGGTCTACCGGAGGTTTGACGCATGCCGCTCTGAACATTCTTGTCTGTGCTGGTGTTGATGGCCTTTTGATTCTCGGAGAACAACGCAGCGCTAACCTTACTGAAGTCGCGTTTCCACGTGAGATAGCCGCGTAACTTACGTCGCATCATGAAGTTTGCTGATGGCTCGTACTCGTCTTCTTCTTCGTCTGCAATACCCTCTGGCTTGACATACATGGTCTGCAGATACTCTCTTAGTTGTGACGCTGTACCTTGGTCGCCACACATGATGAGTATAGAACCGTTGGACGAGTCTTGCGGTGTTGGGTTGAAGTAGGCATCTTGCTCTATCTCTTGCAGAATTTCTGCGAGCTGCGTCCATTTGGGAAACTCCTCTAGGACAGGCTGCAAAGACTCTGGCACAGCATTGGACGCGTTAGCTAGTTCCGCATTGGATACCTTGCCCGTGTATACTCTTCGCTTGGCAGTAGTGAAGATGGTATCGGCCGCGTCTAAGAACAACCAAGGAGATTGGTTCTGCTTTGTTGACCCTGGCGGTGGTTGCGAGGCTGCAAGCACGGTATCGAGGTACTTGTTGAAGTTCACCGCGTCATAGGTAAGAAGGGCATGCAGAATAGTACGAAGCAGGGACAGATCTCGGACGACCTGTCGCGTCTTGAACGTTGTGCGGTGCCATACGGGGTCTAGTTGACGTCTGATGATTTGATCAAAGTTCTTGTGTAAAGCACTGTCCACGTTCCAATCCTCCATCTCCACGCCCGGGTTTGCTTTCTTGAGCTCGCTGATACTGGCCTCAACACAGGCTAGTACCGCATTCTGTATATCTTGCATAGCTTCCGTCATTGGCACTTCCAGCTCAATGACTTCGGCTTTCTTGCGTCCCTCGAGCGAGTTCGCGACTGCTACGTGGAATCTTGGGTATAGCGCCGGCTTCGTTAGGAACAGGTTCTTCATCATGTTCGTAAGCGGAGCGAATCCAGTCGTGAAGGGCTCTGGCGTATCCGAGAACGCCTTTAAAAAGCCTGCCTTGTTCTTCTGCCGATATATCCTCAAAATAAAGGCCTCTAGAGATGTCGCAACGACCCTCTCAGCATGCAGCACCACCACACCCGTCACCGTCTCCGGGTTGAGTAGCCCAGACAGGAAGTCCACGATGAGGATGCGTGACGTGATGCTGAAGATTCCGCCTTGCGCGTACATCTTCTCACGTGTCCCAACGCTCATCAGATCAGTATTGACCAGGCTCAGGCCGCGACACTTGGGCGCGTTGCTGACGGCTGCATGCTCGGCCAAGGCCTCTCCGATCCAGACATTCTCGCGATCGTCGGCACCCACGAGCAGTATAAGATTGTTCCCGGCGGCATCGTAAGAGTGGAGGAGATTTGTGACTATACGCAAGAGGCCGAGGCCGCGCGCGAGGAGGACGAGCTCATCTTCCTCGCGCAGTTCGTTGAAGATGTCTTGTTGAAATTCCTATGATGTCATCAGTATCGTGTCTATAGACGTTCTAGTTCGAGCTTACGAGAGGCAACGAGAGCTTCACGGGGGCTTGCGCATCGTTGGGCATTGGATCCTGCTTCAACGGTCGTGGTGGGGCGAGATGAAGGTTTGGGGCTGGTTCGCGCGTAAGTTCCCGAGGTCGCGAAACTTGGACGCTGTCACGAGATCGATCCCGGACAGCCCCGGGGATGTCACCTGAGCAGAGGCCTCGCCTCATTCCAGACATCCATAGACTCAACTGTATCCCACATTGCACCAGAAGGGTACGTCACTGGTCTGGGGACTGTCACCAGTGCTGACTCGATTCCAGCAAAACTCCAGTCCTATTGGAAGCGTAGATTGATGATACAGGTAAATGTACAACAGTGAAAAGAAAGTTATCTAGCATGGGTCTGCTACTGCGTGCTAGCCCGGATCTCTGCCTGTCTTCTCCGGCCCTCCGCAGCATATGCGTCGCGCTCCTCCCTGCGAATCTGTTGTTCTGTCTCAGACCTCTTCGCATCCATTTCCTTCTGCGCAGCCCAGACTAAATTCGTTAGCGCGGTCTCGAAGATGACTGCAGAAGCAACACCTACTGGGCTTGTCTGAACGCGAAGCTTCCTTCAATTGACCAACAAAGGCGTCAAAGTCCTTCTGTCTCTGCTCCCTTCCAGCAAGAGCCTTCTTCTGCAATTCTGGGCTATATCTCTATACAGATCATGAGCAGCTGCTGGGCGCATGCACGTGGCAAAGTAAACGTACCTTGAAGATTTCTTCCTCGGTAGGTGTAACCCACATAACGAGTGCAGGGCCGCCGATGCACAGGAGTCCGCCTCTATCTTGTCATCAGCTTAGGGTCATGCAACGACAATGTAGCCGACATACCCTGCGATGGCCTTGATGTAGGCCGCGGTAGATGGCATAGTGTGTCTTTGGTGATGGTCTGAATATCTGGAAATCTGGTTTCTAGACTGCCGGCTAGTTGGCAGCGTATGTTCCAGGGTATCGTGGTTGTGGTGGAGACCTGTGCAGCCAAAGTGGTGAAGTCGACGATCCACCCAACTGCCATGGATTGATTGTCCAACAAAGCTAGCCTGCTGCGCCACCCTCAATCACGTGTGTCATGCACCGCCGCCCGGACGTCACCGATGCTGCATCGTCGGGACCCAACTGCTTGCAGGCGGCGAACGCTTACCCGAGCCTAAGGCCCAGCGATCACCGTCGACTTTGCGCTCATTGGTAGGCCGTTCCTCGACTGCATGATGTGTATGATCTCCAGCGGCTCTGCGACTTGGTTCGTATAGGGACTGCGTGACATGAGCTCATTCGGCCTGTGTTGCGCAGGGCTGATACTGATCGCCCCCATATTTCTCCAGTCACTTTAGCTGACGGTGTTACTGAGGGCAAATTCAAAGGCTTCATTTAATCTACTCGCGTGCGAATGCAATCTAACGACAACGATTCGTCTGCTCCAAGGTCCCTTGTCAACGTTTCAAGCCGAAGGACGCCAAAGCGGGACTTTTGCTTATTCATTTCCTGTGTTGCACCAGTGCCGTGTGGGTGGCAGACCTGGGTTGAAACGTAATCGAACTAATTGGAGGTCACCCCGTGTTTGAGGAGGGCAGCAGCAGCCCCCAATTGGCGTCGATTTCCAGAACATGTACAATTGAGAGTTCGACTATTGACTTTCCACCTTCACCCCATCGTCATCCCGCCGTTGTAAGGTCGTCCTTGTGCTGAGTGGGCATATGACACCTCTTTGAGTTTGTGCCACCCCTGTCAGGTACAACATTGCCCGCAACACGGCCAACTGCCAACACCGTCATCGCGATCGCACATCGACGACCAGCATACGCAAACAGGCCGAACGAGCCCAGGCTTTTGCGATCGCGATTGCACCCCAGGTACCTTAAGAGCTGCAGCCCCGCCGGTCGGACATCACCAACGCTCGCTAGCCTCCTGATAGACAGCCTCGGGTCAGGCTTCTCCGATAACGCCGCAAGCATGGCGCACCAACAACACTACGATCACTACGCGCAGCCGCAACAGCAGCAGCAATACTACGACCAAGGCAGGCCACAACAGAGGCAGCAGCAGCAGCAATACCAGAATTATGACAATCAATACGACCAACAACAATACTACGACTACGATTACGGCTATGACCAGGGCGGCCACGAGCAATGGAATAACGGACACTATGACCAGCAAGGAGGATGGGACAACGCGCAGCAGCACGGCGGCTATCAGCACGTGAATGGGCACTCGAGGCCAGCCCAGCCAGATCAGCGCCGCAGACCACCGCCGCAAGACCAGTACTATCAGGAGGAGGCATACAGCGACCAGCATTACCAGCAGTCACCCCCGCAAAACCCAGGACGAAGACCGCCTCCTCAGAGTCAGCGTCCTCAGCAACAAGCCTACAATGAGCCTTCGCGACAACGACCACCACCACAACAACAACAGGATCCGCGAGGCCGGCCGAAAGGTCAAGGGAATGCGCCGCCGCTCAACACACAGAATGGACGAGGTGTCCAGAGGCCACCAGGTATGTCGCGACATCTCGATTCACTCATGCCGAACAGACATAGCATTGCGGACCTTCATCACGATATAGTCTACTAATCACCGTTGACAGGCCTGGACCGCTCCCTCTTCAACCCAACATCACCCAAGAGTCTTGCCTACGACAACCCCTTTCCGACGTTTCCTTCTCAAAAGCAACCTCAAGCTGGCGCGAAGCCCATCGAGAAGAGCATGGCACAGATGAACATCAAGGACGGCGGAGGACAGCCGAAGCCTACAGGCCCGTCTGGGCGAGGACAGCCTATGCCACCGCAGAACCGTGGCGCACCACAGCAGAGGTCAATACCCAACCCACGGCAGGATTCAGGACATTTCGAAGGCCAGGGTCAACGCAATGCCCCTAATCGCATGCCGCCCGGACAGCGACCACCACCCATGAACGCCGATGCTAGTCGAGGACAGCAGCCACATCGCACATCGGATCCGATGTCGCGAGCTTTCGGTCCAAACACACAGCGATCTGTGACAATGCCTCAGACACTACCAAACGGAAATCAGGGTGGCTACAACGGTCAGCAAGAGTTCGCTGAGCCTGGTGCTGTGTCCGGCTATTATGGACCTGCATCGCCAGATCACATCCCCCCTAGGCCTTCAACTGCGGGCGGTGTGAGACAAAACGGGCCACCAATGCAGCAGGGACCTAGGCCTCCATTGCCTCAAGCGCCGCAACAGCAGCCACCATCGCAATATCAACTTGACCAGCGTCAAGCGCCAATCCAGCAGCAACAGGCTCAGGGTGGCGAACCGGCACTGGATGACTTCTACGATGACTACTATGGGCAGAGCGACTCTGCGATGGACATGCCCAACTTTGACGCCATCCCAGAGACCAACAACAAGCATCGCAGAGGTGATTCAATCGACAACCACTTGACTCCTTCTAACGATACGCGCTATGCCCCACCACCTGCTCCCATGAACTCGGGATCTGGCAATCCTCAGGGCCAGATGCAGCGAAGTCGGTCACAGCCAGATCTTAACGGGCAGTACGCAAATGGCGTACATGAGATGGCTGCAGATGCACCCCCAATGCCGGGCCCTTCAAGGGCGAACACTGGCTTTGGAGGCCCGAATGGTCTACCCAACGGTGTGCGAGGACGAGGGCCGCCTCAGAGGGGAATGACAGGTGATGGCATGCAAGGTGGACCACCTAACCAAGGCCCCATGCATGGGCAACCGCCAAACTTCGACCCAAGATATGGAAGGCCACCGCCAGGTCCCCAAAGGGTGTACTCGGACGAGACTACCTATTCAGAGCCGCCTCCAAACATGAACAGGAACTTCGCATCGCCCGCACCCGGAAACCCTATTCAGCGACCAGGAACAGCTGCACCTGCACCGGGACGAAATGCAAGCGATCCAATGGGCAGAAGACCTGGCACTACTCAGCCACCGTCGAATCCAGACGCATTGCCCGCGCACCCGATGCCTGTGCGGCAAGGCCTCATGCAGCAGCCACCGCGGCAGCAACAACAGGCGAACCAGCCTCAGGCGCCTCAGAACGCAAGACCGCCGCCTGTCAGACAATACAACAGTGAACCTGGACGCCCCAGTATCGAAAGCCAACAGTCTTCTACACAGCGGAACAGCGGAACAGGCGCAGCTCCTCATCCAGTAACTTACGACGAGCTAAACAGGCTACGCAACACGTGGAAGCAAAACCCCAATGACATTCCTACGGGTCTGAAACTAGCGAAGAAGCTCGTAGAAGCATCGAGCGTACTCGCCGATGAAGGAGGCACAGCCGACGCCAGGACGAAGAACAAGAACCGAGAGAAGTTCATTCTGGAAGCCCACAAGATCATCAAGAAGCTAGTCAGCAATGGCTCACCGGATGCAATGTTCTATCTCGCCGATTGTTACGGATCAGGAGGGCTTGGCTTGCAAGTGGACACCAAGGAGGCATTCACGCTCTATCAATCAGCCGCCAAAGGGGGCCATGCCGCAAGTGCATACCGTACAGCTGTCTGCTGCGAGATGGGTCATGAAGAAGGCGGTGGCACCAAGAAGGATCCCCTCAAAGCCGTCCAGTGGTATCGACGTGCCGCCGCGTTGGGCGATCCCCCTGCCATGTACAAAATGGGCATGATTCTTCTCAAGGGGCTTTTGGGCCAGCAAAAGAACTTCGGTGAAGCCATCAACATGCTCAAACGAGCCGCTGATCGAGCCGATCGTGACAACCCCCACGCACTCCACGAATTGGCCCTCATCTACGAAGCGCAAACCGGCAACGAACGCGTTATACACGACGAAGCGTACGCGCTACAGCTCTTCCATCAAGCGGCCGATCTTGGCTACAAGTTCTCTCAATTCCGGCTCGGACAGGCCTACGAGTACGGGCTCCTGGGTTGCCCAATCGACGCACGTACCAGTATCGCTTGGTACACCAAAGCCGCTGCCCAGGAGGAACACCAGAGTGAACTCGCACTCTCAGGTTGGTACCTAACAGGTACCTCGGGCATACTGGAACAGAGCGACACCGAAGCCTACCTCTGGGCACGGAAAGCAGCGTGCGCGGAACCGCCACTGCCAAAGGCGCTGTTCGCCATGGGCTACTTCACTGAAGTGGGTATAGGCTGCCCACGCAGTTTGGACGAGGCGAAGCGGTGGTATGGACGAGCTGCAGGTATGTTTTGAAAGTTCCTAATTGCGGAAAAAAGCGAACGGCTAACGTGTTGGCAGCATACAAATTCCCCAAAGCTCAAGAGCGTCTTGAGGAGCTCAAGCGTGGTGGAAGTAAAGTGCAGATGAAGCGTGAACGTCTTAGTCGGACAAATCAGAAGCAACAAGAGGAGAATTGCACGGTTATGTAGTTGAGTATTGTACTGTACTATCATCTGGATGATTTGTTTTCAAGCACATTTCACGTGCGTTTTTCTGGTATCGCTGGCGTTGAGCATGGAGTTTAAGTTGAAGCATTGATGGCGTCTGCTGTTCTGGTACGTTTTGATATACAACTTGATCGAGGACGAACGTTGAATACAGTGTTCAATCAAACAAGTCCACAACAAAACCAAGTCCCGTGAAGCTGACACCCCCCCTCGTCATTAAAACACCATCCCATCACGCCCCCTTCTCCAACTTCCATATCTCCGCCTCCACCCTCTCAAGCTCTTTAAGTAACCCCTCCTTCCTCTTCGCCAAATCCCTCATCCCCTTCTCACCCGCCTTCCCATACAATTCCAACTCTCGTCGAGCTAACGCCTCGCGGTCCCAAAGCGCTCTCTTTCCACCTCCCAGGCCTTTCCTGAACTCCTTCAATGCATCGACAAACTCCGCAGGCGGGGGGTGCAGCAACGAGTGCGTTTTAGCTTGTAGACCGAGTAAGATGGCTTTTGTCTGCAGGAGCTCGGCAGACGATTTGGTGTGCCGGGATAGAGCGCCTTGCTGGGTTTGCTCGAGGATTTTGATGCTGGTGCTGAGGACAGATGAGTGTGTGGAGAGAAGGGTAGTTAGGGTGGTTGTCAGATGGGTGTGTGCGGCTTGCAATTCACTAGGCAGGGTATCCACAGCGGAGGATTGGAGGGTCAGAGATGTGCTATGGAGGGATGGGATGGGTGGGGGAGAGATTGGAGACGCGATACGGCAGAGGTAGTCGGCTATATTGGTGAACTGGGTTGATAAAGCTGAGGCGATGGGTGCGATATTTGAGTGGAAGAACTCGATGTCGCCGGAAAGGATTTCCAGGTCCGACGAGGGAACTTGGCCGTTTAGTTGGGCGGTGACTGTTTCTGTGACAGCGTGCAAGTCTGGTGGGAGGTCTGCGGCTTTCGATGGCAGGGTTGAGAGAGATGTGGTGAGAATCTGCGTCGTGTGGAGGGTTGTGAGCGCGGTGGTTAGAGTCTGGGAGGATGTCAGTATGTAACGTGAATATAAAGTCTGCTTCTTGAGACGTGAATCAATGAATGTAGGGAGACAGCACGGAAATCCTGCTGATGGACAGAGACATGGTGCAGTTTTGTAAACAAACAAATGAACATATCGTAGAGATGAGTGGTGAAAGCACGGAAGAAGAGGAGTAGTGAGAATCTGACTGCCTTCTGAGTGAAGAAAGTAAAGAAGTTCTTACTCTGCGTATCTCATCATGCACACGCTGCTTCTTTGTGTCTCTCGTCGAGCTATTAGGATTGAGCTTCCTCGTGCAAAGATCCTTGTACAAAATCTCAAAATTGGGATTACGCTGCAGCACCGCGGGATCGATTGGTGGTAGCATGATGTTCGGCGTAATCCTCTGGTGTGGCTTGAAGTTACGACCAAAGAGACGCCATGAGAGCAGTAAAGTAGCGGTAGGAGCGGACGCTAGCTCGTTCCCACCTAGCGTCTTGGCCGGCCCTTCACTCCCGCCGCTTCCAATACCCACATCATGTTTCCTATTTGAGAACCCAATATCGATCTCCTACTCATCCGAATCAAGAACAAGATACATCACGCACCAAAAGGAATTCCTTTCCAAACCCCACCCCCACAATGCCAGAATCCCGCCGCCAATCCATCACACCCACAATATCAACATACCACCTCTACAACCGCACAGGCTCCTCGTGTGCCCGTCGTGTCCGTATTGCCCTCTCCCTTAAGAAGGTCCCCAACCTCCTTTACCACGACGTGGAGAAATACACACGCACCTCCATTGGCACAAAACAGTACCTAGCCATAAACCCCAGCGGCGCTGTTCCTACTCTGATTCACGAAATCACCACCCCAGGCCACTCTACTAAACAACGCTTTGTACTTACGCAATCAACTGCCATACTAGAGTATCTGGACGAGATGTTTCCGGGGCTATGTCCGTTGATGCCGTTGGTAGGTAACAGAGAGGAGAGGGCGAGGATGAGGGAGCTGGTTGCGGTGGTGACGCAGGATATGTTTCCTTTTGCAAATCGGGGGAATGGGGTGAAATTGTGTGAGGTTGCGAAGGCGACGGAGGAGGGGCGGTTGGAGTTTATCAGAGTGAAATTGAATGAGGGGTTTGATGCCTACGAGGCCATGTTGGTGAAGTGTGGGGGGCGGTATAGTGTGGGTGATGAATTGAGTATGGCGGATGTGTGTCTCGTGCCACAGGTGTTGCAGGCGCAGTTGTGGGGGGTATTCGTGCTCGGATGTGATAGATGGCCGCTGATTAAAGCTGTGGTGGGCAGGTTGGCGAGGGTTCAGGCTTTTGCTAAGGAAATGGGTGATATTGCTGTGGATGAGGAGACTGTCGTGAAACCGCTGCCTTGATAGCTATACAGACTGCTAAAGCGTCTCTATCTTCCTCTGATATGCATAATAACGCCGTTAAACGCCAGTCCTTGCGCTGCACTTTTTTCTTGGGGAACGCCGTACATCAGTCCCACGCAAACCCTGCGTTCCATCTCACAATCAAAAGATCTCCTTCTCACAGACGACCTCATACCGTTCATCCACCACCTCTCCCTGTCCTTCCGCACCCCCGCTCCAAAATTTCTTCGCACCCATCTTACAAATACATACTCTATCCACTCTAACACTCTCCGCCCAGACAAACCCCTTGTACTTCTCAATCAGATTGCGCGCATCGAAGCGCATCCAGCTCTTGGCATCTGGACCATGTCCTTCACCCGTCGGAGGAGATGGATCTGCTGTTGAAGCTTCGGCAGTGTTACCATCCACCGAGCCTGCTGTTGACGCGCCGTCATCTTCTTGTGCATCATGGCCGTTAATATCGGCGTGAGCGGTCTGACCATCCACCCCGTTCCCGTGATGATGAGGCGAGACTTTATGTTGCACATGCTTCAACCCATCTTTAACCTTCCCACTTTTCGACCTTCCCCTCCCTCCCTTCGGCTTCGCATAAATAGTATTCATAATCGTAGCATGCAACCTCAAAGCCCTACTATCCTCAACCAACAACCCCTGCTCCGTAAACCTATCTCTTAACGCCGCAGCAAACGGCTGCAAGCGCTGTGACGCATCTTGAGGTTCCGCATACAGTATACTCGTTTTATGCGGCGCTTGCATAGGAATCAGGGCTTCCAAGTTGATTGTCAAAGCATCCGTGTCGGGCATGGCTGCAGCATTGAGGTTCTCGGCTATCTCGCCGCTTTCGGCGGCGGCTTCTGCGACGCGCTGGTGGGTTATGTCGCGGAGGAGGTTGTGGAGGTCTAGGTCTGAAAGGTATTGTTGCGCTTCGGATAGTTGCTGTGGAGAGAGACTCATTACGCCGAGGGTGAGGTGAAGAGTGCCGACTGGTCGGACGGCTTTTGTGGGGACGGGTCCATCTTTTGATAGCTCTTCTTTGAATTCTTCGAGTCTTTGGTGTAGTTCGGAGCGGCTCGACTCGGTGACTAAGGGTAGACACAGGAAATGTGTGAGTTGTGGTTTCTTTGCTGCGCCTTTGCCTTGTTTCTTGCTGTATGTCTGATCTTTTTGTACTGATGGTGATGGAATGTCTCGAGATGCAAAGCCCTGCAATGTCGTTCTGATCTCGGTGTTGTCGCGCAGCTTCTCGCCGTCTAGAAAGTCGTTGTATTCGCCCTTTGACTTCTTTTTGCCCATGATTGGTGATGTGGTGTAATGTTCGACGGAGGAAGTTTGATGTGAACGAACGTATTGAGATTTACTAGCTGCTCTGTTCTTTGCTAGGCAACGAGTGGAGTGCGCAATAGCAGTGGTGACAGTAGTGCCTCGGCTGATTGGTCCAGAAGCAGCTCGATGCAGGACCGCCGTAAAGAGCATGGGAGAGTCAAGGAAGGTGTGCGAAGCGCAAGAGCGACTAAATGAGCAGTTCACGACAAGGAAAGAGCGAAATTAGGCGCGCCGAACGAAGCGCCACATGATCCCACGGCAGCATCGGCAAGACTACCATGGCGGAACCGAGAAAAGGCCTGACGATGGAACCACTCATGGTGTTGACTTTTCATGGGGTGCGGCATTCAACCTATCAGAGTGTGGTAGCCAACCTATCAGGCGCAATACTAAGTTCGGCAAAGCCATGTGCAAAGAGTGACGTAGGTCCCGAAGGTGGGGGGAGTGACATGCGCCGCCGCTGGGCACTCGTTCGGCCCTTCACGCGTAGGGCTGAAGAACGTTCCATGGTCACAGAGGATATGGTTCAGAGAGGGGTTGACATGGCATTAGTTTCAATGAATGATACTTATCTAAAATATTTACAGCTGCATTGCGATCATATAGAGCGTTACTCTGCGCTTGAGCAACAACATATGCATCATGATGACAGGGAGAGTTAACATTCATTCGTAATCTATGCAAGTGCGATGGAAACGGAATAGACAAATTGAGGGCAAGCTATGTAGAGTACTGGAATTTCCTCGCTGACCCGATGACGGCATGTACACAAAAAGCGCTCCTAGGAACGTGAGATGGTGGAATGTCGCGCATGAGAGATTTCGTCAAGATTGAGAAAGTGTCGTGGTAGAGCAGAAAGCCCGGAGTCGCAATTGACGCTCCGTAAAGCGTACGGTCCAAGACTTGGCTACTACCGATACCGACTCCTCCAGCTGAGCGTGGCGAGTGCGAGACTGGTGTGCTCGCGCCGTAGCTCTGGCTGATGCGGGCTCTCTATTTCTTTGCCGCAGCAGGAGAGGGCGCATCTTCTTCCGCCGCCTCCTCCTCGTCGCCCTCGTCCTGGTAGAACTTCTTGAGGATGTCCTTGACGTCAGAGAACTCCGTCTTTGCCTGCTTGATGATCTTGGCCAGATTCTCCTGCGCCTTCTCCTCTGTTATGTCCTTTGTGCCGGCGTCGTCCTTGAGCTGGCCGTAGTTTTGGATCTTCTCGCACGAGTCTTTGACTTTGGTGAGGCCGAGCGTGGCGGACGAGCCCTTGAGGAAGTGGCCTAGCTCACTAAGCTCCCTGAGGTACTTGCCCTCCTTCTTCTCGCTGGGTGGCGTTAGCCGTCGTGAACATATTTCGCGGCGCGCGTGGGGCACTCACAGCTCCTTGTCCATCTTCTTGAAGGTCTGGTCGGCCTGGCCAAAGAAGTCGTAGACGATGCTTTTGCTGAACTCGCGCTCGTCCTCGTCCTCGTCCATCTCGAGAATCTGCTCAAAGGTGGCTGGGTCGATCTGGTCCTCGGCGCCAGGGATCGACATGATGTCGCCGTTCTGTAGGGGGAGTCTTGGGTTAGGAGATTATACTAGGGATAGGCGCGTGTTGCGATGTTGTAGTAGGGACAGCAGGCGGATGACACGTGCGGAGAATTGCAGACATGGAGGGGCCAGGCAGGAGCAGGCAGAACATGGAGGGGTAGCACGAACCTTGTCGTCGGTAACCGACATGCTGAACAGGACGCAACAGCAAATCCGATTTACGGGAAACGCTCTTCGACCTCGCGGGATGCTGTCGACACCTTCGTGTACTGGCGTCGCAGCGCTTCAATGTTCTGGGCGCGACGGTGACGGATATTTTTTCGCGCCTCAGTAGTGGGCCGTGCGGCTGTCCGATTCACTGGCTGCGGCTCGATGTGGCTTAGTGGATGACGAAAGGGTCGGCCCGTTGTTGCTGTGAGCGCCGTTGTTAGAGCTGCTGTCTTCTGCAGAGGGCAATGTCTCGGGACGCAGGGCAGAGTGGGAAATGTGAGTGTGACTGCTATGCTGCCTACCGAACTACTACGTACAGAAACCCTTTTAGTCTAGTCAACCCCTCTGCTCGTTTAGTCGCTATAGTCTCGACGGAAGCGGCTGCCGAGGGAAGCGACAAAGCTATCCTGTTCGCGGTAGATTGGGACGACACGTCGAGTCGGTGAGATAAGAAGAAAGCAATAAGTGGCACTGGTGGTCACGGGCTCGCTGCTCATATACAGCCGCGAGGGTTCTAGAAGTGAGATTGGCGATGTTTGCATCACCACAAAAGAGGGGGGCCACGGAATCATGGGCACAGAAATAAGGCCTCGCTATATGTGGGTGGATACCTCGACGTCAATCGGCAGCCTTCACTCGCCGTGGATCGCCTGTCACAAAGCCAACTCTGCCCTCTTCCAGCGGCTGACTGGCGACCATGCCCCCCATCGCCCTCATCGGCTGGCCGGCCAAAAGTAAGGTAACGCGCCCGGGTCGTGTGGAGTCTGCCCTCTGACCTGGCAGCTTGCCCGCCCCGTGGTATCTTCTGCAGCTGATGGGGCTAGTTGCGACCCTCGCTCGCACCGCTTTGTCCCGTCGGCAGAGCCACCAGAGCAGACCATGGAGTGCGCAAAGACTGAAAATAAAGACGGTTGACAAGGTGCCAAGAAGGCCTGGAAGCGTTCGAAAATCTGCCATTTCCCGCTGTTGGAAGGGGGCAGGGCGGGGTGCCAGCGTACGAATATAAAGAAAGACGAGGGTTGGTTTTCGTCGTGAGAAAAACGACGTCACTTCGCCAGCCGTCGTCATCGTGCATGCTCACCCGGACCCTGAAAACTCATTTGCTAGGTTGGGCTAGCATCATATACCGCGCACAAATACCTCGACAGGTCGCCGTTAGAGTACACACTTTGCGCGCGCTCTCAACGGCCATGTCGAGGTCCTATTGAGATAATTCCAACCTTTGCCAGCACATGGGTCTTGGGAACGAACAAACGCCATAGGTCCGGGCACCCACTCCACAGACAGGCATGCACCTTGGACCCTGACCTCTTTTCTCGCAGAAACCTGCAATGCACCTGAATCATGCTCGTTCGTCCGGCCTCCTCCGAGCTGCAAAGCCTCGATACTTTCTTGTTGCTGGAGCAGGGGCTACGGATGACGGAAGCAATAGTGCATGGAGGCGTCTGGGATCAGCATTCGTGATGCAGACGTGCAGGACAAGGAACCTGCGGATCGCAGCTGCAGGGTCACTGAGTGGAGTGGTTAGCGTGACGGTTTCATCGGTAAGGTCACTTGTTGAACGATGCGGTGTGCGGTACCGGCGCAACTTGTCGAACCGTGAAGCAAATAAAACTTGGATTCGTTGTTTTCGGAGAACTAAGCGCGACACAAACCGAAGCAGCTCCGCCTGTAGGGCTTGAATACCCTTTTGGTATTCCGCATATGCGAGTTAGTGAAACCGGACAGGTAGGCGTGCTTTTGGCATTTGCGATCACGATGTCCCAGCGCACGGGAACTAGCGTCATTGCACAGTGCTGTGCGAGTTACCAGCGATACTATGCTGGGTAATGATCTGTATTTTACCGATGAGCTCGCAAACGACAGGACCAACCACTCGTGGGGTGTGGGGATAAAGTGGGTGATGTCTGAGTGGGAACAAAACTTCGGTGAAGGATTGGAGGATCGACCAAATCAAACGAATCAGGTCCCTTGATCCGAGAACACAAAAGACGGCATGAGAGGAGGTTGTAAGATCGTGAGCCGTTTCATTTCTCGTATGTTTTTTCATTGTATAATCTAGCCGCCGATGCTGTCTGCACAGTACAATGCTGGCGCCATGTTATGTCACGAGGTTCGCTGAATCACGGAAGGAAGTAGAACACTGTCATGACGATCCTAACCCTTGACCTTGTAGATGGCCTCAGCCAGGCGGCCGACGTTCTCGCTGGTGATACCCGCAACCGAGATGCGGCCGTCCTTGGTAGCATAGACTGAGTGCTGTCATGGCGGTTAGCGCTGCTAATATCAAGAAATTTGCAAGACATTAACCTACCTCCTTTGCTAGCTTGTCCATCTGCTCAGCTGTCAGACCAGTGTAAGCGAACATGCCAATCTGGGAGGTGATGTGGCTCCAGTCGTGCTTGCTGCCGAGCTTTTCGAGGTTCTCCTTGAGGAGGGCACGCATGGTGATGATGCGGTCAGCCATGCCCTTGACCTCACCGAGCCATTGCTTGTTGAGAGAAGCATCGTTCAGGATCTCAGAGGCAATGCGGGCACCGTGAACTGGGGGGTTAGAGTACAATGGGCGGACAAGGATCTTGATCTGAGAGTCAACGCGCTTCTTCTCGTCGGCAGACTCGCAGACGATGGAGAAGGCACCAACTCGCTCGCCGTAGAGACCCATGTTCTTGGCGAAAGACTGAGCCAGGCAGGGGCGGAGACCCTCCTTGATGAAGTGACGGAGAGCGAAGGCGTCCTTGGTGGTGTCACCACTGGCAAAGCCCTGGTAGGCCATGTCGAAGAAAGGATAGTGGTCACCAGCCTTGACAGCCTCAGCAATCTTAACCCACTGCTCCTCGGTAGGGTCTACACCAGTAGGGTTGTGGGCACAGGCGTGGAGCAGGACGATACTGTTCTTTGGCATGGCCTTGATGTCAGCCACCATGCCGTCAAAGTCGAGGCCAATGGTGTCCTTGTTGTAGTAGCTGTACTTCTCGACCTTGAGACCCGAGTCCTTGAAGACAGCGTTGTGGTTGGCCCATGATGGCGTAGGAATGTAGATGGTCTTCGCGCCGGGGTAGTGACGCTCGAGGAAGGCACCACCAATGCGGAGGGCACCGGTACCGGAGATGGTCTGGGTGACGGCGATGCAGTCGTCATTGAGGGGAGTAGAGTCGGCACCGTATGCGAGCCTGAGGGCAGCCTTGGTGAAGTTGGGGACACCGGTGATGCCGGCGTACTCCTTGTCGAGCGACGACTTGACAATCTTCTCCTCTGCCTCTCTCACAGATGGCAGGACGTAGGGCTTGCCCTTGTCGTCACGGTAAGCGCCAACACCTGTTGATGGCTGTCAGTCGCGCCTTCCCCGTGCGGATTGCAGCTTGTTTACTGACCCAAGTTGATCTTCTTGGGGTTGCTGTCGGCCTTGAAGGCTTCGGTGATACCCAGAATGGCCTGGAGCGGGGCGGTGAGCTACGGTGTGGCCTATCTTATCAGGAGTGGTACTTACATCCTGGGAGTCAGTTAGCTCTGGTGAAACACGACTGGGGCCCAATTGCTTTTGCCACTTACTGGAGGACCCTGCGGTACCTGCGACCAAGCGGAGACAGCTCGGACGCTGGTCCTGAGGGACAGCTGCTTAGTCGCCGCCTGGCGCAGCGCCGTTCTTGATGACGCGAGCATAGTTGAGTTGTGTGCGGGGTGGAGGAGGGAGTTGAAGGGCAGCGTAGAGGGAGAGAAGAGGGTAGTAGAGCTTCCCGTAGACTATTGTAGTGGGTGGTCTGAGCAAAATACCCCAGAAAAGCAATAAACTCCCCGTCGCCCGTTTCGCGGGAGAGCTTCGATGACTCGGGGCAGCCACGATCGCCTCCGATTCGCTTAGCCGAGGCACCCCTGCTAACTCCGGCGGCCTTCACTAATTTTCATGGCAAACTGGCGCGTCGCGTTGGTGAATTGACCTGGGATAACATTCAGTGAGACTTCCCGTACACTATGCGACCAGCCCTAAGGCAAGCCAGGACGCTGCTGAACCATGAAGCCTCGGTACCTCTCTTCCTCTGTCCCGCCCTGGTCAGAGCGCCCATAGCCTCTCATCGCCGTCGAACGCCGCAGAAAGAACCTCTGCAGAAGTACTCAACTTTTGTAGCACCTCAGGATCAAATCAATGCCACCGCCCTTCCTCTCGATACCAGCGACGCTCCTTCCAGTAAATCTTCACCAGACACATCCTCAACCCAGAGGTCATTGCCACGGGCATGTCCAGGATGTGGTGCGCCATCCCAGATATACGACAAGAGGGAGGCCGGGTACTACGACGTAGACCGGAACTCGATACGGGAATACCTTGACGGTGTCCAAAAGGCAAAAGAAGCGACTGTGGAGGACGACATATATGCCAAGGCGCTCAAGAATGTGAATCCTGAGCTGCTCGGAGAATTGGGGCTTCAGGATGAAAGCATCGAAACAAAGCCAGATCACGAAACGCCGTCCACGCCCATATGCGACCGATGCCACAACCTCCTGCACCACCGCAAAGGATCGCCTATACACCACCCGACCGTCGAATCCATACAGCAGACCATCGCAGAGTCGCCCCACCGCCGCAACCACATCTACCATGTCGTCGATGCCGCCGACTTCCCGCTGTCCATAGTCCCAAACCTCCAATCGTCCCTGCGGATACCCAAACTCCGGACCCAGAATCGGCGCGCAAAACACAAGGGATGGGTCGCCAACGATCGCATTGCAGAGGTCAGCTTCATCATCACGAGGGCTGACCTGCTTGCGCCAAAGAAAGAGCAAGTGGACGTATTGATGCCATACATCCGAGACGTACTTCGAGATGCACTGGGACGACAGAACGCGAATGCGCGACTGGGCAACGTGCGGCTTGTGAGCGCAAAGCGGGGATGGTGGACTAAACAAGTCAAAGAAGACATATGGGAGCGCGGAGGTGCAGGCTGGATGGTCGGCAAGGTCAACGTAGGAAAGTCGAACCTCTTCGAAGCTGTCTTTCCGAAAGGGCGAGGAGCAGACTACCAAGACGTGCGCAAGATACGGAGCGCAGCCGAGCGTGAGGCAATGCTCAGCAACGCAAAGTCGCTGGAAGAGCTCACCCGGGTACAACAATTGCTCGCTGAAGAGGACGCCGAGACGGAGCGACTAAAGACCAGACCTCAACAACATCTTCATCAGCCTCCTGCAGAACTCGAAGAACAAGCCGAAGAAGAGGATTTTGACGACCCTGACGCACTCCTCCCACCACCTCAGCCATACACACCATATCCCGTCCTCCCAATCGCCTCCTCACTGCCCGGAACTACCGCTTCTCCAATCCGCATTCCCTTTGGCAACAACAGAGGCGAACTCATCGACCTCCCCGGCCTCGCCCGCACAACACCCGGTCTAGAAACCTTTGTCCAACCCGCCGCCCACGACGACCTTGTAATGAAGAACCGCATAAACTCCGAGCGCTACACCCTCAAGCCCGGGCAATCTCTCATCCTCGGCGGCGGACTAATACGCATCACACCCTCGACCCCCGACCTAGTCTTCCTCGTCCACCCCTTCGTCCCTATCCACCCCCACGTAACCCGCACCGAAAAAGCCATAGACTACCAAGCGCAGACCTCAGAGCGCCAACTCCAAGTCGCACCCATCCTCGCCCCCAACGTGGGCCCCAAGATGAATTCCGCTGGTAAATTCCAGCTCAAATGGGATGCGACCAAGAAACTCGCTGGTCCCGTCACCTCCCCCGTGGCGGGCAAGATGAAGCCCGAGAATCTGCCCTTCCGTGTCTGGAGCACGGATATTTTGATCGAGGGTGTAGGTTGGATAGAAGTCAGCGCGCAAACACGCCGACCCCAGGGCTGGAAGCCATCTGGCCTCGAGAAGAAAGACCCAAATCAAGCGAAATTCGACCGCATCACGCGCCTCAAGGAGGAAGAAGAACGCAAGAATAGAAAGTTCGCTGCACTTGCCCGTGCGGAGGAGCAAGGTCGGGATGCGGAAGAAGTTCTCGAAGAAGAGTTTTACGAAGACGATATGAGGGATCGGATGGCGGATTGGGAGGAGGACTATCCTGAAGTGGAGGTATTTAGCCCGCTGGGCAAGTTTGTTGGACAGAGACGACCGATGTGTGCGAGTACGGTTAGTGGGCCGAAGTATGTCGCGAGTAGGGATAGGAAGGTTAGGCCGAGGAGGAGTATGGTCAGTGTTAAGAAGCAGCGGAAGCCGAAGGGCGGTGAGTAGGTCGCTCAGATGCATATGTAGATTAGTTGTGTATATTAGGCATAGGAAGGACGTGTTGCGAACGTGATTACGACGTCATCACATCTGCGAGAAGACGGTGGAGCTGAACGTTTATGCTAATGATATTCGTCTACGCCGTATAAACTCCGTAATGCGTCGATTCAGTTACGTCAACTTTCTCGTCTCCAGGACAATCGCGTCTTCCATACGCCCATTACGCCAATCCAATGTCCTTCTTTCACCTATATCCAATACAGATCTACTCCAGCCCTCTACTCAAAAGCTTCCTACGTTGCGCAATTATGTTCCACACCATGCCGTCATGTAGTCGAAAGCGGCTGGTACGTCCATTACTTTTCTAGTTCTTGCCCTGCTCGAGTATAGCCCAGAACTGTTCTTGTTCCTTCGCGCAATCCCGTCCTTCTTTATCGCAGCCAGGGAAATTGGCGACGAGATCGCCTTCTTTGAATTGTCCGTCTTTGGGACTTGCCGGACCGGTGGCGTAGGCGTTGAGGAGGTTCTGCGGCACCATGGCTAATTTGGCGAGGATGGTGCCATGCCATCTGGAGAATCAACGGTCAGTAAAGTCTCCTTACATGCAATACAATTCGGCCTCGAGATTTAGCTCGGGGGCAGGGCGGAAAGAGGAAACTCACTGAACAATATGCTCCAATGCATGACTCTCCGCCTTCTGAAAGTTATAACTCCTGTAAATCGGATCGAACCAAGCATCGAGGAAGAACTTCGCCCACTCTCCGTTTCTGACCACAAAACTACTCGGCGCCAATCCATCCTTATCCTGTGTAACGACGAAATCTATTCTGTCGCCTTTAAGGTTGCTAAAGGTTTTGATGACGCTGTCGGGTGGTACGACGGGCGCGTTTGTGATCATGTGGGTCTCGAGCTTGGCGGGCGTGAGCAGGTAGGTGTGGATGGGGAGTGCGGTGTTCATGATGAGCGCCGTGGCGTCGAGGTACCAGAAGAATGTTGAGGTAGGGTAGAGCGTCATGGCGTGGCGGGTGCCGGGGACGCGCGACCAGGTTGAGGGGGAGTTGCCGATGGGGTATTGGTCTGCCGTGGGGAAGAAGGTTAGGTAGCCTGGGAGGGGGGTTAGTATGGCCCTATGCTCTGGTCTCGCAGCTGGCGGTTGGAGAGAGTTGAGACGTACCATGTTTTTTGGCGTATTCTTCCCTATTGCTCTTGATCTTTTGTATCCAGACGGGATCCGCCTTGGGATCTATAGTCGTAACCACCACCACAGGCGGTCCGCTCCCTATCGCCGGCTTGGGTATGTTCGCGGCTGTCCAACCCCCAACTTTAGAAGCTGTCCTCTTGCTGGTTCCTCCACTGCCACTCAACATCCATATCAGGACAAAGAAGCCCAGTACACCGCCGACTATCAACCGTCCTGCCCTGCTGCGAAGGAGATTCTTGAGCGCAGGCGGAATCGCAATGCCTCCACTCTGGTTGCGGGCGGCATAGGGCGGTGGTCGCGACGTTTTCCTTGGGGGCATGGCGAAATGCATGATGTGTCGTAGGCGTCCGTGGTTTCGGGAAGATCACTCGCAATTGCGGTTTGGTTCGGGATTGGTGAATGCGGAGCGAGCGATGGGCCACTTGGAGATCGTGAAGTCTGGAATTGGGCGTGGAAATTCGTTACGAGAACATTGCGGGTAATGTGACAGAGATGGACGGCCGCTATGCAGAACAAGGGCACGGCTGGGCTGGGGGATGCTGTGCGGTCGCGGAAAGGGTCGAATATTACTAGACACGCGACGACATGGGATGCGATGCGATAGGCCTTGGCAGGAGGGACCTTGCCTTAGCGGCCGCAGGGCAGGGGCAGCAACTGGAGGAGAGGAGAGTCACGTTTTCTGAGTACCGGCGTGTCTTCTGGCAATCGATATGCGTGTACATGTACTTTGTTGATGCTTCTCGTCTCGTGTGGAATACTGCTCAAAGTCACGCTTGCACGTGGTGCAACTCTTCCACGTTGCGTTATCTCTTTTTTGAGCGGGCTATCGTCAACTTCAATGATGGCACACGATGGGCTCCGCCAAGCCCGCAATTTTCCCAGAATAGAGGCGATACGGACTTAGCACCTGCCTTTGCTGAGCATAATCAGTCAGATACGGGATCCAAAGGCTGCCGATATGTGGCGTTTCCGCGAAGACGTTCGTGTTCGCCGACTTTCACCTTCAAGGAGCCCATGGTGTATGCGCTACGCGAATGAAACATCGCATGGGGTTTTCCGGTATTGAGCTATGGTTATTCCGGTTCCAGATGGTAAGATGTAAGGTAATGCGAGGAATACAGCGTCTTCGAGGAGCGCTCGCCAAACCTGGCGAGGTTCTACGTCAAGATCTTCAACATAGGAAACTCGAGCAAAAGAACAGATCCACAGCTAAAGCGGAAGCTCGGTACAATCGCCAAGCGTTATACTTATCCATCTGCGATGTGACGACTGCTTGCTAATACAAGACGCTCATAGCTTCGCAGCTACTTCTGCGTTACCCGCTATGACGTCGCCCATCTGTCACAGTAAAGAGACGAATCCCTTAAGAAAACTGCGATTGATCGCCATCTTACCAGCATCAATTCACTTCCAACTCACGGGTAATTTCTCAAATCAAATTTCATCCTCACCCATCTAATAAATCGAAAACCGCAATCATGGTCGAAAAGATTATGCAACTGAGATGCGAGTGCAACCAGTATCCATGGGGAAAGCAGGGCTCAAAGTCACTGGCGGCGACTTTGTGTGAGAAGACTCCGGGAACAGAGTTCAAGATCGATGAAAACACAAGCTACGCCGAAATGTAAGTGTACAAAACTACGCAGTCGAATGCCGTCTAACATCCCCAGGTGGATGGGCACATATCCCGAACTGCCTTCATATGTCCTAGAGACTGGCGAGGACCTTCAAAAAGTGCTCGACAGACACTCTGAAGAACTTGTTGGAAAAAACATTGCCGACAAGTTCAACCACACCAAGCTGCCATATCTACCCAAGGTCCTGTCGATAGCGAAGGCCCTTCCTCTGCAACTGCATCCAGTACGTTCATCTCTCGATCGATCAATTCCACAACTAACACTGTATCAGAACAAAGAATTGGCTTCCAAGCTTCACGCAAAGGACCCAAATCAGTTCACTGACCCCAACCACAAACCAGAGATCGCGCTAGCTCTTGGCGACTTCGAGGCCTTCTGCGGCTTCAAACAATTGAAAGACATCGAGCGCTTGATGCAGCTGCCACCACTTCAAGCCTTCCTTCCAGAGGTCAAGAAGCCTGAGTTCGACGACCAAACTCTGAAGCACGTTGTCAAGGAAATGCTTCTGGCCTCTGAGGACGCTGTACGCAAGACCAACGATGCCCTCATGAAGATTCCAAAGGAGCAGTTCGGCGAATCGAGCTACATCCCAGACATGATCCCTCGTCTAGCTGAGCAGTACGACAAGGCCGACAACGGCACTCTTGTTGCTCTCGTCACCATGAACTACCTCCAGCTCAAGGCAGGCGACAGCATCTACATCCCGGCTGACGGCATCCACGCATATCTCTCCGGCGATATCATCGAGTGCATGGCCCGATCAAACAACGTTTTGAACACCGGCTTCTGCCCGCGCGCCGACCGCAACAACATCGACATGTTCTGCTCCTCTTTGACTTTCACACCACATGACGCCAAGGAAGCAATCTTACCAGCAAAGCCTTTCGACGGAAGCAAGAACGGCAAGACGCAGCTGTACGCGCCACCACTGAGCGAGTTCAGCATGCTAGCCACAACCATGGGCAATGGCGATTCCGAGACGATCCGGTCGCTCGGTGGACCAAGTGTCATGATCGTAACCGAGGGCGAGGGAACCATGAAGGGCAACGGCAAGGAATACAAGCTAAGCGCAGGCTACATCTTCTTTGTCGCTCCCGGTGTAGAGCTAGAGTTCAAGGCCATGAAGCAGCTCAAGGCGTTTACAGCTTTTGTAGAGTAGATCGGCCTTGTACGTACCTGACAATGAGGCTCAACCCCGCGGAGGTGGCTAGCGGCCGATTGGGCGGACTAGAGCTTCCCCGCACCTTTCACGTGCGCGTGCCATCAGCACTACGCATGTACTTTGGCTGTGTAGTTGTATAACCAGAAAGCTTATAAGTATAGAGCGGAACATACTCGGATCCGCACGCGCATGTACTGGTGATCTCCACATGTATCCTTGTTTCCCCGCACTTGATGGCAGGTACCCCTCTGTAGCTGGGGATAGCTATAAAACCCCGCAATGGAGCTCATGCTTGCTTGGAGGATGAGATTTATTCCTTTTTGATTGCTTATTGATCAATTGGGTTGAGATTTGACGTTGCTGAACTTGCGAATCGCGTTCAGTTGCCTGATATTTGCCAACATCATCATCAACTTGAACCACAGCATTCGATTAGCTACTGAAACCAGGTAAGCAGCAAAAGCAAAAGAAATGCTATCCGAAGATTGCCTATCTTAATGCCCCGAAGTCTGTTCAACCCAATTAACATCAAATCAAGCCTTTCCAGCCCCCCAGATCCAATCATGGCAACCACAGCCCCAATCCCAGCCGAAAAGCGCGGCTCAATGGAAGCCACCGCCAACACGCTCTCCACCAAAATGAAAGCAGCTTCTCTTGCCGACACACCCCGAAAGCGGCCTCTCGGTCTAACCGACCTCCCTCCATCCGTCCGCAACAACATCTACAAGCACTGTCTCGACACCGAACTCGTAAACCACGGCGCACCCAACGTGTCCTACACGCACACCATCTCCAAAGACGAAGGCATCTTGACCTTCTCCGCGTCACGAAACCCATTCCCCGTGAACACAGCTTTGTTCCTCGTGAACAAGGAGATAAGCAAAGATGCATTATCGTATTTCTACGAGAAGAATCTCTGGGTCAGATTCGACGTTTATACAAGCGACGCCCGGCACGCGAAGACCTTACTCGAAGACTCCGGCCTCCTCTTCTCAACCGCAAAGAGCGAAGTCGTGGAGAAGAGCACGCGTCACGCCCTCGAAATCGTGCTCGTAGAAAAGAACAGCGCGCAGAAACGCGCTTCCGTCATGTTCCCAGCGCAGTATCTCCCCCGTCTTATCAACTTCCTCGACCAAGCAAGCCGCGCAACAAAGACATGGGCACAAGGACGCAGCCTCTTCCTCAACGTGGTAAACACGTACGGTTTCCCTGTTTCTAAACTACAAGGAGATCTGCTCGAGCTATTCCGCCTGCTGAGCGGCTTCGGCAAGGTGGAAGTTGATGGCAAGAATCTGCTTCCGCGGTACGCGGAGGGCTTGCAGAGTAATATGATGGGTGACAAGTTCACTGCAGAGGCGTATATGGGTAGCGTGCAGGAACTGGCTGATCTGGCGGATGAAGCGAGGGAGAAGGAGAAGTATGGACTTGCGAATGAGTATGCTCAAGCTACTATTATTGCGCTGACGTATGGGTATCTGACGCATGCTGAGACGTTGCATTCTCAAGAGGAGGAGTTCAATAAGTCTATGCAACGACTGCGTTGGAAGACGGAGTTGGGACTCGGCATCAGTCTTTCCATCCCGTTGAGGGGCCTCACGTCAACGAAGCATTGGTTGAGGACTTCGAATCCGACGGACGAGATCAGAAAGGCGGCGAAAGATCTGCTGCAAGCCGAGAAGGCAGTTTCTCAAGCTCTTAGTCTGGCGTGCGACGCTCCTTCCCCCACCTCGAATCCCTGGTTCCATTCCATCCCCGTGGAGCTTATTCCGCCCAACAAACCCTCTTTCTTCACCGATCGCGAGAGGGCGCAGACGTGGTATGTGCTGGGTACGGTGCACATGGCGCTTGGCGAGTATATTTTTGCTTGTGGCGATATGGAGAGGGCGCTGGAGCTGTGGGGTAAGGAGAGTGGGATTGATGAGGAAGGTGGATTGAGAGCGAAGATGGAAGAGACGTTTGAGAAAGCGAGGAAGGGGATTGATGGGGATGCGGAGAGTATGTGGGTTGGTGATGTGAGACCGGGGACAGGATTGAAAATGGCGGCGAAGTTGGCTAGGGGGCTGTGAGGTTTGGGGTTCTTGGAGTTGAGGACTCTGCATCGATGGAGATGATGTTTTATTGTACGGGCTCGTGGGCATTCAACCAGTGAGCTATGTAAAGGAGGAACAGCGTGCAACGCTCATGTACCCATCTTGTGGTTGTTCCGTGCGCTTGGTGACCTGACGCTCCGTTTACTATGTAACATGCGATGGATGATTCTGCTTCGATCTAACACTTCGATTGATGTTTGGGGGTTGCTATAGGGAGAAAGACAGATACATGATAAGAACAGGCCATATTGTCGAGTGCATCCGTAGGTATGCAAACCCCCCATTTGTCGGTGTGAAACTAACTTGCGAGAGATAAAACTGCTATGGTGCAGAGCGAAGAGCCACTCATTGTTTCCATAAAGCATACCTCCCCATACCTAGGTACATAAACGTCTTCTCATATGAGAGACATTGCGACCATCAGAGACTGTGAATCCGTGGGTAAACCACACTGGGATTTCCATCGAACTCATGCTCGCCTACTGCCAGCGAGAAAATTGCAGGTGCTAGACTCTTGTCGTGCGACTCACGAATAAGGGGGTAGACTGAGGTACCTAGGTAGCCACAGCCCTCGGTTGTGAGTGAATTCCCCGCTTGCTCTGCGTAGGTGTCCTTGGTGGTGCGTCGAGTTTTCTAACCCTTACGTACGTTGACTTCGTGGAAATTGAACATTTTCAATAAGCCATCGCATCGCGTATAGCCTCCTACCATGAACAGGTAAAAGAAGGCAGGACACATGGCCAACTCATACAGAGAGTGCGATCGCGATGATCTGATGTTATTCTAAGTGTTGTCTGGCATACGCTGGGATTGTACTGCCCATCTCCAAGCATCATCAACCCTGTGTCTATCTTCGTCTTGTGGCTGGCTGCTGCCGTCCCAAGGTCTTGGTAGCGACTGCTATTCCCCGTGATCGTCCGTTTGCGAGAAGGCCCGTGGGCGCATACGGCGGTGACCAGCGCGAAACGGTACCAGAAAACCGAAAAACTTAACAACGCACACACTTTTCCGGTGATACCGTTGACAGCCTAGACGCTGTCTTGCTAGTCAGTGCCTCTGTCGCGAGGAAGTCTAGGTCGGGCGAGGCTGCTGGCTCGGATCTTTTAGGTCAGGCACGAGCCGCTGTGAGGCGTCAGCACGCCACCAATAAAGAACCCGATCCTCGCTTAACTCAATGGGAACACTTGCACCAGGGCGAGGAACTTAGTTCCACCTCCCTGTGCTGCATTGGGTTGAACAACGAAGAGAAATCACCAAGGTAAGCAAGGCTTCGGCGGTATGTTGACAGTCCTGGAGCGCACGTGGTGATATGCCGCCGCCAATATCGCCCACGTCCGAGTCCCCAGACAATCCGCCCGAGATCTCGGGTTGATCGAGCAGTACCACTCCCAAGGTATTATCACCGAATAGTACAATGGTAAAGGTTCAGCAATGCAATCAGAAACTGAGCTTCGTTGGGGCCGCAATAGGCGCAGTGATGGTCGACGAGCAGTACCACGTCTACCATGACATTGCCAAACTCCACGTTTCTTCTGGTTCGCCTCGAAAGCCCAAGTATCCTTCTTACCAATTTGGGTCTCTTTTTTCGTTTCGGCTAACCCTACCCTTCGAGACCACGTCCAGCTCCGGTTGGTTTGTGCTTGGCACCCTCGCCTATGTACTGACTCTTACAATCACGCGAGTTCTATCCCTTGTGCAATCTGCACATTCGAACGAGCTGAAAGACTCTGGGGGGCGAGGCTCGTGGACTTCAGCTCGCCAGGATACTTCGAGACCAACGCCACAGATCTATGGCATCGGCAGCTCCGCTGAGTTATCTTGTATACCTCCAACATGAATGACTATAAGAGTCAATTGTTTCCGGGCATAGTGGTACTCATCAGCTTCATTCGCCGAAATCTTCTCCTCAGTCTTCTATCACTTTCCTCCGTTCACTATGCATCTGGTTAACGCTTTCGCGGCTCTGGCCTTCACAGGCTGCGCATCAGCCCTGCCCCAATCGATCCCCCTCGGTGAAGTCGCTGAAATTCCCGCCGCGCCAATTACTGAGACTCCGCTTGGAGAGGGTGCTGGTACCAAGGTCGTTCCTTATTCCCCTGATGCTGTGGTTGCCGACACCTTCGCCTCAGTCCTCGCGGATCCTGCATCTGCCGACAAGTCACTGAAGCGGAGAGGCTGGGACTGCTCAGAACAGCCTCTGGGAAAAGGCCCAGTCCCGAACCCTGACACTCCAGAGGCTTTCCTGGCTATCGAGGAGATCTCGAAGGCTGCTACTGATGCCTCCACGCCGGCTGGCTATGTCAACAAGTTCAAGAACTTGAAGGGCAGCAACAACGCCGTGGCGTATCTTGGTTACAAGACCCTAGACACATACGACACTCAAGCCTGTGCCGACTCCTGCACTGAGAAGGAAGGATGCTCAGCGTTCAACATCTGTAAGTGTTACCTATCTTCTCCCTCAAGTGGTAGATTTTACTTACATTGTCTACAGTTTATGAGAGAGACCCTTCCGTAGTTCCTGCCGATTCATGCTCCAACCCCGCTAGCACTACAGTCATCAAATGCGTACTGTGGGGTAGCCCTGTGACAGCCGAGACAGCTGTCAACAGCGGACAGTGGCGCGCTGATTTCCATGTAGTCATTGCTGGCTCAAACGGTATGTCCATCAATGTTCAATACGAGCAAGACGCAAGTTTTCTAACAGTATCTAGGTTATGACAGCGAACGTGTGGTGCCTGTAGACGGCTACAGCGGCGAGTCTCTTGGAAACGTCGCAATCAACGCCCCGAACGACTGCAACGGTGACGATACTGTAAGCACTTCATAGCGACTTCATCCACACACAGCCGCTGACTTCTAGCTAGTACATGGGCTACAAGCTCTTCAACGATGGCCAGCCATTCGAACCCGCCCGTTGCGCTGCTGCCTGTGAGGCCGAGACCAAGTGGAACGTCGAGCACCTCAACAGCCGCATGCTGTGCAAGTTCTTCAACACCTACGTTCTGATGAAGAATGGCGAGCCTCAAGGCCAGTACTGCTCCATGTACACCCAGAAATGGGCGAAGAGCGTTGCCGTCAATGATGGCCAGTACCGTGGAGACGACCACTACACGATTGCGTCCAGCTACTCTTACTCCAACACTGCCGACCCTGGAAAGCCCAAGCTCCCTTGCGATGTCGCTGCCGCAAAGTCTGCTATTGTTGCTTCGACGCTACAGCCGTTCTGCTCTACTCTTCTTGGATACACCACTCCGGTTTCGACTGTCATCGCTACTGAGTTCACCACTGTTCCTGCTACCACTGTTATCAACACCGTCTCCCCCGTAGTCACGGCCACTACGACAGTCACCCAGGCTCCTCAAAAGCGCGACGTTTCCGGCCCGGAAACACCTGCCGCTCTTGCTGAGTTCGCCGCCAGTGCTGTTTCTGCGGCCTGCAGCCTCCAAGCTACCTCCGTCACAGTAACCGCTACCACTTCCACAACTACAGTCGCGACGGTCAGCACTGGCACTGCGTCAACCACTACCACTCTGCCTGTACGCACTACTATCGTCACCTCAGTAGTTGCTCCAGCGCCTACATGCACTGCCGGCGGTGTCAACCTCATTCAAAACAGCGGCTTCGAAAATGGCATGTCATCTTGGTCCCACTATCTCTATGGCGCCAACAGCCAACCGACAGCTTACGGAGTAATTGGTGGTGGTTCCAGCGGCGGCTCTTCTTACCGAGTCTCATCTAGCGGCGCAGGTACCGGTTGGTACTTGACTCAGCAAATTACCGGTCTGACCAAAGGCGTCACATACAATTTCTCCTACAAGTACCTCGTCACAGACGCTCCAGCCAGCTCAATCAACTGCTACATGTCCACAGGTTTGAGGGAGCAGAGCATCACAAGCGACCACCGTGTCAACTACTGGATTGCTGGACCCACGAACTACGGAAAGACTTTTGTAGCTACGGGAACCACTGGAACGCTGCAGTGCTTGTTTGTTGCGAGTGGTGCGCAGACATGGCGCATTGATGAGATGTACATGGGTTGCTAGTGAGGAACGTAATCATGTCTAACCTAGGAAGGCGTGGAAGACCCTGGTATTTCCTTAGCTCATTGCACAATATCATTTTTTTTGAGTTTATCCTTTGCACTCGTTCTTTTACATAATAGTGACCCACAGGTGAATGTTAGCGGGACCTCAACAATCAGATAACCGTCACGTAAACGCAGCGTTGGCAGAGACAAAGCACGATCTGGCAATGGTAAAGGGAACCTAGGTTGAAATTCAACATGTATGTATCTATGTAGGTGTAAGATGTAGAGTGATCAAACTTTTGGGCTGTATCTGCTGTATCATGGCTGATATAAAAACGGACGGCGAAAGTGAATGTAAGATGATAACGGATACAGAGAAGTGAGCGAATATTATAAGGTCCAAGAAACTTTGGATCGAAGTTGGATCCGCTTTGAGCCTAGAGACAATTTTGGGTAGCGGCCGTAATGAAGTGTGGCCATTTCGTCGTCGATGTATATCTATGTTCGAATGCCGCGCCTCTGATGTCGAAAATGTGCACGTCATGTCGAGCGCTGTTACTAGCGCCTGTGAGACGAATGTCACATGATCATGCATATACTGATCTAGTCCCCGCTTGTTCATGTGTCCATGGCTGAGGTCGCTCCACCATCATTCCTGGGTATGGCTGAAGGGATGGTTCAGGAGTAGGCAGCATTGGTCCAGTAGGAATGGGTGGTCGAGGAGCTGACTTAGCAAAAAATTGCTCAAGCGTCTCACCTCTTTCCAGAGCCTTGACCTGACCTTGTCGAAACTTTTCCAGTACGGCTGAGTCCACAGGTTTCGGATCGAAGTAGGTGTATGTCCTTGTGCCCTTGGTGCCTGAGAGACCAGGCGCCCTGTACTCTGCGACGCCGTCCTCGTATGTTTCATACGTGGAGACAAGACGCTTGCCACCACCGCCAGGAAGGTCGACGACGAAAGATGGCATCATGAAGCCTGACAAAGTTCCTCGGAGCTCCTTGTCGAGGCTGATAATCTTGCTGAGAGGTGTTCGGAGATCTTCGATGCCCTGTACCATATCGCATTGATAGACATAGTATGGCTGAATGTTGATGTTGGAGAGCTTCTTGATGAGGTCCGAAAGCGGCTCGAAGTCATCGTTGACGCCTTTCAAAAGAACAGACTGGTTGCGAACAATGACGCCATGCTTGAAAAGCTTGTTCGCAGCCAGCTCCGTTATCCATGTAATCTCATTGGCATGGTTGATGTGGGTATGAAGGCAAACTTGCTTGCCCATGCTAAAATTTGCGAGGCTGTATCAGTCTTATCACATGTAAGTGGGTAGACAAATCGACTTACTCTCGGCCTTTATTAGACACCTCTATCAAGCTGTCAACCCATGGGTCACTATCATCAAGTATGCGGCCAGGAGCCACAGCCAGCCCCTTCGAAGCGAACCGAACCCGTTTGATGTGCGGAATGTTGAGGAGTCTTTCTCCAATTTCTTTGATGTGATCGGGCTGTAAAAAGTAGGCGTCGCCGCCGGAAACGACAATGTCCTCGAGCGACTCATCGCTGGCGATATGCTTGAAGATGACTTCCCATCGCTTACGACTGGGCTTTTGTGGTTTCTTCGATACGGTATCGGTGTTTCCTCCGACTGCGTAGGATCGCGTGCAGAAACGACAGTAGACAGGGCAAATTGATGTGGCCAAGAACAAAGCTCTTCCAGGATATCGGTGGACTAATCCAGGGACGGGACTATCTGCTTCTTCATGCAAGGAGTCCAGCTCCATGTTCTTGTGGTCGGGGACGATGCCGCTTCGGAGTGGAAGGAATTGTCGCCGGATAGGATCGTCCACGGCATTTTGCCAATCAACTAGCGAGAGTACGTGTGGTGTGAGTCGGATGGCCATGGGTGCCAGCTTGATGGCAGCGATCTGTACTCAGATCAGCGTCAGCATGTATAAGGGGTAGGTCGAGCTTGTGAACTACATACAGCATCCTCGATGAAGTCGTTCTTGGTACGAATTTTCCTGAGTTGATCATGCTGCGAGCGAAGTAGTTTGTCGGGCAAAGCTGTGTTGAGGAACTGATAGAGCTTGTGCTTATCAGAGATGGTGTTGCGAAGCTAAAGAAGTCAGTTCTATAGCAATTCGTATATAGTTGAAATCTAATGAAATTTGCTTGGAACATACTTGCCATCTGTAAGACATGAATTCGACTCTAGAAACACCCTTCCATGGCTGGATGTGATCCCAGTAGGTTTTCTGAGCGGCCAGAGTTGATTGAGTTCTGCAACGCGATAGTATACGGGCTGCTTGGGTTGACCCCGATCGGAAAGGCTGTCTCCTAGCCATGGTGCTTGGAACAAACATGCTTGGATAGATGTCTGTAGGTGAGTGTCATAACAGAAATGGACGTGTGGAAAGAAGGATTGGGAGGAGATCAAAGCTAGAGATGATTCTCTTGTGTAGGGAACGTGTTTACCAAGTGCGCCACATCCGTTGTACAACCTGATGGAAGGAGCTGTCGCTCGCCTCGCCGACTACGTAGAAGCGATGTAGATAATGTGCTACAACAGTAGCAAGGGTAACCGCTAAAGTGGATCTTTGGTAATTTCGATGAATTCTGCAGGCACGCCGACTATGGCCAAGTTTAGTTTTGTTATCGGATGCGGGAAATCTCTACAGTGTGTTTGGACAGGGAGTTTGCTGAGACTCACCTTTCATGACTTGTTCGGGTAGAGCGCTACAGCGATTTATCGAATCCGGTCGCATGTGGGTAAGGAGCAGCGACCGGCCATGGTCCGCGTGGTGTCTATAGGGGTTATAGTGACGGAGACGCCCAGTGGGGAAGACATAGCACAGCGTTAGGATTAGAAGGACGGTAAATTACACTGGCAGGGTATCCGTATTACAATTCCGCTTGACGCAGGTCTCCCATGCGGCCATCATGGGTCCCAGGATCAGTCTGATAACTGTGAGTAATAGCTGGTAGGCAAGCGAGGATCTGTATCGACAAGGAGCTTACGAAGCACGACAGTCGATCCTGTACTGGCTGGAATAGGTGACCGACATGCAAGAGAACCGCAGGTTTACAAGGATCGCTTCTATGTCTCCTCCCCTGGGCCCGCCCCCCGGATCAAGCCAGACTCCCGGAAGCTGCAAGCAGCATGCAGGTGGGTGGTACAGCAGGCGAATACGGCATTAGCTTTCCTCGTATGTGAAATGGACATGGAACTCGCATACGCGGATACCCTTGGGCTGCAATGCTCGAAAGAGAGATGTCAGCTCAAGCGACTCGACTAGAAGAAGGAGTGCTGGTCAGCCTGATTGGTCAAAGATGGCCGGCAAAGGGACATCACACGGCCCGTACCGCGCGTGTGACGGAAGATAGTGACGCAGGCTGCTGGGATAGCAAACTTCGCAACAACTTCACGGTCAAGTGAGAACCCTGGAGATTAGCAGATGTCGCCTCTGGTGTGAGGAGGTGCAGATAGTGCCAGTACTAGCGGGGGCTTTCCGAAGTTCCGTCGCGCTTTCCGCTAGCTTCACGCCAAGCCATGACCTCAGCCCCTCCAAACCATAGTGAGAGGTGCAATCACGATTGATAACCACCGCGACAACTCGACTCTCAACAGCACCCCACCCTAGCCATGGCTGATTCTCCCGCTTCCGCGACTAGCGCGCTGCCCGGCGAGTCGCCCGCTCAGACCAAGGCCAGACTGCGCAGAGAGCGTCTTGCCGCCAAAAGCGGCGCCTCTCGTCTCCAGCAGATTACTGCGCTCCAGGGCGGCCCACCAAAGCCTCTCAGCGAGCTCGAGAAAGACGTGCCAGGTAACGGCTCCTCCCTTTCGAATACATTAGCCTCCACATAGTCCCCCCGAGCCCCGTCCTACAACAGCGTGAATGCACGGCTAATGGCATTCCAGTCAAACCCGCCTCCACCCCGTCCCAGTTTACACCCGCTGGGTCTGGCACGGCTACTCCAGATCCAGATGAGGTGGATATTTCGCAACACCATTACGCGCCGGCATCGCAGCCTCGCCTCCCCTCGCCATTCGCTTTCGAGGGTGGCCAGTCTGGCCCATTTGGTCCCGGCCCAGGCTCGGATGCATCGCAGGATCCTATGATGGCTATGCTCCAGCAAATGATGGGCGCGGGGGCGGGCGGTATGCCTGGCATGCCCGGTGCCACAGGTCAAGCTGGAGCACCACCGGGCGGTATGCCACCGGATCTTGCTAGTATGTTCTCGGCCATGCAGGGTGGTGCAGGTGCCTCTGAGCCGCTGCCGGAGCAGTCCTCGGCGTGGATCTGGCGCCTAGTACACTCTGTCTTCTCGTTTGGCCTCGCCGTTTACATTGTTCTGCAAACACCATTTACTGGATCCAAGATGTCACGCGATAATGTGCTGGAGGATGACTGGGTCAGCCAATCGACTCCAGCACAGAACTTTGCGCACTTCTTCTATCTTTTCGCGACTTTCGAAGTAGTCTTACAGTCGTCGCGCTATTTCATCGAGAAGGGCCAGTTACAGGGAAGTGGCATTCTCAGTACAGTCGCCGGTATCTTGCCAGCACCGTACTCGGGCTACGTGAGGACTGTGGGCAGGTACAGTGTCATCTACAAAACAGTCGTGAGCGACGCCATGGTGGTAGTATTCGTCTTAGGCGCCACGAGCTGGTGGAGTGGCGCTGCTGCAGCATGAAGCGCTGCAATTTGTGGCATAAGTAGAACAATGGTATGACAGACATCCTTGTACCCGCTTTCTTCTCGACGCAGAGCTCCACTCGGTATTACCTAGGTGTGCTGTGACTTTCAAACAGCCAGTCCACATCTCGGCTCGATACCACAATCTGGGACAGACAATTGTCGCACCTATCTCAGTGCCCACGTGCGGGCAAGTTTTACACGCACTATATCTCTGTACTTGCTCATCTTGGGCGATATCGTAATAACTCATCGACCACCGTCGCTATTGCTTCCGCCTAGTGTATGCACGTCATACCTTGTTACACGCTCCACGAAATACTAATGCATCAAACTTCTCACCATACATGGTAAACAATTACACTGCGCAATTTCTATGCACATCATTCCTCGACGCTGCATGGATGCTGTGCTTATTCAATACCACGAGACTTGTAGATATTTCAGAGGCGCGCGGAATTCCATCCATCATGCGCACATGGCAGCTAGCATTTGTTGGGCAGCCAGGGCCCGTCCCGCGGCAAGCGGCAGGAGTACCTGCACAACACGCGTCGCTCAACAGCAAGACGCACTCGATATTTTCGTTTGTTCTCGCCTCCGGTGAATAGCGCTCCCGTACACGCGTTACAGGGAAACCGCTATAGCCGACCTGTGTACGTTTCACCGCCATGTTCGGCGAAAATTCCCGAATCTTGCAAATTGCGTTCGCGTATCGTGCAATTTCGTCTCGAATTTCCAATCACCACAAGCTCCTGACCTGATGCGAGCTTCATAGCCGTTGCTCCAGGGCTCTCGGGTATGCATACGAGTCATGTTCGAGACGTGGCGTCACCAGGCCCTTTCAGTTGATTCCACTGCGTTGGTCGACAGGGTCGCACGCAGCGCCATATATGAGGCCCCTTTACAGCAACTTGAGGTGCCCAGTAACCTGATCTATGACGCCTTTGGGTGCAGGGCCAATACCCAGCACTGTCGCACTTCCACTCGCGATTTGTGTCCGTCCCGCATCGTGGATAATGTGTGCCACCAATCCTAGACTCAGTGCCTGCGCCTGCAACAACTCCAACTCTTCTTCACTCTTGACTTGCAATGCCACCTTGGCTTGCCCCATCCGTTCCCAGCGCTTCAGTAACGTCGATTCCGGCGCGTGTCGGAGGAAGTGCTTGTAGCAGGCCAGTGTCGCGTGTCCGCATTGTGCGCCAATCTTGCCTGTCGCATGGTTAGACATTCCGTAAATTATAGATGTGACAAGAATTGCAATACCTTTTGTCATGCCAAGATCTGTTCGCACTACCAATACCATCTTGCACTCTTCGTTGTGGCCTGGGAACTCTGCAGGCGCACTATCTTCGTCTTCATCGCTCGACTCGTCTTCTGAATCTTCCGAGTCTTCGGCTTTTTCTTTCTTCTCGGATTTGTTTGGTTGAGAGATTGGGCTGCCCCCGAGGAAACCAAGTGACTTTGCTTGCCCGAGCATGTAGCCCGTTACACCGGCGAGTATGGCGCATGCGGCTGCTATGTTTGCAGTAGAGGGTTGTTGGGTAGTGTCTGCCATGTGTGCGGTTGGGACTAGGATAAAATATACAAAGAACAGCGGTTTTACAACAGCAGAATTTCGTGAAGTAGTGTTCTATGCGAAAGAATTTGGGCGATTGGGAGGGTCATGAAGTTCCATGGCACTCCCGCCCGCAATTGTAGAGCTAAACGTCAGGCTGAGGGTCCGTGCTGGCAACATCTCGAATTTGCGGACTACCGAGCACAGCGCCCACTCCATCACGACGGCACCACCGCTGTCTCCGTGCCCACACACAATGCATGCCCGATGTCAATTACTCTCCGGGCGCATCTCGGCCCAGGGATTGGCCCTCCGCCCGGCCCAGTCAACCTCCCGAACGTACGCGACGACGGCGCCCACTCCCGCAGTGAAGAACCCACTACAGCGACGACGCGGCGGTGACCTCGGCTCCCATCTCCCAGTTAATATCATTCCGAAAGATGCATACATCCCTCCATACCCCTATGGCGACCATCAGCTGTTCAAGCAGGCCAACAAGGGTCTCTACGGCGAACAGATGATACGCTTCGGCAACAATGTCTCCAAAGACACCGAAACTAAGACACGGCGCAACTGGAAGCCCAATGTGCTCTCCAAAAGTCTATACTCGGTCGCACTGAAGAAGAGGATAAAGCTGCGCATCACCGCCAAGGTTCTCAAGACGATGGATCGTGAGGGTGGGCTGGACGAATACCTGCTCAAGGACAATGTGGCACGCATCAAAGAGCTCGGACCTATGGGGTGGGCGCTACGATGGACGCTGATGCAGAAGCCGGAAGTCATCGCTCGGTTACGGGCAGAAGCTGCGGCTCTTGGCCTAGACCAGGCCACAATTGACAAGCAATGGCCTACATCCCAAATGATCGTTGAGCAAAAGGCTGCTCACGGTACGCTCACCCAAGGCATGCCCTCCGGCGCAAGCGACAACCTAGAGTTTGTAGAGACAGAAGACCAACAGATGTGGTCCGGAGATGAAGTCAAAGACATAACCGACCCAAAGAAAAAAGGCCCAAAAGCGTACAAAGTGCGAGCAGATGCCGCCGTCGAGTACACCAAAGCAGTCAAGGCCGCACAGCGTTACGTAGCCCGCGACGCCGTCGACAGCATAGAAGAGGGCCTCAAACTAGCCTTCATCCGAGCCAAAGAGCGTGAAGCAGTGAGACTCAAGAAGAACCAGATATTGAACGAAGCAGGCATCACACAGCAAGACCTCGACGAAACTAGGTCGATGTTCAACCTCCCAGACATCAGCGACCAAGTCGCCCGGAGAATCACCTTCAACCAGCGGAGACGCAAAGAAATCGAAGAAGCAGGCGGCATCGAAGCCTGGAGCAAGACCAAAAGCGCCGCACACGACGCGAAGGTAGCAGAAGCAGGCGGCCTAGAAGCCTACAACGCCAACAAGAAAGCCTATAACGCTGCTCTCATCGCGGAAGCGGAAACCGCTTCTACCAACACGAACATGGATCCCGAACGAAGGGAATACCTTGAAATGGCTCTGCTGAAGGCGGATCTCGCTATTAAGCATAGGCTTGCTGGTGGTAAGGAGGATTATGTCGAGTCGATTTTGGAGTTGTATAGCAATGGAGCCCTCCGCGCGACTGGTGGTGATGGTCTGAGTGAAATTTATCAGGCTGCGGAGCGGGAGAGGAGCGCTGGGGGTGATGCTTGGGGTGCGCTAGTTAATGAGAGTAGGAAGGGTGATGAGAGTCGGCCGCGCTCATGATCACGATGATGATGATGGGGTTGCATGGGTAGGACGTTCATATGTACAAATATTGTTTGTATATTATGAACTTAGTAAGCAGTGTTGACGCTGCAGTTCTACCTCGATCGCGTCTTTCATGCTTATCCCCTTCGTTTCCTTCCATGGCTGCGCTTCGTTTACGCTTTCATGTACTGATGTTCTCACCAGTAAGCCTCGGCGCAATGTCTTCCCCTTATAGTTGAGGAACGTCGACAGCCAATGCTTTCGGCGACAATAAGCACTTCCTTAAAGTGAGCACGTGTTGCATTCACTTTTCGATGGTTGATCATCCACACATTTTCGCAAGGCTGATGGAATGGACGTGGCTCGATCGTTGAGATACTTGGTTCTTGCCCTCGAAGCCGCAGGAAGGTGTGTATGAAGCTGTACTGGAGCCCGTGATCTCAGCTTCAACCTCGGCACCTCAACTTTGACACCCATCACCAAGGGAGGGCGTATCGCAGTCACTCTTCCATAATGGCTCACTTTTAAGTACTCGGAAGGCTACAGGTTTAGCGTGGGTTGGGTCATTGGTGCGCTTCGCTCTTGCCATCTGTGGCTGCAGGAAGGCGCATTGGAGGCTGTGTCTGAGCTGGTCATCTTAGCTTCAGCTCCTACCGCGCCTTGACTGCATTGCCATCGAAGCCGAGTTCCGTAACACAACAGAACGCTAAGCATCCTTCCTCTTTTCAGTCTGACGCCTGTGGTACAGGTGCAAGCCTCTCAACACTCTTCAGCTAGGATTTCAGGGCTTGCTATGCAACGAATGATGCGTAGCCTTGCCACACCGGATATCTACAATGACTACCAAAAGCGCGGAAGAAGGTTCCAGCTCTTCAAAAAGTGTGATTCAGGCCATGCTTGACGAGCAGATTAAGATAAACCGATCATTCGATAATGACTGGGCGGGAAAGTCACTCCTATCCTCCCTATCTGTCATCGACGACGATCCTGCCGAACCCCCAACATTTGTCGCATTCCACATACCTTACTATCAATCCTATAAAAACGCATTTGGATTGAATAGCCGATCTAGCATATACGTCAACTACACATGGGACCAAGATGCTTGGCCTATGGCCCCATCCGTTGGACAAGCCCGGATTCCATATGGTGTGGAATCATGCAAGGAGACTTTTATCAGCTGCACGATCGACGCCTCGTCGTGGAGTGCGGGCGAACTACTACGCTGGCTGTTCAGAAAAGGCTATGTTACAGCACAGTTCGACCCTTCCTTCCGTTACTTGGGACGATTCCCGGATTTGCCTATCAGAGATGTACAAGTGAAATCCACCTCTACTTCCGCATCGTCTGCGCAACAACCCGACACCATCCAGCCTTCAAGCGATGCATACGAAATCGTTGATCGACCGACGTCAAGCGCCAGCTCCATAATGAGCTTTATGACAGCCCATAGTCAATTTTCCTTCGCGAGTGCGAGGTCGACGTACAGTAACTCCACTTTCTATTCAATAGCCACAAGGATTGAAACCATTCGCGAGGACGAAACGCCTAGTCTTGATCTCACTGTACCGCTAGCGCAGCTTCATAAGGATTATTACACAACCCTTCGTCGTCAGGAGATGATTCAGCCTTTGAACAAAGAGCTCAATTGGTCTGGGAAGGGCCAGCACGTTACATTTGCACCGAGTGATGAGATCCCATTGCGCTCCATATCACATCTGGGGTCCTCGAATGCCGCAACAGTCGACAAGGTGATCTGTCGTCGAATAGCACTCGCAAGAAAAACGATGAAGTGCGACAAGAGATGGACTGTGGTCGATGCTTCGCGTGAAGCCTATCACCTACAGAACTTCCGCCATTTTCACATCGTTCAGTTAGTGGGGACATACCTCCAGGGCCGCAAATTCTCGATTCTCATGTATCCCGTTGCGGATTCTCATTTGGCCACATTTCTTGAAGAGACCTGCGATATACCTGCTTCTAGCACGACGGGCCCCTGGTTTCGACATCGTTTTCTTGCCACGACCTTCGGCTGTCTCGCTGCCGCACTGGCATTCATTCACAAGAACACTACAAAGCACATGGATGTCAAACCCCACAACATACTCGTCCGATATGCGAAGTCGTGTGTTAATGAGACCTGGCGCGTTTACGTCGCTGACTTTGGACTGTCGCGTTCTTTCGGCTCGCAGGACCAGAGTCAAACTGACGGACCAACATCACGAACACCTCGCTACTGCTCACCGGAGGTGTACAACGACGAGCCACGTGGTAGACCTTCCGATATTTTCTCGCTTGGATGTGTATTCCTTGAGATTCTTTGCGTCTTGGGGAAAAACGATCTACAAGACTTTGCCGATGCGCGACGAGATAGCAGCGGCGACGAATCGTTCCACGGAAATTTGGATAGAGTGGTCGAGTACGCACACGGGTCTCTACGCTGCGAAGAACTACCAAGGGCATCTGCCTGGACAGAAGATGTCGCCGCATTCGACATAATTGCTGAAATAGTGATAAGTATGCTTAGTCGAGAGCCTAGCAAGAGGCCTACGGCAGCACAGATTCGCAAGCGCATCGTCGGCCTCCCGAAATGCTCATTCTTACCCTGTCCCAGCTGTTCCTTACCTCCAGAACCGTACGAGCGTGACCAATAGGCACTATGAGCCCAAATAGAGGAAGTTGACAATTGTAATTATAGAAGTTTAAGGATCCAAGACGAGCTCAACGGAAGCGCAGGATGTTAGCGAATGCAATCAAACCGTCGTACAAAGCGCATACCCATCTCAACTCCCACACATATCACTGCATAGCGAACACAAAGTTGAAGTCATAACGTCTTGAATTCCGTGTAAAAATGAATCTCAACATCAACATATCTCGCCTATGCACTGAACGGGGCCGTATAAATCATCTGACTTGGCCCCCATCTTTCCAAAAAAAAAGACAAAAAAGCCACCAAAAAAGGGCCCCTAACAAGACCACTTCTTTCTTTCCTTCTCGAAGCTGTGTTCTATACAGCTTTACTTCCGCCTCATCCTCGATAATGTACAAGAACGAATTATGTAACCTACGGAGGGTAGGTAAATGGAACAGGAGACAATGTGATAACCAAGCAGTAACAAGTGCAAAAATACGCCCCAGACGCCAGCAAAGTCAGGAGCAAAGCAAAGCAAAGCAAAGCAGGAAAGATCCACCCGAGTTGAAATGGGGTAATAGTGTGGAGATCTAACGCCAAGGGAGAAGACTTGTGAAAGACAAGAGCACGATATGAGAATCGAGAGTGTGAGAGATCAAACGCCGCGCTATACAAGAGATAGAGATGCGAGAAAGCGGAACGAGCATCGGATAGAGGCACCGGCAAAGAGGGAAGGCAGGTGACAAGCGATGAAGGCTATTGGCCAGCCTTCATCCTCTTGTTACCCCCGACTCTTGGGCTTTGCTTAACCTTTGGCACGCCGTTCATCTCTCCGCCACCGTCATCGGTTTCCATTTTGGCTGTACTCCGCCGCCGCTTGTTGTTCATCATGTTGGGAGACGTGTTCGAGCTCATGGTGTGCGAGCTTGTGCTCTGTTGTTTCATCATGGGCTGCGAGTTGGGCGACGGTGTGTGCTGGAAGTGAGGTGAACCGCCCATTGATCCGTTGGGAAGCAGGGAGTTCTGCATTGCGGGCGACATGAACATCTGACCGGGCTGGCCAGGCCCTGGTCGAGGCCCGGGTTGCATGTTGGGTGGCATGCCTTGTCCTTGCTGTGGCCCTTGGTTCGGGTGTTGCGGGCCTTGCAGAGCGCCCTGGCTATTCGACATGTTGTTGTTCCATGACTCCAACGCTTCGCTTGGCTTCATGTGGGGATTCTCGATATAGTGCACCATCAAGCTTGTCATGTGGTTCATTGGTTCGTAGATCTAAGACTCTTGTCAGTGTCAATGCCGAGGAGAGAAATGTGGAGAAGATTCTTACCTCAAGATAGCTTTGCAAGCCGTGTGGCAAACCATAGTCTGTAGTACTAGCGCTGATCAACTTGTTGATAGGCAAATACGCCTCTGGTGGTTCTGGCATTGTTCGTTGCTGCTGTGCTTGCTTCTTGTTCTTCATGCGTGGCGATTGGTTGGGGTTCAGTTGATTCGGCGATGGTTGAACGAACATTTGCTTCAGCGCGTTGAGCGGTATGAATTGCTCATGGCCCGCTCCGTCGAACACCAACCACTCCATCTTGTCTGAACCAGACCAGAATGCAGTCAACTTGCCTTGGTAGACAACTTGACAGGAGTTCTTGTATGTGTATATGAACTTTGCTCGCTCACAAGTCACTTTGAGCTCACCATTTGAGGTCTTCTCAGCCGCCCCGTCTAGAGTTATTTGCAAGTTGGTGACGTCGGTGTTGAAGAGGGTGTAGAAGTACCGCGGCAAAGCAGCGTATACGATCTCGAACTGCTTCGTTCTCTCTGTACTTGAGGAGCAGACGATGTGGACGAAAGACCCAGAGTCGGCGAAGAACCTATCCACGAAGGCCTGCCACCACTCAATGTTGTTGTTCGAGGCATTGAAGTTCCCTATTTGCTCCACAAAGTTCAGCAGCTTAAGCGTCCCTTGGCCTGAAGATACGCTCTGTGCTTGTTTCTGCTGCATCATGGCCAGTTGACGGGCTTGGTTTTGGGCAGCGTTTGCTTGCGCCTGTGCCTGTGCCTGCGCTTGCTGCACTAGTGCCGGATTCCGCTGTACCTGACCTTGGTTCTGGGCTTGCTGATTCGCTTGTTGAGGTAGATTTGGCGGCTGAGACGGAGCTGGCGTCTGCTGTTGTGGCACTGGACCTGACTGTGGTGGCTGGGATGACTGTTGCTGTTGCTGAGCCTGTTGTTGCGCCTGCTGCTGTGCTTGTTGCTGTGCTTGTTGTTGTGCCTGTTGTTGCTGCTGCTGCTGTTGTTGTTGTGCCTGTTGCTGCGCCTGCTGCTGTTGCTGTGCCTGTTGCTGTTGTTGTTGCTGCTGTGACGGGGGCGGTGGTTGTGGTTGCTGTTGGGGTGTAGGTTGAGGAGCAGGCGAAGATTGTCCCTGGTGACTCCCTATCGCGGATGGAGGGCGAAGAGGTCCTTGCTGGGGCTGGGTGGTTGGCGGCGGTCCCTGATTTCCTGCCTGGCTATGGTTGCTCGACTGAGACTGTGCATGTTGCATCGCAATCGCTTGTTGCTGCGCCTGCATTTGGTGATGCTGTTGAGCTTGTTGATGGGCTGCTTGGGCCATGGCAGCCTGATGCTGCGGGCCTCCGGGTTGCTGGCCCATCTGCTGTTGTTGCTGGAGCAAGTGGGGAGGAAGATTGACGAACGGTCCTTGCCCCATTTGTCCGTTTCTCATTGCTTGTAGCTGTTGTGCTTGTGCCTGGTTCAAGTTTGCCATGGGGTTCTGGAACCCCATTCCCATGCCGCCCTGCTGATGGGCAAGCATGGCCTGTTGTTGCTGACGGTGCATGAAGGCCTGTTGGGCAGTTCTCTGCTGTTGCATCATTGCAGGGTTCACTATCAAATCTGTCAGCCAATGCTCTGCCATGATACGAAGCGGTGGTACTCACTCATCTGATGTTGCTGTTGCTGCTGGAACATGTGCTGCTGCGGCTGTAGGTGCGAGAGGGCATGGGCATTAGCACCCATACCCGGCTGCATGCCCATCATGGGCCCTGCCTGACTGACGGGGCCATTAGGACCAGAGACGTGCTGCATACCGGGCTGCATTCCAGGCTGTCCTGGGTTTGGGCCTGGACCGCCCATACCTGGGTGCGCGTGCTGCATGCCCTGGGGGTGCATGCCGCCATTGTGTGGATAGCTCGTTGTCATCATCTTGCCGGCTCTTCAGTGCGGGCTGTGGCCTCGCGGACGCGGAGATGGATCAGGTAGAAGGGATGCGACAGGTGTCGAGATTAGAAGACGGGTCCGCGTGATGCGAAGAACGACCGAGTCGGCGACGAGACAGGTTGAGCAATGCTACTGCGTCCAAGTCATACGTGCGCGGAAATTCGCGTCGATGCCAATGGGAACACAAGAGTGTTGGGTGGTCGCGATAGAAAGTTAAAGTGTGGTCCGGTGTGGCCGATATGGGAGACTGAGGAAGTGCCCGCGCAGAAGTCGCGATGGGCGCGATGAGGCCGACAGGCGGCACTTGCCGGTTACAGGGAAAAGGGCGAGGGTCACGGAGGACGTCGCGCAAAGTGCAGCGCGATACTCACAGGAGCGTCGAGGGGGTGGTGAGGTGTGCAGCCACGTCTGGCGCGGTGTCGTGCCGGGTGATATCGTGTCGCATCCGTCCCGCCAGCAGAGCGGTGGAGTAGGAACGTGAGATGGGCCGTCTGGGGGCAGCAGAGGCAGTGCGGAAAGCGTGTCTAGAGACGCCGTGCTATGCGACGATGGGGCCGGTGCGAGTATAGATCCAGGGCCAGGGACGGTGCCAGGGACGCGGGCGTCAGTGGTGGAGTTCTCGTGTGGTGAGAGGTGATGGGCGCATGGCCCTCTCCGAAGATCAGCGCAGGTTAGGGGGCCGTTTCGGTATCGCGCGAAAAGCTGCGTGGCTGGGCTGCCCAATCTATCCCGACTCCAACTCACGCTCAATATGCACCGCGCAGCAGAAGGACAACGCGCTCGACTAGTGATGAATTATGCTGCACTCGGGCGGGCGCACACTTGCAGTCTCTTGCGACCACGCTGACCTGCTTTGCTGATGTTTGCTGGCCGGATGACGATTCCAAATAATGCCCTTGCCCGTTCGGGCGTGCACGTGATGAGAGAAATCTTGGCGGCGCGCTAATTCGGCGCTCTACTTTTCTTCGACCGCGTCTCTGGTTTTCTCTCGACAACCACTTCGCTCTGCATGTCTTGAAGACCTGCCAACAACCACTGGCTTCGGACCGCTTCATGCGATTTCGTGAAGGCCCGAAGCCAGCCCTTCCTATAACGTAAGTCGACTCCTTTTTTCTTTGCTTTTGTGGAAAGATTATACCTTCAGCAACTTCTTTTCCTTACCGATTCGACCTTGAAGAAAACAGCGCTGTTCGGGTGCCCTTCGCCGGGCGCCTGCTACTTGCCAGTACTGTCGTCTGACCTCCATCACTGTCGCGAATGTTTTGGCAATTTTTGCACGTCAGACTGCTAACATTGTTCAAGTATAGTAATACTCGCTTCCTCTCATCACCGCGCACCCTCCCGCAGCTTGTCGCCCTGTGCGCATTCACAGCAGATTGAGATCCTTGCAACACTATATCAGTTCCGTCAGGACTGCGTTGTTACACGTGCGCGTAATGCAGACTCAAACAGTCTTGCTGCGCAACGTCTTGGACATGGACATGCACGCGCGTTGATGGTCAGCTAACACCAGGTACATGGCGTGTCTAGTGTGATCATAGGTCAGTCGCTCTTTTCCTCACACTCTTCCTCCCTTTCATGATGAAACATTTCCACATTCGCAGTTTCCACGCTAGCCATCAATCGAACCTAAGACCGATGGACAATGAGCGCGAATACCTTCCTTGGATGTCTGATCCCTCACATACTCTGTTCCGTTATTGCTGAGATTTTCGCTTTGCAATTACTGACAAGTTCAAACAGATGCGCGATGTCCGTCCTGTTGAGAAGGCGAGCACCTAGATACGTTCTATGGTCGGCGACCCTGCTGGAAATGGTGGCATGTCTGGGGTCTAGATAGTGTGACACGATATGTAGCATATGAATACCATGAGTTGCGAAAACCAAATTTCCCATGTTCTTCCGTGAGTCTCTTGCACCGAATCCATTACCTTTTGAGCTCTGCCACATGCCGGGGACATCGTCTTGTTGGTACACATTTCGACATGTGGACTTGTGTCGTTAGGCAGTGCGGGAGTCAGTTCCGATTACTACTTAAGTTTAACTCGTGCAAAATCGAGGCTGTACTGTCGCGATGGTGAGGCGCCAAGGCCGAGCCTCCAGCCAGCGTCATCTGTCGCATAGACGCTAAAGCATCCTGGTCAGAGCTTCCCCAACCCACTTGGACGGCCGACCTCTAACTTCGTCACCCAACGATCTCCGAGGCTACAGACCGACCGCGGCCCTCGATCTAACGCCGAGCAATACTACACCTCTCCGAACCGCTCATTACCGCCACGATGCCTGAAGTTGTCGACCCCCGCATGATCTCGGTGACGCCTAGGATACGATACAACACTATTGGAGGCGTCAACGGTCCATTGGTCATCCTCGACAATGTGCGTAGCTTGGACCCATGAGACGGAGTGAGAAGAAGCTTATACATGTGGTGGATAGGTCAAATTCCCGCGATACAACGAGATTGTGTCCTTGACTCTGCCTGATGGCACCGAACGCTCTGGTCAAGTCCTTGAAGCTCGAGGTAAGCTATTCCGACCCTGATAGTGCGCCCAAACACTGACACAAGCTGTAGGCAACCGCGCCGTCGTCCAGGTAAATTGCGACATGCTCAACTCCCCCGGCAACTCGATCTAATTGCGACACAGGTCTTCGAAGGCACATCTGGTATCGATGTTAAGAAGGTACTTACACCCAGTCCTCTGCAGGAGAACTATATCTAACATTCGCAGACCAAAGTCGAGTTCACCGGACATAGCTTGAAGCTCGGTGTGTCCGAGGACATGTTGGGCCGTATCTTCGATGGTTCAGGAAAGCCTATCGACAAGGGCCCCAAGGTGCTCGCCGAGGACTACCTTGATATCAACGGTAGCCCCATCAACCCATACTCGCGAGTACGTACCTATTTTGATACCTCTCTTTCATGCGACTGACAGTGTCTAGGTCTACCCCGAAGAAATGATCTCCACCGGTATCTCCGCCATTGACACGATGAACTCGATCGCCCGTGGACAGAAGATTCCTATCTTCTCCTCATCCGGTCTACCCCACAACGAAATCGCTGCGCAGATTTGCAGACAGGCTGGTCTTGTCGGAAAGCCCTCCAAGGGTGTACACGACGACCACGACGACAACTTCTCCATTGTCTTCGGTGCTATGGGTGTCAACTTGGAGACCAGTCGCTTCTTCACGCGCGACTTCGAAGAGAACGGCAGTATGGAGCGTGTCACTCTGTTCCTCAACTTGGCAAACGACCCTACGTAAGTAGAACATGCATGCGCTACTACTATCCTAGCTAACCCAGCGTAGCATCGAGCGCATCATTACCCCCCGTCTTGCCCTTACAACCGCTGAATACTACGCCTACCAGCTCGAGAAGCACGTCCTGGTCATTCTTACCGACTTGTCCTCCTACTGCGATGCGCTACGTGAGGTCTCCGCTGCCCGAGAAGAAGTGCCCGGTCGTCGTGGTTACCCCGGTTACATGTACACGGATTTGTCGACTATCTACGAGCGTGCTGGACGTGTTGAGGGCCGTAACGGATCTATCACTCAGATTCCCATTCTGACTATGCCTAACGACGGTATGTACTGCGACTTCTGTTACTCTGTGCTAAGCTAATTGCACCAGATATCACACATCCCATCCCCGATTTGACCGGTTACATTACCGAGGGCCAGATCTTCATTGACCGTCAACTCGACAACAAGGGTATCTACCCTCCGATCAACGTTCTGCCATCCCTCTCCCGTCTCATGAAATCTGCCATCGGTGAGGGTCGCACACGAAAAGACCACGGTGATGTCTCCAACCAGCTCTACGCCAAGTACGCCATTGGCCGTGACGCCGCTGCCATGAAGGCAGTCGTCGGAGAGGAGGCCCTATCCTCAGAAGACAAGCTATCCCTTGAGTTCCTCGAGAAGTTCGAGCGCTCCTTCATCGCCCAGGGTGCCTACGAGTCGCGCTCCATCCACGAATCTCTCGACCTTGCATGGTCGCTGCTCCGTATCTACCCCAAGGAACTCCTCAACCGTATCCCAGCCAAGGTGCTTGACCAATACTACCAGAGGAGTCGGGGCGGTGACGACGGTGACAAGAAGAAGGGCAGCAAGGATACCAAGGACAACTCGGGCGAGGGCCAGCAGGACGACAACTTGATCGATGTGTAAGCAAGATAGTTTAGCATGTGTATGTGTTTGGGATGGTGAATGGACTGCTTCTATGGCCATGTTCACTGAGCGGAATGTGGGTAGAGATACTGCATTGAGTATATACGAATTTGTCGAATCTTTAATCTGGTGTACTTGTCGTTTTTGGTGACGTGATGTTGATTGGGCAAACGAAGTAGGTATGTTCGCGTTGCTTGTTCATACGACGACGGGTAGTTTTTGTTCATATTGCTTCACATATGTGGCAAACACTTTCTAGTTCACTCCTCAACATGATGGTTATTGAGTACTACATCGACTTCACTTTGAGTCTACAATATCACCAGACCTAATCCAAAAGCTTATATTCATGCTGAGCTCTGTGATATTGAGCACCATGCCCTGGTCTGGCATCTACAAAGCCCATCATGCCATCCAATATGCCACTCTCCAGCGAGGTGACGAGCCTACATCTTTACTGCACTTTGCGCTTTGCACGTCCACATTGCACTGTCTCTTTCACGCTCACTCCCACTTTCCGCTTCTCCCCCGCACCATCCATCCCCGTTCACCATGGAAACGCGCGCGTCTTGCAAACGCTCTTGTTATGGTTTCGCCGTGAAATTTGCCGTGCCATGTTATGATGGTGGCCTCCATTTCCCCTTTTGAACCTCTCCAGCAACAACAGCCAGCATCGACTCCTACCCGCCCGCCCGCCCTCCACCATTTCCGTGCCGCTGTTGGTGCCGTTGTCGTCTTCTAGCTCTTGCTTTGCCCGGTCCCTGCCTCCCTACCGCCGGCACTGTCGTCTTCTCGTTCGCTCGTCGGTGTTGCTGCTGCCGCCGCTGCCACCACCACCAGTGTCTGCGCCCGGCCCGCGTTTCCTGGACGCGGCCACGCTGCCTGCAGCGTGGGGGAGGGCGGATTGGCAGAGGTATGTGATGAGTGTTCTTTACTGTTTTGTCTTTGGGCGTTTCTTGCTTGCGTATCTTTAAAGGGAAGTATGAAAGGTAAGTATAAGATTGGACGAAAAGAGCTCGACGCTAGAGGTGAAAGAAGGACCTAGACGGCTATAAAGAGGAAGGAAGAGGTGGGTTTGAAGCTGAAGAGTTCTGAGATGCTTCGAAGTGAATGGAGGAAGAAGAAACAGTAAGTTTTACTCTACATCTGATAGGGCTTAAGACTGACGAATAGGTTGTTGCTCGCTGAAGCTGAATCGGAAGGATTTCGGATTCGGCTTCCCAAAGCATACCCAAAGCATCCTACATGGCATAAACCTATCTCAAACCAGCCACAATACATCTAGAGGCAGACATACGCCCGAAAGAAGACAGGGCTTGATTAGAAACTGGAGCCAGGAGACCTCGAACATGAGAACAACTACTGCATCTAAGGTTGAGTACAAGCCGGAAGCATACAAACTGATCAACTGTATAGAGTGTTTGGCCATGAAATTGTTTTCCGCCCCGGCATCTCCCTCGAGGTCCAGGTGGGGATCCACAACGATCTGGCCAATCGTTGGGACCGCACCTCCGTCGTCGACCAGTTCGCCTTCGGACGGTGGAATGAGAACCTTCTCCCAAAAGGGGCGACGGGAACCCAGGTGTACGTCAAAGAAGGCTGGCACCAGGAGTCGGAGCCTCATTTCACCGTGGACCTGAGGTTTGTGTTCGGTACCACGGGCGTGACTCAGCACTGGGCCACCGCCCACGTCTATTTGGATTTCTCGGAGTCCGTAATCAGAACGTGTGATAGACGGGACGGCTGGTGCTGGGTCAAGCCGCTCTGGGCCGAACACCATAGGGTATGGGACGTGAGTATCCTTTGTTACCTGAAGACCATTTAGCAAACTGACTGACTTTGGCAAGGTGCGCGGACCGAGACCGGCGATCTTACCACGGCTTCCCAGGCGGATGAGAAATGCCCCCGTGTATCCACCCGTCTGGAGGTAGGTTTTTTCATCTCGTTCCAAGAGATCCCAGGTCACTTGCTCCATCTCCCTTTCCACAGTTCGCTTGATGAATCCTTCGCAGGTCAAGCCATTGTATCAATTCTTCTTGTTCATTTCCGCTTGCTAATCTTCTTCACTACAGCGCTCAGGCTAGTCGCGATCACCTCTCCGTTCTTGACTTTCTCCCACCGCTATGGGAGACCTAGCCTCCTCGCCCGTATGTGTGTAGAACCCCCCAAACATCCCCCACATCCTCTTCCTCAATCCCTCAAACGGCTGCTCGCCCGGCCTTGGGTTCATCGGGTCTTTGCGGAAGTCGTGGAACAAGACGCCGTAGACGACAATGAAACTGATCATGCTCCACTGCACCACCTTGGTCCACTTGTTCCATTCTGGCCGTATCGACTTCGCCTTGATGCGTCGCTTGAACTTGCGCTCGAACCGAAACTGCTGCTTCTCCGTCAGGGCGCGTAGGTTCGGCGGCCATTTCTTCTTGGCTGGGTACTTGTTGCGCGCGAAGTCGAACGGTGGAAGTGTGTTCTCGTGTCGGCCGAGGAGACGGTTGATGAGGCGCAGCATGATCGCTGGCTTGTCGGTTCGACGACGGCGACAGGGCTGTTCGGTTGACTTGTGGATTCGCGGTGTTGTTTCCTGAGGGATACTTGGCTGACGTTCTTTACAGTTACAGGCACAGACCAGACCCGCCCCACAATTTCCGCGCACCGAAAAAAGTTATGACTAACCCCAGTAAAGACCTCCGCACTGGCCACCCTCCTCCCACCACCCCTCCACAAACACATACTTTTGTTCTCGCGCTCTCTACGACTTCTTTTTACGACCGTTCTTCACTTTCTGGGATTGTCGTGATGGCGGAGGCCACAAAACTCAGCGACGCGCCAAAGAGCGCCGTCGCCGCAACACTAGAGCAGCTCAAGCCTCAAGAGGCTGAGTCAAAAACACTGAAGATTGAGAACACCGAGAAGCGCGACACATTGATCGCCGAAGAGAAGAAATACCAGAAATCTTGGGAAGAGCAAGGAGTATTCAATCCTGACGCCCCATCTCTCGAAGATGAACCCTTTGACACCACCACACCTGACCAACTCCACGAGAAGTACCCCAAATGGTTCGGTTGCTTTGCATACCCATACATGAACGGCACCCTCCACGCTGGACATGGTTTCACCGCTAGTAAAGTCGAGTTCACCGCTGGTTTCAGAAGGATGACCGGCGCGCGCGCTCTCTTCCCATTAGGTTACCATGTGACTGGTATGCCCATCAAGGCGTGCGCAGACAAGTTGGTCCGAGAGGTCGAGATGTTCGGACAGAACTTTGAACGCTGCCCCGTCGAAGATGTTGTCGAGACTTCAGCAACACAAGAGCCGCCAGCCCCTACACAGGCCGAAACAAAGACCGACATCACCAAGTTCAAGGCGACGAAGGGCAAAGCCAGCGCTAAGACCGTCAAGACGAAGTACCAATTCCAAATTATGCTCGCCCAGGGCATTCCTCTCGAGGAGATCCACAAGTTCTCTGACCCTTACCACTGGATCGAGTTCTTCCCTCCTCTAGCCAAGAAGGACCTCACAGCATTCGGAGCCAGGATAGATTGGAGACGTCAGTTCGTCACCACCGATGCGAACCCATACTACGACAACTTCGTGGCTTGGCAGATGCGAAAACTGAAGGCCTTGGGAAAGATTATTTTCGCGAAGCGTTACACTGTCTACAGCCCAAAGGATGGCCAAGCATGCATGGACCACGACAGGCAGTCGGGTGAAGGTGTTACCGTTCAGGAGTACACCGCGCTCAAGATGAAGGTTGTGAAGTGGGCAGATTCCGCAAAGGCTCATGCTGGTGCCGTTCCCGAAGGCGCTTCTTGCTACTTCGTTCCAGCCACGCTCCGCCCAGAAACCATGTACGGTCAGACCTCATGTTTCGTAGGACCTGCGATCAACTACTCCTTAGTCAAAATCACCGACACCGAATACTACGTCCTCAGCGAGAGAGCCGCAAGGAATATGGCATACCAAGGCACCACTGCCAAGTGGGGCGAATACTCCATCGTCGCTACCTTCCCCGGTAAGGATGTTGTCGGTACTGTCGTCAATGCCCCTCTCTCTGTTCACAAGGATGTATATATCCTTCCCATGGAGACTGTCAAGGATACCAAGGGTACGGCCGTCGTCACATGTGTTCCATCGGACTCACCAGATGACTACATCACCTCATTTGATCTCGCCAAGAAGGCCGAATATTACGGTATCCAGAAGGAATGGGTCAAGTTCGACGATCTCTTACCCATCATCGAAACCCCTTCTTACGGTAACCTCACAGCGAAACGCCTGGTGGAGGAGATGAAGATTCAATCACCCAAGGACTCTGCAAAGCTTGCCGATGCTAAGGAGAAGGCATACAAGGAGGGATTTTACAAGGGCAAGATGGTACACGGAGATTTTAGCGGAAAGACTGTCGAAGAAGCTAAGCCGCTGGTTCGCAAGCAGCTCATCGAGGCCGGCGACGCCTTCCCGTACGCTGAACCCGATGGCAAGGTCATGAGCCGAAGTGGTGACGACTGTGTTGCAGCTCTTCTCGACCAATGGTACATGAACTACGGCACTGCAGCAAATGGCGGAGACGGCGAATGGGCTGAGAAGGTCCGCTCACACATTGAGGGCGAACTCAATCTCTACTATCCTGAGGCGAAGAACCAGTTCCTCCGAGTCGTCGATTGGCTAAGCATCTGGGCGTGTGCCCGTTCCTACGGTCTCGGCACCAAGGTACCCTGGGATCCAAGTGTGATGGTTGAGAGTTTGTCCGACAGCACGATCTACCAAGCTTACTACTCCTTCGCCCACCTTCTCCACAAGGATATGTTCGGGAAGGAACCTGGACCTCTTGGGGTCAAGCCCGATCAGCTCACTGACGAAGCTTGGGATTACGTATTTGCTCTTCGCGACCGATCCGATGTGCCGCAGTCCGACATTCCCACAAAGACTTTACAGACCATGCGACGACACTTCGACTACTGGTACCCGCTCGACATGCGCACCAGTGGTAAGGATCTGATCCAGAACCATCTGACATTCAACCTCTACGTACATACCGCCATCTTCCCGAAGGAGAACTGGCCCCGCAGCTTCCGTGTAAACGGTCACTTGCTACTGAATGGTGACAAGATGAGCAAGTCTACCGGTAACTTCCTGACTATCGCCGGTGCTGTCGAGAAGTTTGGTGCCGACGCCACACGTATTGCCCTTGCCGACGCAGGAGACGAAATCACAGACGCCAACTTCGAGGAGACGGTCGCGAACGCCAACATCCTGAAGCTGTTCGAGCTCCGCAAGTGGTGCGAGGACTTGATGAACGAAGCCATCTACGTTCCCGATGCGGCAGCATACATGGAGAAGAGGGCGTCGGGATCGGTCAAGAATCCAGATGTCATCCAGCGACAGAGCGGCAGCGAGCACCTTCTTTTCGACAAGATGTTCGATAACGAGATGAACTTCTTGATCCACGAGGCTTTCGGACACTACTCCAACACATTCTACAAGCTCGCCCTCAAGTCAGGATTCTATGACTTCACCAGTGCGCGCGACTTCTACCGTGAGGCTACCAAGGCAGCAGGCATCGGTATGCACCAAGACCTCGTCAAGAAGTTCGTCGAACTCCAGGCCCTCCTCCTTACTCCCATCGCACCTCACTGGTCAGAATACATCTGGCTCGAGGTCCTCAAGAACAAGGAAACCGTCCAGAAAGCTCTGTGGCCCAAGGTTCCCGAGCCGAACGCTTCCCTCACAGCCGCCCGAGAGTTCGTCCGCCAAACACAGACGAACATCACATCAGCAGAGGGCAATGCCATCAAGAAGCTATCCAAGGGCAAAGCAGCCACTTTCGACCCCAAGAAAGAGAAGAAGATTATTATCTTCGCCGCAAAGGAATGGCCCGCTTGGCAGAAGAAGTACATCGACATGGTCCGCGACGCCGACACCCTCGACATCAAAGCCATCAGCAAGTCGATCGACAAGTCCGAGTCGAAGAAAGCCATGCCCTTCATCAACGGTCTCAAGCGCCGCCTCGATAACGGTGAGCCAAAGGATGTTGTCCTCAACCGTGAACTTGCTTTCGATGAGCTAGATACGCTGCGCGCCATGGTACCTGGATTGAAGCAGACTATACAGAAGTGCGTTGATGTGGAGATCATCACCGTTGGCGAAGGTGGCAAGGATGGTACTGTCATCAAGGAAGATGGCAGCAAGGGCGACGCACGATCGGAACTTCCACCGCAAGCCGCTACTGCTGAGCCAGGTTACCCGAGCTTCGCTTTTGAGAATGTCGAGAATATGCCTGTGCGATAAGTGCTGGTGGAGTCAAAAGGTGGACTGTATTCTGGGTATCGGATTGGGTTGGGCTACGCTTTCATGTAACGACACGGTATGATTGATGTGCATGGAGGGACGGACGGTATGATCTGGGATGGAAGGACTGCTGGTAGATAGACGTCGTACAATATGACCCTTGAGATGGATCGTTGCATGTTTCGTACAACTTCGATGCTGCAATACGGTGAAATGGCCATGAACTGGTACTCCATTATAAGATCTAATGATCAAACTTTTGATCCGAATTACATCCATGTAACCGCTTGAAGCTTCAGGTAAGCAAGCAATCAGGTCCATACCCACCACCACTCTACAACTTCGCCCTCGCCTCATCAACGCGGTTGCCCTGCTGATCAAAGAAGATCTTCCTCCCACTCCTCAAACTATCCTGCAGCGCAACTCCAATCTTAACCGCCTCCATCGAACTCTGCAAATCAACCGGCACCTCTCCTCCCTCGAGCACTGCATCCGTAAACTGCCTCGCCTCCTCCACAAACGCCTGTTCAAACCGCTCATAGTAATTCTGCGGAATCTCCCTATTAATGCCATTGCTCATATGGCTCTCCAGCAGCCCCGTCATGGGATTCGAATTGACAGCCAACTTGCCCTTTGTTCCGATGATCTCTGTCATGTCGTGCTGGCCGGGGGCGTTCATGCGCGAACTGTAGAAGTAGGCAATTTGGCCGGAGTGGAATTCTACGACGCCGACGCCGTTGTCGACGTCGCCGTGTTTGGCTAGGTCGGGCTCAAGGGCTGTTACGCCGACGGCCATGACAGATTTTACGATGGGCAGCGTCTTGCCCTTTGTTTCTGCGGAGAAGTACCATAGGGCGAGGTCGATGTCGTGGATGTTGCAGTCGACGAATATGCCGCCTGAGAACTCGGCGTAGGCGACGAAGAAACCGGAGGGGTCGTATCTGGGGGGGTGGATGTGTTAGTGGGTGTTGTATGTGTGTAGGTGTGGAGGACTGGGGCGTTGCTTACTTGTCGCAGGTTTGTGAGCGCAGGATCGTGGGTCGTCCGATGTCGCCGTTGAGGGTCATGTTGTAGGCGTTTACGTAGGAGGAGTCGAAGCGGCGGGAGAAACCACACATGACTTTGACGTGAGGGTTGCGCTTTGCGGTGTCGAGGACTTGGTGGACCTAGATACTGTGGTCAGTGGTGGGCCTTCACGATGAGAGTGTGGGCAGGTACGTACCACGTCCAACTTGGTGCTGAGCGGCTTCTCACACAGAACATGCTTTCCAGCTTCGATCGCCTTGATCGTCTGCTCGGCATGTACTGTGGTAACGGTGGCTACACAGACAGCCTCAAGACCCTCATGCTTCAACATCTCGTCGTAGTCGGTGTAGATCTTGACGCCCCACGGCTCGAGATTCTCCTTCGCCCAAGCAATCTCATTCTCAGCAGGTGTAAAGGCGGCTACGAGTTCAGCCTTGGGTGTGCGGTGGAGGAAGTGGTTGGCATGGCGAGCGCCCATGCGGCCGAGGCCTGAGACGGCAATACGGAGTCTGCGGATCGCGGGTGCCATTGTGAAGGATGTGTTGGAGGGAGCAGGAAGAGGATTGAAAGAAACGTGGTTTGCAAGAAGTTTACAAGACTCCGCGAAGCTCAGAGCGAGGAGATATATGCGAGTTCGAGCACCTACGGGAATACACCGACTTTCAATCCCCCCAGAATCCTACCTTGGTCAAAGCTCCTCTCAGGGTCCAAACTAGGCTCGAACACGCAAAAGCAGCTGCTCCTCCATATCCAGTCGCCGAGTTTCGTCCTCCCTATCATCCGCGTAAACCAATATCCATCACTGCATCACAAAGCCACCCGTCATCCTTCCCCCAGTACAAGGCCCAAGTTATGCGGCGAACTTCTCTACGCTGAGCCGCACATGCCACGTCTGGACCGGATCATCGGCACGAGCATTACGTCGACGCAGATGCGGAACGCGAAAGCGCTGTGGAGAGATGTATCTTGTGTTGATGGAAAGTGTGGGGAACGCGTGGAGTCGCGTCGCGCCCAGGCACAAAAAGGCGGAGTTGAGCGAATGGGGAAAATCTCCTCTTTCGGTTTGGGAGGGCGAAATTACTCCGCGCAAAAAGGCCGGTTCGCGATGGGAAGTCGTTCACTAATTCTGGGGTATGATGCGAACATTTCGCGTTGTGGAGATGGATGGCGATGATGGGGAAGGTTCGGGTCGTAGTGCGTGGGTGAGGGAAAGAGAGGGTTAGCGACAATTCACGTGCTCGAGACAGGCACCTGGGGATACCGCCGTGCTTCCCCGCATACGTCACTTGTTTACCAACATCACAACGAGTGCGGAGATGGAAAGTTGGTATCGGAATTCTGTTGTCCGTTGAAGATCACGTCGAGCAAGATCAAGATCGCAACTGCATCGCTCTATTGCTACATCGTTCTACACCTACGAACGCCAACTTTTACTGATTAGTTTAGAGATTCGACTTCTCTTCCTCACCAGTCTCAAGTACAACCTTGATAACCAGTTTGCCGCTATCGTCTTTCGTCTTTCCGGCCATCTCGAATGCCTCAACTGCTGACTCCAAGCCTTTGTAGGTATGTGTTACCAACTTGGCAAAGGCAGGGTAGTCATCGCCCGTCTTTGATACGACTTCGATGCCAGTGGGGTACGTGTTCGCATATCTGAATACACCAAGGATGTCGACCTCGCGAAGTGCAGCTGCGGAGATTGGTAGGGTTTGAATGGGCGTGCCCATGCCGATGAGCAGAACCTTGCCGCCGGGTCGTGTTGCCTGGAGCTGTTAGTGTTCAGTCGACTCAACTACGCCGGGCAGACTTACATATATCGATGCTTGGACACATGATGGTACACCAGTGCACTCGAATACGGCATCTACCTCACCAATCTCGCCACCACTCTTCTTGGACAGCTTTGCGACCTCGGCAGCTACCTCCTTCGCGATATCCAGTTGCTCTTCTATTGTGCTTCCACGCTTCATAGGCACTGTGTAGCTGTGGTGCGCAAACTTATTGTCGACGGCGAATTGCACTCGCCCAGCGTCGATATCTGCTATCACCACTGTACCGGCACCTGATATCTTCGCCATAGCTGCTACAAGTAGGCCTACAGCTCCAGCTCCGAACACCAACACGGTTGAACCCGGTGCTAGTTGTGCGCGTTTCGATGCTTGAATGGCGACGCTCAAGGGCTCGAGGAGTGCTCCTAGGTCTAGCGACATGTCCTCTGGTAGCCTGCTCATCATTAACATCTCCAGCAACCAGATGGGTTTGGGTACTCACTTATGACACCAAGCAGCGGGGTGGTTAATCCGATCTTGTAGCGTGCCCTGAGCATGCGGAAACGCCTTTGCACTACTCCGGAACTTCATGCCTTTGCAGATGTTATACCGCCCCTCTTTACACCTCTCACAGTTCTCGCACGGCTGTCCGACTTCCAGCGCGACCTTATCTCCGACTTTGAAACCCGACACCTCTGAACCTACGTCTACAACTACACCAGCCGACTCGTGGCCCAGTGACATGGGTTCTCGCACGATGATGTCGCCATTGCGGTAGTGCCTGTAGTAGTGGAGATCTGAACCACAGAGACCGGTGCTGCGGACGCTGATTTGAAGCTCTGTTGGGGAAGGCGGGAAGAGGGTGCGGTTTTCCTGGCTTCGTGTTAGTGTCTGTAACTCTTGGGGGGTTCTATGCTGGCATACGATTCTTAAGTCTTTTGCTCCGTGGAGTACTGAGGCGCGGATATTCCTCGCGCCCTGAGCAACGTCTGGCTTGCTCTCAGAAGACATATTGTCGTGATTTGTAGTGTACCTGTAAGGATGAACGTACGAGTGAAGCTCAAGACGCGTGATATAGTAACGTTCAGCTCGACGACAATGCAAGGGTGAAGCTGTGAAGTGAGGGAGAAGGCCGCTGGAGCATCAGGTCATCTCGCAAAGCATCGGAAGCTATCACGCGCCAGACACTCGGCGCGCTTTGCCTCATAGTACAGCAGGAGATGGAGACAAATTCCACCTTCGGCGTTTGAAATGGCGGGACATCAGATGCCGACGCTTCTTTTGGGGTGGTGGGGTTGGCTTTCCGAGGCAGTTCCGAGCTGCCCCAACTTCGTGCTGCAGGAAAAGCCGTCGACTTCTGCCGCAGGCTTTCAAGTTTCTTGGTCGACTTCTGCTTGATTTCTGAAGTTCGTTTCTCGACTATACTGCCCTCTTCAGGCCAGCAAATAATCTTTCGCCTGTTATCTTAGCTTCAACTCTTCCCCAAAGCATTCCGAACCACACCTACCAACACATCAACATGGCATCTGTACAGCAGCTCTTCTCACTCGAGGGTCAGACTGCCCTCGTAACAGGCGGAACGCGAGGCATCGGCCAGTCAATGGCTCTTGCCCTCGCAGAAGCAGGAGCAGACATCCTCCTCGTCCAAGTAAGTCCCTCCCCTCTCCCACATCCCCTCAACCAACTAACAACCTCCTCCAGCGCGACACCAGCAACCAAACCACGAAACAAAAGATCGAATCCCTCGGCCGCAAAGCCACAATCTACACCGCCGACCTCTCCTCCAAGCCCTCCATTTCCGCCCTCATCCCCACCATCCTCGGCGACGGCCACAGAATCCACATCCTGTTAAACTGCGGCGGCATCCAAAAGCGGCATCCCGCGCACCAATTCCCCGACGAAGACTGGGACGCCGTCCTCCAAGTAAATCTCACCTCCGTCTTCCAACTCTGCCGCGACGTAGGCGCACACATGCTATCTCAACCCGCGGACCTCCCCCTCAGCCGCCGCGGAAGCATCATAAACGTTGCTTCCCTATTGACTTTCCAAGGCGGTATCACGGTGCCAGCGTATGCGGCGAGTAAAGGGGGTGTGGGACAGCTGACCAAGGCGCTGTCGAATGAGTGGGCGAGTAAGGGGGTTAGTGTGAATGCGATTGCGCCCGGGTATATCGCGACGGATATGAATGAGGCGTTGATTAAGGATGAGAAGAGGGCGGAGAGTATCCTGAGTAGGATTCCGGCGGGGAGGTGGGGGAGCCCGGAGGATTTCAAGGGCGCGGTGGTTTTCTTGGGTAGCGCGGCGAGTGCGTATGTTAGTGGAGAGGTGCTTACTGTTGATGGGGGGTGGATGGGTAGGTAGATGGATGGAGAAGTCGGAGTACGCGAGTGGGTGGACAGTTTTTAATGGCACGTTTTCTGAACAACTTGCATGAACAAGCAACATAGTCCTGAATCAAAGGATTTATTGACTTGACTTCGCATCTCATCACACGAAGCCTCTTAAGGCATTAGAACTCCAACTATCGCTCTCAAGCAAAAAGTATGAAGAAGGTATCTTCAGCGAGTTCCAATGTCTTGTTGGGTATAGATTTTATGTCCCTATCCTACATGCACAACCTACAACTTGCTTGCTCCAAGCAGTCAAGGTCCGCTGAGATCCATGCCCTCAGGCTTATCCGGGAAGCCAGCGTTGACACCGAACGGCGGGTATACATAGCGGGTGATGCCCTTCTCCTTGTGAATCTTCTCCAGCTTCTGCATGTCCTCGTCATCGAGGGAGATGAGCTTCTTGTTCTCGTCGATGCGGGATGGGGTTACGGATTTTGCGAGGACGGAGGAGTTGCGGGCGACTTGAGGTGAGTTAGTAAAGTGATTCTAGAGGGTGCTGAGTGGGTGGAACTTACGGTGGTAGCTCAGCAGTACAACGGCAGGACCGACGCTGTGCTTCTTTGCGACCTCGTTGACACCCTCGTCCTTGAAGAGTGGTGAGCCTGTGCTTCCGAGCGGACTGTAGGCTGTGATGTGGATGCCCTTCTCTTTGCAGAAATCGACGACTTCTTGTTGTGGGCACAGTGGGTGGTTCTCGATCTGGTTGACGGCAGGAACAATGGTAGCGTGTGCCAGTAGCTTCTCCATGTACTTGACGGAGTAGTTGGCGACACCAATGGCCTTGACCTTGTCAGGGTGTGATTGGATCAGCTTCTCGAGGTTCTTCCATGTGTCTTGGTGGGTGATGGAGGTGTCAATGTCTCGCGAGCCGTCCTCGTGCTTAGGGAAGAGAGGGTGGTTTCCTGCGCATTCGTCAGTGTTATTTCGTCTTGTAGAGGCTCGTTGAACTTACCCTTGGGGTTCATGGGCACAGGCCAGTGCATGAGGTAGAGATCCACGTAAGGTGTCTTGAGCATGTCCAAGCTCTTCTGCAGACCCTCCTCAGCGCGAGTGTGGAATGTGCACCAGAGCTTGCTGGTAATGAACAAGTCCTCTCTCTTCACGATTCCGCGCGAGATGACATCCTGAAGCGCCTCACCGACCTCATCCTCATTTTGGTAGCAGAAAGCGCAGTCAATGTGCCTGTAACCGCTTTCAATGGCATGGACAACAGCCTTCTTGACCTCACCAGGCGCAGACTGCCACGTTCCCAAGCCCAGGGCGGGGATGGTCGCGCCAGTGTTGAGAGGAATAGCAGTATTCATTTCGGGCTGTGGGTTAAGGATACTCTTGGGTGTACTCTTAAGCATAAACTTGGAGAGGGCGGGATTCATCGCGGCTCCGGCTTTACTTAGGTATTAGTACCTAGGTAGTAGCAGTGGGGTGTTGCTGGCCTGGCCAGGGGCAGGCTTGCTCGCAATGCTTGGAAGCTTCCATATTGTGGCTGAATTGCACGCTTCTGGAATGGCTCAGGACATACGTCAACCGTGATTGACTCTATAATTCATTCCGACGACCGATGCTGCCCCGCCATGCGCTCCCCGCCGGCATAGCTTCGGTCCGGGGATGCTTCTGATACGCGCTCGGCGCGCTTCAGCCTCACACGAAATTTTCGCAGGAGATGATGCCCAGGAAAGCCGACGTGTTCGTGGGGTTTGTCGGGGAAGGTGGCACCGAGCGTCACGTGCTTGGAGGGGCACGAGTTGGAGCCAGTTGGAGCGTCATAGTGCAGCACGTTTTCTGGGCTACTGCAGTCTTCCGAGTGTTCACGACGAGGTGAAAATCCATCGGCTGTTGGGGCGGCGAGAATTTCCGTTCCGAGGCACGAGCGGCGAGAATTGCACCCTTCAACCCCATAGAGACGCGTGCGATGCATGCCCACCGAACCACGGCAGATCTAACGCAGCTAACCAACCACTACGGGCGGAATGCCAAACTGGACCCTTAGCCGCGTTTCCAGAACCCCAGATCTCGCTCCGATTGCTCAACGGCAGATTCCCAAAACGGGGAGAATTGCCTCATGGTGCAGACTTATCTTTGTTCGAGCCTACGACGGCCCTACGTAGTGCGGAGAGACCTCCACGAGTGGATCTCAAAGATGGAGACGATGAGAAATCTGACTCCAGGAATTCAGGCTGGGCTTACTTCGGAAGTGATGATGTTTGCTAGTTCTGGCAATACCATGCTGCGTCGTATCGAGGTACGGAAAGGATAAGTACTCCTCTCATCTTGTCACATATCGACACATCAATCATACAATCTCCAATCTTCATCTTCAAACATCATACCATAGCCCAGCGCTTTGTTGTACTTTGCATACTTCTAAGATACCCCTCTTCCTTATCCATCACATTTCCCACCATGGCACCAGGCGCCATCTTCGAGACGCCCAACGTGGCTGAGAACTTCAACGACCACCGCGATGGTCTTGCCCTCGAGGCCACCTCCGACGCCATTGACGACGTCAACGTCCTCAAGGCCGCCATGAAAGTCAAGAACTGCACCGCAACACAAAAAGAAAAGGACATCTACGAGAAGTCTGAGTTCGACGCCGAGAAGGACAAGACGCAGTTCCGGCAATACGAAGAAGCATGCGACCGCGTCAAGAACTTCTACCGCGAGCAACACGAGAAGCAAACCGTAGCCTACAACCTCAAAGCACGCAACGCCTTCCACAGCAAGACGCGCGCCGAGATGACCATCTGGGAAGCCATGGAGAAGCTCAACACACTGATCGACGAATCCGACCCAGACACCTCACTCTCGCAAATCGAGCACCTCCTCCAATCCGCCGAAGCCATCCGCCGCGACGGAAAGCCACGCTGGTTCCAACTCGTGGGCCTAATCCACGACCTAGGCAAGCTACTCTTCTTCTTCGACGCGCAGGGCCAATGGGACGTAGTCGGCGACACGTTCCCCGTCGGCTGTGCCTACTCCCCCAAGATCATCTACCCCGACACTTTCAAGAACAACCCAGACTACAAGGACGATATCTACAGTACCGAGCACGGCATCTACACGCCTGGCTGCGGAATGGATAATGTCATGTTGAGCTGGGGCCACGACGAGTACCTCTACCATATCATGAAGGAGCAGAGCAGTATCCCTGATGAGGGCCTCGCGATGATCAGGTATCACTCTTTCTACCCGTGGCACACTGGTGGCGCGTACAAGTGGATGATGAATGGCAAGGATGAACGCATGCTAGATGCGGTTAAGGCCTTCAACCCGTATGATCTCTACAGCAAGAGCGATGAGGTGCCTAAGGTGGAGGACCTCAAGGAGTACTACTTGGATATCATCGATGAGTTCATTGGCAAGGACAAGAAGTTGAAGTGGTAGACTGGGGGTTGGTCTGCAGGGTTAACGAGTTTCCTTTGTTCTATGGCGTTTGGGCATATAGATAACGCGGAGTGCCGAACAGGCCCGCGATGCAATTCACTTTTCTTGATCTCATCGATTCGCCATCCTCACATGCGACATTTGAACGAAATGTCACCCACTATGTTGCTTGGTGCACTACCATAGAGACTACATCCTTTGCATTGTTGGCATTAAGGTCCATCGTATACCCATCACCACTGATCCTACTCAATACTTCCTCACCGATGGGAACCTCGAACATAGCCAGGCTTCAACCAAGCCTCTTCCCAAAAATGGGTTCTCACACTCCTTCCCACAATTCCGGCAGAGATTGCCATGTATTGGACAAATATCGACGATAATGTGCTTACATGGCCCACCCTTCTCGTTACCGTTTGCAACATCCTTCTTGACAACTTGACTCACATATTCCTTCTTTACCTTCTCGAGAATCGGGTTTCCCAGTCACTCCATTGTTCAACACTCAGGCTTTTCAGAAACGACAAGGGCCAACTAAGAACAAGATGCGGCTGGACCCCGGGAAGCTTAGGATCAAGCTTTCGCCACGTCGCGTCTTTGTCGTCTAGTGAGTACTGGTATATGACTGTTGGCGGAAACGAAAGAGAAGCACTTTCGGGAGTGCGGAGATCGAGTTGCGGATTACTTGTAGAAGTCGCTTCCAGCTCCTCTATCATGGTGGGTGTGATTCGACGCATAGTTCGTGAATTATTCGTGGAACAGTGTCTGAAACTATCACTACTAGCCGCTGGTCCGACGGTGAGCTTTACAAGCTTCTTCTCGACATAGTTTATGCTGCCAATTGTGTCGTAATCGGGCTTTGTAATGATACTGTCCTTGAATGTAGCCACAGGTACATCTTGTAGCGTCTCTGTCTTTGCATAGTTCTTCTGGGTTTCGAATGGCATGACTGTGGATATCTAGTAGTGAATTTTCGTGCGGTCCACGGAATACGAGCCCCAAGATGATAGCAGAAGTAGTAGGAGTTGTCTATCATTAAAGGGTATTTATTGATGCTTTATATCAAATGATTGAGTGTTTGTACGCTTGAGCAATCCCCTTCTTTCATGCTTTGATCTAGGTAACCAGATGTATCGAGAACGTCCGCGCTGTCAACTGCAGCTTGACATAACCTTATGATCTTTGCTCAAGACCGCCTTCATGTACGAGATGAGTATATTCAACGACGATCTGCTAAAAGCCACTGCTAAAATAGCATATGTTAGCATTCGCGCCACGAGATATTTCGCCTTCTACACGTTTGTCAAGACAAGAAATGCTGGGCAGTACGACAGCGCACGCGTCACTCATTACATCCGATAGGAGTCTTTAATCTCTATGGATAATAGTCGGTACTTGGACGGGTTTGCAGAAGGTCGTTAGGGAGGAGAATAGCCATCCGTGGGTTGGACGCAGATGGTGTATTCAACGTCCAGCGGTACCGCTAGCGCCTGTAAGACCATAAAGTACGTGGTACGGCATGCGAGTCTTCAACACTTGAAGCACGACGACAGACAAGAAGCATACTGTACATGTCTGATCCCGGGGTTGGAGGTTGTTGAGCGCATTGCTCACAAGGCAGGAACGAGGCATCCCAGTAACAACGAGGCTGGGACGACCTTAGCTGTTCAGCACATCAAGAACACCATACGTAGAGACTAGCAACAGCAAAACGATTACTTGCTGAAAGATGCAACAACCCTACCACATGTCCACGCGAAATAACGCGTACCATCGCACCCATGCCCACCGGAAGCCCGCGGCTCCTCCCACCGCCCATGCCCAGCCACCCACGCACCATCATCCCAACCGCCATCCCATCACCATCGTCATCGTCATCTTCCGCGGACCTCAACCCAGTCCCCGTACCCGTACCCACCCACGCACATACACCCGTCTCTTACTGCTTACAACAACCGAGCAGAAGCTGCAAACACATGGTCCTTGCCCTTCTTCGTGCCTTACCCGTCCCCACAACACTCCTGATCACCCCAATCTGATACACACGATCTGCACCCACCCGGTACATACGCGTCAGCACTTCCAGAAAAAGAAGTAGCTACTGGTAAGCATGACAGACGCACAAACCCTCATATATGGGGCCGCGGAGCAGTGAGATGGGGTAACAGCAGAAACGGTCGCCCCCACAGGGCTGAGGCTGATGCTGACGATTTGCTGGGGCGCAAAAGGATAAAAGTGGAGGGCAAGGCTGGAGGTTAAGTTGACTTCATGTCTTGAGTTGCGCACTTTAGGATGCTTATTTACATGCGATAGTCATTGCGTGACTTGCGTTGGTTGCTGCTGTGACGGTGTGCCGCGTATGCTTGGCATGAGATGTGTAGCTGAACGCGATGTGGGTTTGGCCAACGTGGTCATGGCGAGTGCTTCACGACAGGAGATTTTCTGGGTATACAGTTATTCCAAAGGCGACGACACGAGAGGAGAAAGAGGAAGAAGATCAGTGAGTGTCAACACAGTCATGATGGAAAGAGGAATGTCGTGAGAGATTATCATTGAATTACTATCTACAGGAGCCAATGCTAATGGCCCATCCATTTCCCATGTCGGGGTATCAATCGCAGTCATAAAAGACTTCCCAGGCACAATGAATCCGTCATTATCATTATGCCTTCGCGTGAGTGTTCGTTAGGAAAGAAGAGAAAGCTGCGCCATGCATCCACGTATCCAGAGCCCACCTCGCATTACCGACCCGAAACTACCAGTCATTATACACATTACACCATCGAGCGAGGACCTTGGTTCAGACGTGAAGGTGAGACGCTTAGAGGAGGAGCCATGCGGCAATACCAGCACCAGCAAGGATGGGCATGCCAGTGACCTTGGGGGCAGCGCCACCGGCGACGGAGGAGGCAGCGGAGCCAGCAGCCTCGGTGGCAGAGGAAGCAGCAGAGCCAGCGGCGTCGGTAGCGGAGGAAGCAGCAGAGCCAGCGGCATCGGTAGCGGAGGAAGCAGCAGATCCAACGGACTCGGTGATGGAAGCAAGGTCAGAGGCAATGCTGGAGCTGGCGGAAGCGAGAGCAGAGCTAGCGGAGGCGATAGCAGAGCTGACCTCAGAGGCGAGGGAAGAGGTGATGCTCTCAGCGCCAGAGACGGCGCTGGAGGCGGCGCTGGAAGCACCGCTGACGGCGGAGGAGACAGCTGAGCCATCGGACTGGACAGCGGTGGCACTAGCAACGGCTGAGGTCAAGATGGGAAGAGCAGCGGGGGTGCCAGAGCCGGTGGCAGCAACGCCAGCGCAGCGAGCGTAAGCCCACTGGACAGCGGAAGCAGACTGGTCGGCGTCGCAGGCCTGGCGGGTGCAGTCACGGATACCGTAAGCCCAGTTGGACTGGGTGCAGAAGCAGCTGATGTCGGAGCTCTCGCACTGGAACTCGGTCTGGGCAATGGTGGCCATGTTGTTGATGCACAGATTCTAAGCGGCTGTTAGCATTGGCCAAGATAATCAATGGCAGCAGGGACACTTACGGCGCAGTCACCGCTGGGCATGGGCATGTCCTGGGCAAGGGCAGCACCGGCGAAGGTGGCAGCGAGAACGGCGTAAGACTTCATCTTGACTGTGGGTGGGGGATCGACTTGGTGAAGAGGATATTGAAGTAGGATACTAGGTATCGAAGTGAGGGCGAGTCAAGGTGAGTGGAGAGGTGCTGAGGTTGAGGATGCTGGATGAGGAATTGGGAGAGGGGGCAGCAGGAGTGGGTTTATATCGTAGGCAACACAAACAGTCGGGGCTGGGCCGTGGCTGGTTAGTGAAGTTGCGCGCAAACAGGAGGCTGCAACGGGCTGGTGACGGGTTGGCGCGTCAGTAGCGGGACTAGCGGCGAGCAGGGAGCAGCAGCCAAGCCCAGGCACAAAGACTCCACGATCGCCGCCAGAGCAAGGAAACGCGGAATGCACGACCGGTCCCCTGCGCACTCATTGGCCAATGCACCAGGCGCTCCTACCTTATGATGTAGCCACGCCAACCACACCCCAGGGCCGATATCCGAACCTGCATGTACAACTCACATGTCGAACCAGCTTTCTCGTCGCGACTCGCTCTGACCGTGGTATCCGCTCCGTCACCTTCGTCATGCCTTCCAGCTCCACAGTCACGCTTTCACACAGCATCCTGCCCGAGCTCGACCGGCGCTGCGTACAATCTGCCTTCGCGCTGGTGTGACGGGCTACCAAATTAATCAAATCTTGTGTGCATTGAAGCACTACCAGTCGTCGTGACGTCGAGATAGCGGCTGCCGCTTGATGCTTACCCGCCCTTTCATTTCCGTTTCACAAATCTACCAAGAACCCACGAATCTCGCTTCCCCACGAGTGCAGGGGGGCTGGGTGAGATCCAGGCCCATAGATCGCTCTTCACCGGGCCAACAGCTGCCAATCACCCACCCACCCTACGGCAAATTCCTCTTGTGGCGCAGGGCGCAGTCTATCAAGCCGCAAGAGAAATGCGTGTCTCTGCATCGCCCTCCAGCTTCGGCGCCGTCCCGTCTCTGTCCCCCTCGCCCGCCGCCTCCTGCTGCTCGGCCAGATGCTTCTCTTCAGCTGATGTGATGCAGTGTGTGTTCGCGCCTACCAAACAGCGGTCAGCTCTGTGCGTTTGACTCGGGCAAGACGACAAAAGGAATAATTAAGCTTACCCAACTTATTGATCGTCTCCATCCACTCATCGTAGGGGTCCGAGTCGAAAACTATGCCGCCCTGTAGCCAATCATTAGTCTCGTGTCTCCGAGCTAAAGCAGGGAATTCGTTAAACTTACCCCTGCTTGAAGATACGCGATGCCATCTTTGACAAGCATGGTTCTTAGCGCAATGCATGTCTGCAAAAATCAGCCTCCTGTCAACCTGGAACAAGGCAAGACTACTCACGTCCATGGCACCTTCAATCTCCTTGTCGCCATCAATACTGCCGTAGCCAAAGTATCCTACCGCGCCAGCATATACACCGCGTTTTTCCCGCTCAAGCTCAGCAATGAGCTCCATAGCACGCACCTTGGGCGCACCGCTCACCGTGCCTGTACCCGGTTAGCTACATTTCCAACTTTTTGAACACGCTACCTACCAGCTGGGAAGATGGAGCGGAACGCGTCGAATCGCGTCTTGCCAGGTCGCAGCACCCCCGACACCTCCGAGACCAGGTGCTGCACGTGGGAAAACTGGTTTTGATGGCAGTTAGCATAGCTCTTGGATTTGATATCATAGCGCTCGCTTGATATCGTCGCACGGTAGCTCATCGCATGATCCACGGTAATCACGGCTCGGACGGAACGCTTCTCACCTTTTGGACAACCATTAGCTTGTCAACTCGCGTCGAAAGTGGGTCGCACACGCGATTGACGTCATTGCGAGCCAAGTCGACCAACATAACCTGGACAGCACAATGTAAGCTTCCAACGTCGCTGCATGCACTTTGATGTCAGGCAACCCACATGTTCGGCCCTGTCCTTGAGGGAGTTGGACAATTCGTCTGCGAGTGCAGCATCTTCTTGCAGTGTCTTGCCCCGCTTCACTGTGCCGGCAATGGGGTGCGTGATGATGCGACCCTGCTCCTCTTTTACCAGCAGCTCGGGACTTGCCCCCACTATCTGAAAATCGTCACAATCGACGAAGAAGAGGTACGGTGAGGGGTTGACGTTTCGGAGGTTCCGGTAGACGTTGAAAGGGTGCAAAGATGTCGGTCTTGCAAACCGTTGCGAAGGTACTGCCTGGATGATGTCGCCAACACCAATGTGCTTCTTCAATGTCTTGACGTGGTTCTCGTACCCCTCCCGGCCGATGTTCGACGTGTACTGATGGCCTAGCTGTATAGGCCCTTGTTCCGGCAGCGGAATGTCCTTGTCCTTGAGTATCGTCATGTATCGCCTTAGTGTACTCTTCGCTTCCTCGTATGCCTGTTCTAGGTCGTCCATGCTGTCTGGTACCTTGACGTATGTTATGACCTTTACCACCTGCGCGAAATGGTCCAGAGCCACCAGGGTATCGAAGAGCATGAAGAAGCTCTCTGGTACACCCAGCACATCCTTCATGTCATCCCGCCGTGTCTTGGGCTCGAAGTATTTGACGCAGTCATAGCCAACATATCCCACTGCGCCGCCGGTCATAGGAGGTAGTTGTATCGAGGGTACGGTCGCGACGCGGCTCTTCGCGAGCTCCTTCTCAAGGAGGGGTAGTGGATCGGTTTCTTCGCCATGGCCCGGGCCGGTCTTGATGACTTTGCGAGGGTCTGAAGCTTGTCAGCTGTGTATGCCGGAAGTTTGTTCAAGTACCGACCTGCGCCAATGAAGCTATACCGTCCTATGGTCTCGGTTGTCGCAGCACTCTCGAATAGGAAGGATAGTCTTGACGTGGATCTGACCCCCACGATTAGCATGTGCGCAATCGATCCAACCCCGCCCTCTTCTGACAGTCGTTTCTTGGACGCGACACAACCCCTCCAGTCAATTTGCGCATGAAATGAGTCACACTCACTTTGCGGATATCTTTAGGTATATGCTTGACGGGGTCAAGAACTCGGCGGGTATCGACGAGAAGACGGGCACGAGGTTTGGTGGGTTGGGCGACTTGACCGCTGCAGCCAATACCTCTCGAATGGTGTCAAGCGATGGCTGAACGCCTAGCTAAGTGGTCATGCGCTCAGTTCTGTAGCCAGCCGTATGTAGAGTCATGGACATACCTGTGACGCCATCTTTGTAGGAAACGAAGGATACGCTTGTAATACGTCCTGTAATCGGAGAAGAGGCAGGATGTGTAAAATACAGACGTCGCAATGTATATTGAAGCCAGAATTGATGATTCACGGACCAATCGGAGGGGACACAAAATGTTATCGATAGCAGAATCCTTGGCGCACTAGATCTCCGCAGGCCTCGGCGATGCACGCACGTCACAAGCGGTGACCAGCCTTCTCCCGTCTCACGCGCTTACGCACCTGCCCGCTCTCTTCAACACCAGAGCGCATCGCTGCTGAACCTGCGAGCCTCCCCTGAGAGCTCTTGAGTTGTGCGCATATCGTTTTGGGAGCCAAAGAGGAGGATGTGGCCTTCGCGCGGCCACGAAAGCGCAATGGACATTCCTCGCACCCTAGACCGACCGTGGACCCCTCCGGAGATCGAAGACAAAGCAGACTACTTCAACATCTACGGCACCTCTCCTCCACGATATCCTATCGCGACCGAGCAGCGCTGGCTCAAAGAGGCTCATCGGGTGCCTGACCAGCCTTCTTGGGTCACAGATAGCTTTGGGTTGAACACACCCGCGACGGGACCGCGACCGAAACCCAACACAAGACTCACCGAACCAGCGCCATACACGCCTACGCGGCCATATTATGACGATGTATCGCATCCGCGCACCCAAGGCGAACCGCGCTATCCCTACACGCCCGATAGCTCGCGCATACTGCGTCGAAACAATACCGAACTCCCCTCCTCACCGACACCATGGGACGACGACTCGGAGACATCCTCGTCGCCTGTGCAGAATGCGCTCTCATCCTGCATTGCGCACTTCGAGAATCTCATCCAGACACACCAGCCCGACGAAGAGCAAATGGAGTATATAGTCGGACAATTCGAAGCCATGACCGCGCACCTCTCTTCACCCAGCGGGGCCGAACCCGAAGCGACACACGACGACAAGCCCTCCTCCAACTCTAGTCAGGAACTCGCCATCATCACACAAGCAGAGGGTGAGCAACACCAACTTGAAGCCAAAATGTTGCACCACGAAGCTTATGTTTCGCAAGTAGGCAACTACATCGCTGGTGTGCAAAAGTACATTTACGACCTCAAGACGCGCATGGATGAATTCAAAACACTGAACCGAATTCAACTCGACATCATCAACGACTTGCGCAAGCAGATGCGAAGCGTACGCCAGAGTATGCGCGAGGAACTGGATAAAAGCTACCATCATGACGATCTTGCGAAGTCTGTCTGGTCGGATTTCGGCGCAAAGAGCGAGACGCTACAGGAAGATGATGGGATTCACGACAACAACGACACATCGAAAGAGTTTGGGATGCTAGACAGCTGTATGACGCTCGTCGAGGAAGAAGATCTTTCACGAGAGATTCAAGAAGAATACTCCAAACTGCTACGCGATACCGTGGACACACTGGTTGCGGAGGAACCGTCATCGCCCAAGCGAAAGGTTATTACCATCATCCGATCGCCTCCCCGACGCAGCTTTTGGGGCTCCATGGGCGAAGCGCTGGATGCTGTCTCCAACCTGCTCTTGGAAGAATGATTGATGTGCCATGTGAACGACGACGACTTTGCCTACGACTGGCACTACATTTGACGATTATAATGACGATCTAGGAATCACGCACTTGGACATTACATTGAGATTTACGATGATTTACGGCCGATGTCAGAGCACATGAATGATGGAGGATGAAACGGGGGGTTTGCATAGGAAGAGGAGGTGGTTGCATTTGGATACGGACGGCTGTGAAATGACTTTACGCCATGTTTTGAGCATATGAGCGGCGTTGTCTTTCTATTGGTTTCTTCCTTTGACGCAACAGCATTGGTACGTTCTGGATACCCATTTATCGCTGATGATTGGCATTGCATTATTGTTGTTATTTCTTTTGTTGTTTGTTTTGTAGTATACTTGTTTACTTGCTCAACGCTACTCTTATATACATATACTGAATATTATCATGTGATATCATGACCCTTCTTGTAGACTTGATGGTGGCATGACACATCTGCTTGCGATCGTCTGACATATAGATATATGCTGTCCAGAACCATACGACATATCACAATCATTTTAACCACCAATTCCAGCCGCATAACGAATGCATTGGTATCTCTATTCGCACATGCAACTCAAACCCAGCCCTCCACTCCAACAACCTTCTTTTCTAACCTACTCAACATAATCCAAGCTTCCCTTCCCCACCGTCCCCTTCGTCGCATCCGGCCCCTTCGTTTGCCTAAGTTTCTCCTCAAACTTAGCAAACTCCTGCAACGCAATCTCCTCCTCTTGATCCAGCACCTGCTGCACGCCCTTAACCTCCTCAATATAATGCATCAACATGCTCTCAATCCCGTTCTTGAGCGTCACAGTACTAGAGTCGCAGGTCCGGCACGCACCCCTCAGCTTCAACATGACCTGCCCGTCGTTGAAGCCGCGGAACTCAATGTCGCCGCCGTCTTCTTGGATAGCGGGGCGGACGCGGGTATCTAGCAACTCTTTGATCATGCCGATGACTTCGTCGTCGTTTTCGTCGTAGGCGAGGGAATCGGCTTCTTGGCCGCCTTGGCCTTGCTCACCTGCTTTGGCGGCGATGGTGTTGACGATGGGTTGGCCGGACGTCATGTATTCGTTGATGAGGGCGAAGACTTCGGGCTTCACATGCGACCAGGGTGTGGAGGTGTCCTTCGTTACGGTGATGTAGTCGGCGCCGAAGAAGACGCTGGTTACGCCGTCGATGTTGAGGAGTTGCGCGGCGAGTGGGGAGGGGTGTGGTGGCGCGAGTGTGGAGCGTGGGTTTAGGTATTCGAGGAAGGGGGAGGAGATTGTTTCAGGGAGGACGCGCTGGTTGGGGTTGAACTTTAGGGCCTGGGGTTGTTAGTATGGGGTGGGGTTGGGGTTGGAGGGAGTGCGTACATCGGCGTTTGGTGTGGGCTCGGTTTGGATGAACATGGTTCGTCGCGCGACTGTCGCTGATGGAGCTGCTACTCTTTGGCTCCATGGCTGTGCGGTTGGTCTATGTTGCAGTCTCGAGGCTGTGATGGGCGATGATTGCTGGTGCAGACATCTCGTGGCAATGCGCGGTGTTGCGGAGCGTAGAGACGGCGTCGCTCGGGATAGGCTGCGCATGGCAGAACGTGGGATTGCGCTTGAGGCCATCTTTTGTATAGTTATGAATCGTGTGTTTGGTATGTAGGATGGTGTGATCGCAATGGCGAGGTGTATAGGTTCCGTAAATGAAAGTTCGGGAACTCGGGCCAAACGAAATATGACGTTTGTCGGATTATTCAGCCACACGCTGACTGGTTCCCGTTGGTTCCCGCTGGTCCATAGCTTCCATCTTTCTTTGTGCGTCTTGCAATTCGTACGACCGTTACAATACAACTTGGACTCAGCTAAAACACAAATTCAGCCTCGATGTTGGACTAGAACCGCATGGCAAGTTCTTTGCTGATGTTACTGAGACAGATGCGGGGCTGTGTCGCATACAACACCGCCAATACTCATCGTCTTGGAATGCTTCGTCCTTTACGTTCTCCTGGCAAGATGATTTACACGCTCTGGCAGCTAGATCCTTTCTTTCGAGAGTCTCACACGTCTGCTGTCATCTTATACAGTACTGGCCACGATCGAAGTCGACAACAGTGGATTTATTCTTACGTTGAGTAGTCGTATACGTTTTTGGATCACCTTTATATCTTACATGCATACAATTGACTACTTACTCATTTCATTCTCGTTAGAAATCTCAAAAGCTCTACACCAACAATTCGCTAACCTACTGAAATCGTTATCTCGCCCCCGGCCCCCTCCACCACCGCTCCTCTCACTGCACTGGGAAGTCTCTCCACCAATGTATTGCACGGCTGCATCCCGACCTAGTCAGAACACAGCTTTAATCGCCGCACAGCATCGCCTCATTCTTGGCACCAGTTGGCATAGCTGCGGAACAAGATTAAACGTTCCCAGTTTGGAGTCTGGACATGGGGTTGGGGGCCAAATCTAAGCGCCATGCCGATTTCTATCGTTACGCCCTGCATAGGGCTGTTGCACCGGACGCCTTAGTTTGTCTGCCTTGCTGGCTTAACTACCTGGGTTTTAGTTTTGGGTTTCGTCTCTCTCGTCGTCGTCTCATTTCTTCACGTCGCGATGTGGGTGTCTCTTTTACAGCGGGCCGTTCTGTTTACTTTGGTGGTGGGTGTTCGGTCCGATTGCTACTCGCGCGATGGTGTGTATTATCCCTTTCACCAACATTATGGAGGGATTATTCCTGCCTTTTCCTCGTTCGCGTTGCTAATATGCGCGTCTGACAGGAAATACGTACCAATCGCGATTCTTCGACAATGAACAATTAATCTCCTGCGGCAATGGCACGAACAACTGTTGTTTGCAAGGCGACAAGTGTGGCAGCAACTTGCTATGCACACAAGGAGGAGGCATTGGCCGGCAATACTGCGCCGTGAAAGACTGGTCGTCGGGTTGTAGTGACTTGTATCCCGGTACGTTCATACCATTCGGAACCGTATACCAACCGATACTAATCAAGCATGTAGAAGTCGCAGACCTGGGAATGGGACTCGTAGACTGCGGAGAGAACGTTGTCTGCTACGGTTCCGACAGCTGTTGCACAGACGGAACAACAGAATTGCGCTACGTCAACCCGCTCACCGGCGAAGTAAAAGACGCACAAAGCAAAGATGCAGACGCTACAAAGACGCCGACATGGTGGAAAGTCGACAGTGTGGGTGTACTAGCCAGTATGCGTACAGCCAGCGCCTCACCAACCGTCGGAACATCCGCTGCGACACCCTCGTCATCCAGCGCAGAGCCCACGTCCTCGGACGCCAGTGCCGCGGCCTCTACACCCACCACCTCACCTCTCCCCTCATCAACCTCGACCTCGAACGACTCCAACAACAAATCGTCTGGTAGCGGCATTTCTGCAGGCGTAGGAGCAGGCATCGGCATCGGCGCAACGGTCGCTGTAGCCATCATCGCACTGCTCGCATGGCTTTTCTTCCGCGAGCGCAAGAAGAGAAGGGCACTACAGGGCAAGGGCGTAGCACAGGAGCCAGCCATGCAACAATCCCACGCGAATTGGAAGGGCCCAAATACGGAGTACTACGCGCACGAAGCACCATCAGATGGGCGCACGGAGCTGGAACATGAAGGGGCGAGATACGAGATGGATGGGAGGGCGAGGCCGGAGTTGCCTTGATGTCGGGAAGCATTGGTCGATGTCATCCTCTTTCCCTCGACGCTCACCGCCGATAAATATTTCTAAAACCACCATTTCTTCCACATACGACCATAGGATCTTGAGAATTAGTTTTCCCTCGCGATCCGTCAAAACTCACAGTGCTGGGCGCTACTGGCATGCCACGAACACAGGACTTTGGCATGAAACAATTGGACACGCTTTTCACTTGATCTCTACCTCACTGGTAACTGTTATTTTCGTGCAATCGCTGGGCGATATTCCACCTGTCCGAGTGCTGGCAATGCAGGCCTGACGCTCGAAGCGCTCGTCTCCATGGTTGTGCAGGATCCTCTCGATGGTCTCCACAGAAGTTCCGTCTAATCTGGGACACAACCTTTCTTCACTACTGACGCGGATCGTTGTCGAATACAGATTGGGTTTCTTCCCAAACTTGGGCCGGGATCCCACCGTGTACACTTGCAGCTCTTTGTCTTCGGTCGATTGTCCGTTTTCGCCTCGTGGAGGATTTTTGCGTGATGCGTTCGACGAGAGGTACGAGCTGTATTTGCCAATCACAACACGCCAGAACGGCCGCAGGGCAGGGAAACATCCAGCAATCATGAGAACATTGTTCTCGGTTCTGCTTGAGTGAGTCAAGGTCCCTTGTGATCAATAACACTACACTCACAGATACCAGATCGTTATCTCTGACCAAGAGTGTGTCATGTCCGCGACATTGGAGATGCTGCCCATTGCTACGATCTTCATGATGGTTGCGAATGTGCCACTGCCAACGTCAGTAATTGCACCAACAGTGCGGCGAGGTGACCTTACAGGATGCTACCACCCATCAGTATTACAAGATTTCGCTTGTCCTTTCGAGGAATGTTCAAAGTCCTTATGATGAAGTACGGCATTATGGCGCAAAAGACGTCCATCATCGCGTTATACACTGAGGCTTCAGCACCTGGCAGAGACATTGGCATTCTTCCAACATACCTGAGACCGACTTTCCGACAACATCCAGCATTGCGGGGCTCAAGCATGTGCCCTCAATCTGCGGTCTCCAGGACTTCTGTACGGGCGAACAAAAGAAAATCATGACAGAGCATGAGAGTGTGGAGCCGATCAGTAGGACGACCAGAGGGGCGTACGCGATACACTTGTGCGATAGACGCGCCGTGTGTCCTCGGATCTAGGCTGGTAAGCTGAGAGTTACGTCCATTGCATAGTCCTGTGTACTTACTCTCATTAGTGCGATGATGATGGAGGCTTTCGTGAAGAAGGCGCTGACGATGGAGAAGCAAGGCGCCAACAGCACGTACATAGTAGCCACAGCCTGATCTTCTGGATCGCTGATGTCCCATACATGTTGTCCAAGGCCGTGCGCAGTGCCGGCTGTTACGAGCGATGTACACACTACAGCGAAGATCTGATGTTCGAGTAAGTCAATGGCAATCGAATGTAGGACCGAGGTCTAAAGTCGAACTCACCAGGCCAGCAATCATACACCAGTCGTCCCAGCCCAGAGTCGTCGTCACGACTCGTGCGCGTGTATATGATCGCGCTGAGACGAAGATGGCTGAGAATGAGACCAGCGTCCACCCAACAACATTGAGGACTTTTCGATAATCATTCATGTCAGCGGAAAGGAGCAGCGACAAACCTCGAAAATATCACAATGTCACTCACAAGACACTTCACAGGGCAGAGCATCGTTCACATACTGCTCCTGTACATACTGGGTCCCAAGTATCAGGGTCATTCGAGCGTGCTATTGCTCGTTCAGGTATGCCAAGCTTGTGCCGTATGACTTCTGGCGCGTCGCACTTTCCTACTTGCCGAAAGTCCTGCAGAAGCGTCTCATGAGCGTTCATGATTTGATGGCTCAAGCTGTGCCGCAATCCTACACGACGCTACCTGAGTACGCTCGTATTGACCCAGGAGCCCCACGCACTGTCATTGGCTGTGACAAGGGACGGGCCGTGGTCCGCCCCACTCAAATTCAGGGAGCGGGACGTATCGAAGCCTCGCATGAGATGAGGCACCGAAAGCTCAAAACATGCCCCGTCATCGCCTTGTATCGCATCTTCGGATAAACAGCGTCTTCCCTCATGCCTCGAATTTCTGGATATAAACCACTCCAACCTAGTCACAATGGCCACATTATCACCAACAGTCCTATTCGTCGTCAGTCTGTTGGCAATATTATACCTCTGGCTCCGTAGACGACAAGACTCGAATTTACCTCCGGGACCGCCTCGTGTGCCCATTCTCGGCAACTTACACCAGGCTCCCAAAGAAGCAGTCTGGGTTACATACCAGAAATGGGTGGAACAGTATGGTCCTCTTGTGTACCTCAATTTCGGCGGCACGAATGTGATATTGATTGGAGACCACGAGGTGGCCAAAGATCTGCTCGACAAGAAGGCAATGATCTACAGTAGTCGGCCACGCATGGTAAGTCACAAGTCCATTCTGCCGACATCTGTGATAGGGACCTGATATTCCAAGGTCATGGCACAAGAGTTGACGTGCAAGAGCAAGCACATAATGTTCAAGCCATTCGATGGTGACTTTCTCTTGCACCAACGACTAGAAGCTCCTGTGCTCAGCCCGCGTGCGTCAGCTTGTTACACGGCAATTCAGGACCTAGAGAGCAAACATCTCTTGAAAAACCTTCTTCAATCAAACGACTTCCCCAAGGAGTTCGAGCGTTTTGCGGCGAGCATCGTATATTCCATCACCTTCGGTATGCGCATCATCACCGGCGACGAATGGCAACTTCAGACCAGTCACGAGTGTCTTAAGAACTTCACTGTTGCCGGTCAGGTCGGCGCGTGGATAGTCGATCTCTTCCCGTCTCTTAACAGCCTCCCAGCACCATTGACGCCATGGAAGAAAACTGCTGAGGCGTGGTACCAGATGTGGGAAAATCTCCACATGGCCAACATGGAAGACGCCCTTAAGCGCAAGGGATGGAACTGGGCCAAAGAATTCAACAAGTCAAAGGAGGCAAAAGATCTCGCTGCGACACAGATAGCATGGGACCTTGGTATCCTGTGTGATGCTGGCGTCGAAACTACACAAGTTCAATTGCAGATTTTCATTTTGGCGTGCGTAGCCTACCCGGATTGGATTGCCACCGCTCAGAAAGAGCTTGATGAAGTCGTCGGTACTAATCGTCTTCCTGGATTCGAAGATCTGAGCAACCTGCCGTATCTTCAGGCTGTGGTAGAGGAAAACTTTAGATGGCGGCACATTGTGCCAGCTGGGATTCCGCATGCTACGACTCAGGAGGACTTTTACAAAGGTTATTTGATACCCAAGGGCTCGGTTGTGGTTCCTGTGTTCGCCGCAATGCGCCAGAACTCTAGCACATTTGACTCACCAGAAGTGTTCCGGCCTGAACGATGGATCGAAAAGTCTCAGCCTAGCAACTTTGGATACGGCCGAAGAGTTTGCCCTGGACGATTCATCGCACGAAACTCTCTAGCAATAGCGATGGCAAGGCTGCTTTGGGCGTTCAACATACGCTCTAAAGATGGCGTACGGATCAACGTATCAGAAGAAATGTTTACAACTGGGTTTGTATCCGGCCCAAAACCATTTGTTGCTGTCTTTGAGCCGAGGTCAAAGGAGCGCAAAGGTCTCATTGAAAGAGAATTCGACCTGGTCGACAAGAACATAGCTCATCTTCTAGACGAGGCCAGAGGGAAGCAGATTGCTGCTGGACTGTCGCCTCAAGGGTAGCTTTCTCCAACAAGCATGCCCTATGCAACTAATAAAAGGCAACAGCTTCTATGTACACGTTAAACGATGTATGTTTTTGCCACTTGAACCATGTTTTTGCTACCCAGGCTATCTTTCTGCTACTCGCTTGCGGCCTTGTCTACGACCATCACGCGGTATCCGGTGGTTGAAGAAATCACAACTCATCAATGCTCGCTATGTTGAGTGGGGTTAGTTAGTAGGGAACTGTCGACAAGAATTCCCTGTGCGGCGCGCGATGCATAAGGTTCGTGAGAAACCGAACTAGTGGTTTATTCAATACTCTCGGCGGCTACATGTCGATCATGCGTGTTGTTCATATTCACCGCTGGTCTACAGCTACGTGAAAAGCTTGTTTACATTTGTGAGTGCCGGGGACATAGACAGTATTGTGCATTCATGTTCATCCGCATAGTTCGTAATGCACTTCAGCGAACTAGTTGCGCAGAGTTGGCGATGATGTCGATGGCATAGGACAAAGGCATGATACAGTATCACGAATAAGGTGCAACGATGTTTTATATCATGTATATTTCTTCGATATTGACATTAAGTATTAGGTTTCGTATCGTATCCACCTCATCATACAGTCTCTTCTGATCTCATCTCGTCTCGAGTATCCAACTCCTGTCTCTTCTCTCCATGTGTGTGGTATAATGCGTAAACGTCGTAATAGAGTACAAGTTGTAAGGAAAAGTGGTCGTGCTCATAAGCATAAACCTTACTCAATCTAGAGCATCGCCAATCTCATCTTCTTATGAGGATAGGGTGTAATGGCTTAGTAGTTGGTAGCTGAGCCGTAGGTGGCAACGTTGCCGTTGTTGGCGTAGTTGGCCGTGGGAGCAACGTGAGGAGCAGTGTGGTATCCACCGGTCACGGGCTTGTCGGTTGCGAAGCCAGTGTGGGGAGCAGCCACGGTAGAGCCAGTGTAAGCAGTGTCGTGGCTGGGGCGGTAGTCGTGGGTGCCAGCAGGGACAGCAAGACCGCCAGCAGTGGTAGCAGGGACAGTACCGACTTCAGGGTCGCGGTGTCCAGTGGTGCGGTTGGCCTTGCGGCGCTGCCAGAACTTCATGCCGGAACCCTTAGTGTAGCCGTTGCTGGGACCGGGGCCGAACGCCTTCTCCTTCTTGTGGTGCTTCATGAGGAGAACCTGGAGGAGGGCGCTGAGCAGGAAGAGGAAGGCGCCGATGATGGCGACGGCGAAGCAGGCGGTGTTGAGCTTGCAAATCGTGCCGAGCGAGGCGGAGTAGGTGATCTGGTCGCCGCGGCCGTTGGAACCGAAGCCTTCCTTGGAGTTGGCGGGTCCGTCACCGAGGGGTGTCTGCACGCGGCCGGAGCACTTGGATGCGCCATCGCGGGTCAGGACGGCGACGGCGATCATGGCACCGCAGCAGAGGATGTCGAGGAGTATGCCGAGGAAAGCAAAGATTTTCTGAAGATGCCGTCAGTATGTGTGTGTATGGAAATCGCCAAAGAATTTCTTACCTTTCCGCCAAGGAAGCAAGTCAACAGGACTGCGAAGATGGTGTAGAGCACAGTCGCACCAGCGAGACCGGTAACGGCCTGTTGCCAGACGGGGATGTTGACATCGCGATCCGCCTCTACAGACAGGAAGTAACTGTAGATACCGAGAATAATCGCGGCACAGCAGAACTCAAGCGCATACAGCGCTGTAGAGCCAAACTTCAAAGCAGCACCGCCGAAACCCATTGTCGTGGTTAAGACTCGAGGGATGAGAGAGGTACTAGGTTCGGAGAAATGAGGGGGCGATGCTCAAGGTGTATGTTGTTGTGATGTAGTGTTTGTAGATTCGACCAGCCACCGGGGGAGCGAAAAGGATTTATGTGTCTCTGGATGTTTCGATGCTGCCCGGGCGATGACGCAGCCTTGCAACTCGCTTTCCATCATCCAGCATTGGCGTTGTCGTCCCTGCCTTGTTCCGTCAAAGTTCGCTGTCGATCCCGCACCGTGCGTCAGCCACGCTAGCCACTAGCCCACTCTCTTGAGCCCTGCTTTTGACGCTGCCAGGACCACACGTCATTTTCTTCACCGACCTATCTCATCAAACTTGCGAACCGAATCGACCAAACAGCGTCCTGGACTGCGCCCCGACCGAGGGTTTCGCCGACGAAAGAAACTTAAATTCGGAGCTTGCGATGATGCTGCCAAGTTAAGCTTGAGATCATCTTGCTCGGTTGATGGATGTGTTGTTGGTGGTTTTCAGGGTTGTCTGGGCAAATCTCTTGATGTGGATGCGAGGCAAGCCACAGTCTGACAGGCACAATGCACATGGGCGGGTACCTCCTTGCACGCGTTCCAGACCCTCCTCGAAGTCATGTCCATTCCAAGTTTCGATATTCCGATGTTTCGACCAGCACATGAAAGAAACACAAACGTGTTCCATCGTTCCATCGTCCACACGCTCAGCGTTCCTGCATCGCGCACGCTTCTCTTTGCTTTTTCTTTCGCGTTCGCATACAATCCGTTGTGGTTCGTTGATCTCGGATCCGTCTGATCCGGTAGTGGCACGCAGCGCCGTTATGTGTCTAAGGCTCGCGATGCTGTGTAACTAGGCTAGCGAAACCTGAACTCAGCCTGATCGTGATTGTTGGTAGCTGCGGCAGTTGCTTTTCACCTATGATCCCCTATGATGCGGAGGACCCTCCGCAGCCGCACGCTACCTACCCCAGAGATTACCTTAGCCGGCGATCGGGCATTGGTGGCAGTGCGTGACGTCGTGGCTACTACCGATGATCGTCGGCGGCGCAGTGGATGAGATGACGATCGAGCGCTGTCCTCGAAGTCATCAGAGTGAGCTGGACTGAATGGAATCGGATGCAAGAGTCGCAATGGTATGCGATGAAATTAGTGCTTGTGAAATACTATGAACGTCCCTGTTATCGATACTAGGCTTAATGTCTCACATGCGTTGAAGCACGAATGGGCCGGAACATGTCCCTGCTTCATACTAAGTTTCTCTGCTAACTACACGTCGGTAGACTCAAACAACACTACCAGTCTGACAATGGAGAAGACCTTGGTACATGTTCTTTATACCCCGAAACCACATCCGTCCCTCGCTTGCCCGAGCAGCGCCATGCATCTTCAACATAACTTCCTTATCTTTCACTGGCCTCAACCGAGGTTCTGGGCCCCATGAAAAGACTGCGTTTCGAGTGGGAAGCTCCGATAGCATTCCCCAATAATATTTTGGTAATAAGCTCTGAAGATGTGATTAATTGCTCGTTTGATGCTGCACCACTGACCGAGTAGAGTGTCATCAAAGAAAATAAGTCAAACATATGACAGCGCCGGGACAGCCTGTGTGGCCTACATCAAACCATTTAGGGCAAATTCCAGAGGTGCAAGGAAAGCAACAGGTCTTGTCAAAGTATAACATGGTCTTCTAGACGATTTCTTCACACATGTAACCGAGAGGCCGAGGAAGAAGGAGAAGGAGACCATGTGAAAATACAAGGTTTTGGCCTAGAGCCAATGATTGTCTTCCATCTTCCTCGTCTTTTTATTAAATGCCAACAAGAACGCCTCAATGATTCTATCAAAAGTCTCGACTTGTATGGTTTCAATGCTGGAGCCATGTTCTCACATTTAGTCAGCGGAGAGTTTCTATCTGGTCAACATTTGAGTCGATCAGAGGCCCACGTAACATCCCGGATGCACGCGTATGCATTGAAAAACGACAAACTTCTGCTTGCTAGTCTGCACTGTCTGGTGTCTTACCGGCGTATGGCTTTCATGAGTTAACGACATTCGTCGTGCTCGCAAGTTTGTACAAAAATATGCCATACTGTCGCCGAGGAGGTTAGATGAATTGAGAGGCGACAGAAGCCATATATTGGGGGAGATGTAGAAGCCGTGCTTAAGTGAAGCATATGCGACGGCATGTAAAGAAAGAGCGTATAGCAAGAGCACGGTCAGACTGCACGTATGTCTCGGTGCTACATTCGACTCCGCGCATAAGTTGGGGCATAACAAAACCTAAGGGTATACAATACATCTCACGATGTTATGCCTGAAGCAACATAGTCTAATATTATGGAGGCACGATAACGGAGAAGATGATATTCACCGTAGACTATAGAAGTGAGAGCTGATGAAGAGCTTCTTTATGCAAGGTGCAGCTGTCTTGCTTATCTACAGATGACTAATGTTTGAGCCGTGCGCATTGAATGCTATCAGTACCTGGCCTTTTGGACTCAGTTGTACATGATACAGGCTAGGATGCCCCGCGTGGCTCAGTTAGTACCAGTACCAGTAGTATTTTTAAACCCTGATTTACCACCGTCCAAGTCCCAATGTTCGCTCAATTCGAAACTATGTACAATCATTCTCAGCCAGCGCTGATCGTTATTGCACTCTTCAGGCCTGGATTTAATCCCAACTCACAACCTAATTCCCTCTTGAACCCATGCTGAACCCCCTTTTGCAAGGAAGAAAAACTGAACAGACCTGAACAGGCGGCAGTTTAAGTTAAAGGCGCAGTCTATTTTTTGTATGACGTGTAAACGTCGTCGTCAATGTCTGATCGTATATCACATTCCCCTGATCTCTGAACAGAATTCGTGAATATCATCCATGTAGAGACTGTAGTAGCTGGCCCGAATAAGAAGTTCATCGAGACTTGGTAGCTTAGACAAAGCAGGCCCGACAATGGCTGCATAGCGATCACATTTGAAGCAGTTCATGATATTTGCGTCTAACGTTGAACCAGACTCCCAAGGTATACCGGCGTCCTGGGAAGGATGGGCGGTGTTACAGTCGAACGTCACTGAGCGAATGGGAGAGGCCAGCAGCCCTTGTGAGATGCGCAGTAAGCTGTTGAGACCAGCCTCGCTGAGCGATACTTTAACTCGCTTATAGTGGGTGTAGCCGTAGTACCGCACAGTCTTGCGGTCGAGCTCGTGGCAGGTGAGACGAAGCGCTTCGCAAAAAAGTCGGCGAGGGCGTCCATTCTTCTCGCAGCATAAGATCTGAAGAACGAGCTCTACCGGTAGGCTAGGAAGGTTGACCGCCATGACTGCTGCTACTATTCAGTTAGTACGAGGAGTAAAGGAAGGCGCGACACCTACATGAACTCGAAACTGTACCAGCGGAAGGTTTGTGAGGTAATGTAATCTCTACAGGTACCAGGTGCGTGAATTTCCTAGAGTAGTATACGTTGCCGCGTTAAAGAGGTTGAACAACTCGATTAGCGACTAGGTGAGAAGCGGGCGAGCGCGGATGTAGTCCTGAAAAGTTGCGTCACTGCTAGCGCGGTACCAGCGAGGGAAGAGCTTTTGATGACCACAAAATACCTTGCAAGCTGCGCCTCTCATGTGTGACCGAACTCTTTCGGTCGTCATGGTTCACTCTTCGATTTGCCACTCATTCCACTTGTTCCGATGATACGCCGGCGAAATTGTTGCGTGAACTAATTGTAACGGACGACATTGTACAGTTGTCAAAACTACATTGCTGTCGAGGATGGTGTATATATAACTATGAGCTGCGCGAAACGGGAAAGTGAACTATCATGTATCTCAAGCAAAGGAAAATCCAGAGCGCTCTTTACATCTGAAAACCTCACAATGCTGGACTGAGGTGAATCTCCATGACTCTGGTGCGTCGTGTCCGTACTGTGTGTCGTAGTCAGATTTGTTATAGAGAATCTGCCCAGGTGTGGTCTAACTTAAAAGGATAGTTATGTTGATCGATATTGTCTTCTACGTAGCTGCTCTGTTTACAGGGCGACGAGAATCTATCTTCAGCCACTATACAACAATGCCAGAGATCTACACCATCTGTCCAATGCGTGCATACTATCTACTTCGAGTCCCGCTCATAAAGAAAAAAGACTACATGGCCAATGAAGCGTATCAGGATCTAGACATGAGTACGATCGCACCTTCTTCTTTCCTCTCCTACCTACCTCCTACAGAACCTCCAACACCAACTAGAAACAAACTCTGTCAATTGCCCACCAAACACTAGAAAGCGCCATTATTACGACCCAGGAAACCAGTAATGACTTTCGAGATACACGTACCGGTACTTCTCTGGTAGAATGGCCGCTGCTAGAGCAACAATTCCTGCAGAAACTTCGACGATAACGATATTAAGTTTATAGCAAAAATAGCATGATTGGTCGAATTAGTACTACTGCTAATGCTGAGATGGCTGTACGGGAAGCTGAGATGGAATCGGGAACGGAAACCACGAACGAAGCGAGGACGAAGGCGGAGGCTAAGAAAGAGGGAACCGAAAGAAAGACAAGAAGGTAGAGAGAAATGTATTAAGTCTACTGCAGTGGATGGGACAAGATCAAGATAGGGATCTTGGGCGTGAGCGAGATGGAAATGGAAATGGGGACATTGAGATGGAGACTGTCTTTCCTATTTCTTTATGCAGTGTTGGACTTTTGGTTGTGGAGATAGGAAAGCAGGAGAAGGGCATGGGATTTGTGATAGCACAGTAATACGAGGAATGTGTACAGACTAGAGATGAGAAGAAAGGTTGAGGATGGTCTATTTGTTTTTTAATAGCCTTCGGCATCTTCGTGTATACAGAGCTATTGTCTCATTGGGCGGACATGTCACATAATAGCTTTACCACTGAACCTTATGGATGCGCAAAGACTCAAGGTCAGAGAGAGATGAAAGCTACCTTGAAATGTATCTAGAGGTTACTGTGCTGCTCTAACCACTTGTTTGGCTTCGCGATGTTTCAACAAATGCCCTGTTTGTTTCGCAGTACATGATCGAATTGAGACCGAGCTTGGGCATTTGCACACCATCGCGAGAGACTGATGTAGATGCGCTGATGACGATCGAACCACCTAGATCGTGATATGTCCAGCCCATCAGTGGGCCATGTGTTTCAGTGGAGCTTTGCACAAATAACGATTGTGCATACACATTATGCACAGCATG